TGCATTATCATGCCCCGAGTTCGCACCAAGGTCAGACTGCACGTCCAGGCTGGAGGGTTCAATGGCATTTCCTGTGCTCTTTTTAGCCCGCCGGGCCGAGCTTCCAGTAGGACACATCCAGGAATCTGATCATCCGGGCCGGCAAAAAACGATGTAAACAGTTAGCACAGAATGCACAATGTCAGCATGCTTAGAGACAGCCCGGCTGATACGGTATTCAGCTCAAGTTACTCATACCGGTGTAATGGGTCTCTTAGTGACATATGCTGTGTTATTTGGTCTTGGCAAGTCTTCACACGACCACAGATTGGCACCTCACTACCATGCAACACGAAACATGAGATGCGTTTTTTTGTTTTTGTTCTCTTTTCTCTGTGTGTTGCTGTTAGTTCGACTCGCCCTGGGCCAACGCAGCCTACCAAAAGAAGATGGCGTCAACCTCGCAGATGTCTCAGTCCTTTGAAAAGCCCTCGGCGAAACGGAAGAAGGTCTAGTGAGAATCCAGGTGCCTCCTATGGCTATGCTGGTACTGTGTGTATGTGTGTGTGTGTGTATATATGTGGACAATTGAGTGGCTGCAGTGTTGACATTGTTGCTCGTTGTTTTTGCCTGCAACATGGGCTTTTGTACAATAGCTGACTTCATCTAAGTCAGCACTGTATATAATATTCATCCAACGTTGTACTATAATTATACTTTCCCCATGCTATACCTGTGCTCTCCCCCATTGTGCAATCGCTTTCTGTACTTCTTCAGTGTATTTCCTGTGCTTGTACATACATATACATCATGCTGGTCGTGGCTTTTCTCCATTATTTTATTTGAGAATTTTTTAGTAATTTTCTGTGATTCTGTATTTGCGTCTGCCTTGTGTACTAATAAACAAACTTTGATGCAATCACACAAATGTTGTACTGTACTTAGCTGCAATGATCCGTAATCATTGGATACACATTTCTCTGTTAGATTTTGAAGTCGTTATGTGCAAAATGATGCTTCAGTATGTGGTCTTACTGTAAACGTCAGCTAACGACTTGTGCCACACACTTGTTTGGTGTGGATCATGTGTCCAGGATCAGAGCTCAGAGCTGTTATGTTTAGCCTATTCTTATGGCATGTAGTTTGCAGAGTGTTGATTTCCTGCTAGTCCGATATCACTGCAGGGGATGAACATGTAGCTGTATGTATGGTCCATGTTGTTCAAGGACTGATGCGCACCGCTGGGTAATTACGTTTGGTTGAGGAAGGAAGACAACACACTTGTGCAGGTAGTGTTTGACCGAGGCAACGCCATGACGGTAGAACCAGCAATGTTTGAGAGGAAGGAAGCCCCGCTGGGTTGGTTACGCCCCGCACACATGGCCGCTCGGATTTTGTGAGATGCGGAATACTCGACGTACGTGATGGTATACGTGTTGTGACGAATTGTATTATGCTTTTGTAAATGATGTATGGCTCAAGCTCCCGACACAGCTACTAGTAGCTGATTGGGCATTAGACCTGGCTGGTGATCATGGTATTACATGTACTTGTAGTACCGTACAGGGAGTAGTGGCAGTCCAGTACTGCTCCCTGCTTATCGCATCAGTGTGGTTAGGTCTTGAGTGTGGCCAGCGCTCCCTCCCGCTCCGACACTGGTGGTTTCTTTCTTCTCCTTCTTCCTGTTCCCGGCCTTCTGGATTTTTCCAATTCCATGTCTCTTGTCACTGATGTGACATTTATGGTCTCAAACAGGAAGAGGTATTTTACTACTCCATGGTCTCAAGAGTCTACCCCCCTCCCCCCCTTCTCCTCCCAGGGCCTAGGGGTTTCATGGACACCGATCTACTACTGTAGTAGATCTACGAAACTTTTTGATATCGTGATTTTGTCACTGGAAGGGGTAGACGTACTGCTAATATAGGCTACATCAAGAGTACATAAAAAGGTTTATGATTGTACTCTTGCCGTCTTGGCTACATGCATGGTAGACAGTGCTTCCGGGCTGACAGTTCGAGTCTCCGGAGCTCCTCCGAGCCCCCCCCCCCCCCCCCACAATCATACTGACAACGACCGGTCCGAACCAGGGAGTCGTATTACCCGACTCCCTGGGCCTGGTCCGAACCGAAGCTAGTACTAGTAGTAGAGCTAGAGGGCCAGGCTGCAGGAAAAGGCTGTGTAGACCATGGTAGAGTGTAGTGTAGCTGTACAGTCATGTACACGGCCCGCGGCCCGGACGACCAAACAAAAACTTCCAAACGACCAAATTTCACAAAGCAAGTCCCTTGAGCTGAGCCGCATGCGCACTTCTGAAAAATAAGTGTATTCCTTTTGCCAGAAGCTATGGCAGTTCCGTCCTCCATCCTCCTGCCGGCATGCCCAGCTTCCTGCCCTTGTATAACCTGGTTATCCTAGCCAAGTAAGTTGTTATGGCTAATGTTCCACATTTTTATTTGAATAGTTCACCAACCCGTGATGCGTTGACCGCGCGCTACGAAGGCGAAGGTCACCTCCTTTCCGGTAGGAGAGATGCGGAGAAGAGTCGGGCAAAGCATAGAAGGAAACCAGTTGCCTGCACACCGCAGGTGATTTGCAGGCTTCGTGGGCCGCCAGCATGCCAGCGGCGTCTGGCCAGAGCTACTCCGCCGCTGGAATGCGAGCAAGAAGACGGAGACTGTCCAGCAGCTCCTAGCGCAGTGCCGCCAACAAGTTATTTTGCAGCACCTCCATCTCAGTTCCGTACCTCTGTGAGGTGTTGTCCGCTACTAACTTGCATTGCGTGGAATAATGCGTCTCTTCGACGAATCGGTGTCCGTCGTCGCTCGACCTGTTCACAACACCTAAGCCTAAAGGGGCGTTTCGTGTTTGTGTGTCACGCTGTGGTGCTGGGCAACGACATATTGTTGATATCGCCACTACTAACGTTAGTATCTGTCCGTGTGGCGATCGGCAGCAACGACCAAGCGGCACGAATCGACCAGGCTGCAGATAGGCGGCATGAAATCGCTTGCTGCCGATAGAGGTATGAGCAGAACTTTGCAGAGCAGCACCATGACGAATCGGTCGCGTGGACTGTACCGACCACATGCCAGTTTGCCAGTCCTGCTCGGAAGTCTGATTGTTTGTTTCGTGGCATGTGGTGTCACGTCGGAAGAAGCTACAGTGGGTCCTAAAACTCCTGGTATTGCAATCTTTGTTGTGGCATGGTCAGACGCTAATCACGGACCGCCAGGCAATGACAGTGAAGAGGACCTGCGCTGCTCTTCTAACAATCACTGTGAGTCTCTTTGGGATGCCATGAAACTGGCACGTAACTTGCAATCGCAGCAACAGCAACAGCTCAATGCTGGTGGTGTGCAGTCTCCGCTTCCAATAGTGGTGCGCTTGTTGGCAAACCAAACTCTGTCACAGTGTCGCGTGTTGCTGAGGCGGAGGGTACAGCTTCACCACGGCGGTCAATGCACAGATTACCATCCGATAGGTGTAGAACTGCTCGACTGGCACATGGCCGATATCATCGTCGACGGCAGCCACCCAGCAGGGGGCTGTGGTCGATCACTACTTGCAGCCCCCACACCTCTATCCCAGTCTGCGGGAAGCAAGAACACCCATGGTCAACGGAGTACTAGCTATCTTCTAGATATCGTCAATTCCTCGGCCATCACATTCCGCAACATAGCAATATATGCTGAGAACATCACCGATGTGTACTGGAACAGGTCATTGGTACACATACAATCATCGAGACTAATTCGATTTGTGGACTGCGTGTTCACATGCATGCAATACGAGCTGTCCGGTGGGAGACGATCCCTGGCAATGGTGCGTGACTCGGCATTCGTGGCGTTCAGTCGTTGCACTTTCCAGCAACGGAAGCAAATGGCACTCAGCGCACGTGTTGTTGAGAATGCCATACTGAGCACACGTATCAGTCCGTTTCTAGCATCTGCATTAGACATTGAACTGATGAGTGTTCACAGAATTGAAGATCTGTCCGCTGCCGAACACGCCAAGCTAAGCGAAATTGCGCCTTCGATCGACGTGGCAAACTGTACAGGTGGTGGCCGCATAGCAACAACGGGCAGTACAGGAGGTCCTAAACAAGTGGATGCCAAACTGTTCTACTGTCTTCCTTCATTGCTGCTACATCATTGTTCGGTTGCGAATTCGGGCAGAGGAGTTAAGTTGGACTATGCGCCGCATCGACTTCGTAAAATCACGATTAGTACGGCGGTGCCCATGGCTATAGGAGTGACATTGTCTTCGATGACGGGCCACCGAGTCTTGATTCACAGCTGTGATATCAAACGCACACAAGCGCCTTTGGGTACGTCGGTGAAGTTCTCCATAGCTCACGATCGACGCAACCCGCCATCACCCGGCCCTGCAAATTCCACAGAGTGGCTGCTGGAGGTTACAAACACATCGTTCGAGGGGAACATCGGCTTGTTCGGCGGTGCTCTAATGGTACTGGCTGATAGGAAAGCGTCATTCATGGGCAATGTTTTTCTGGACGATAGATACAGTAGAAGTGAAGCTATGACAGCGTGCAACTTGGTACTGGTGAAGGACTGCTACTTTGGTGACAACTTGGCATTGCGAGAGGGTGGCGGTATTCTTGTTCACTTCAAGACACTCTTGCCATGGCCGGGGAGTCTGGTGTTTGTTCATCTTCATAACGTCACGTTCAGCAGGAACAGGGCAATGATCTTCAACCTCTCGCAACCCGGCGGCGCGCTGACGGTCGTTTCCGACGGTGAATCATCGTACGCACCGAGCCGCCTAGACAACAGCACGCTGGCAGGTGGTCTCTGCCAGGGACAAGACCGAAAGTACTTTCCAGTTCAACTTTGCAACGTGACGATGTCTGACAACCGGGGAATCGGCGCGTTGTTTGCGAGATCCACCAACATGAGCTTGTGTGGAGTAAGGTAGGTGGCGCTTGTGCTAATACGAACAGTTTAGTTCCATGTGATAATGCTAAACTTTGTAAGTCATTCTGTGACTGCTGCCATGAATGACGCTGGTGTAACTGTTGGTCAACAACGTCGTTCGCATTATGCACCTGCGGTGTTTAAAATGCGAATGTGGTCTGTTCGGGAAGGTGTGCAGATGTACACATGTACCAGGTAGCTGTAGTGTGAGGGAGGCTGCTAGAAGTAAATCTACTACACATAGCTGTTAGATCAAGTTGGCTGGCGCCAGTAATGCTTATATCATGATGATATGCTCACACCTATGCTATTGGGGAAGGATAAGCTTTTCTTTTTCATGGCGTGCTGGTACGATTGCATTGTCAGAGCGCAGTGAAACTGCAATGCTAGTACACTATCTTAGCAAAACATTGGAAATGCGTCGTTTTCTGTACCATAGGTGTAATGTTGTGTATGTAGTATTAGTGTGAACAGCGTGATCTTCTCACCCGTTGTAGTCTTTGCGTGTATATACTAGGTTCATCTCACTGTTGGTTTCTTATCAATCCGGATGATGGCCCAGGGCAGAGGCATTGGTTGAATTTTCTTCTTCTTCGATGCAGTACATCAGCCAATGCAGTGTTGGTGTTTAGGGTAAATAAGAATATACCGGGGAAGCCTTACAAGATCCTCCCCTCTCCTCCACCTAGAGTACAGAGGATCTGAACCAATGAGGCAATGACACTTTCCCATAAGGTGCACTATAGTATGGTCGCAGGACCGATGATGCCCTGGTGGTAGTGTGACTACTGTTCCTCATAGCGTGTCCTCCACATTTTGTGACAGTCATGCTTTCATTATCATACCTGATAAAATATGTATGTAGCGCTTGAAACGATTTACCCTGCAGCTCGTTCCTGAACAACACTGGCTCAGCTGTGGTACTACTAGGCTCCCGTCTGGTTGTCAGGAACACGCTGCACATCATCGGCAACAGAGGAGTCAACGGTGGGGTGTTCAGCATCCGGGATGTGTCTTCTGTCACGTTGGCACAGGTAAATAGACCCTTGTTCTGTAATACACAGTGTTTCTGGTGTATCACTGCAGTAAATGGATGCTATTATACTCTATCATGAATTTGCTGACTATGTTTTAGGATATTTTAGCCTTGCTTCTGCGTGTAAAAGCGTAATTGTGGCATCAGTTTTAACTTTGAAACGTAGGCGTACTCTGGCAAGCTGTTAGCTTGTGCAGGCTGGACTTGCACAAAGTACTTCTCCAGAGCTGGCCAAATTTTAAAACATGTGCACACTCATCTGAGCCTTGCTTTCACCCGGCAGTACGCCTCTAAGTAAGGGTCAACAGGCTAACTGTATTTTTTAAACTGTAATACCACTGACTTTCTGACCCATCTGCCTATCGTTTTCTAGGTGAAGGATTTGGTTGCAAGAGACAATCGCGCCACCTACCTAGGGTCGATTGCCCACGCCGACTCAAGGAGCTCATCATTCAGTGCCTATGAGGCCTTCTTCAGCAAGCTGAACCGAACTTCTGTTGCAGAGGCCTGCCCCTTCATCCTACCACTGCACTTCGTAACAGGAAAATCCCAGTCCATGCTACAGGTAAAGTCTCCACTATGGCTGCGTACTTTGCTGAACCGTAACTCATTGTGAGAACTTGTGAATGCATGGCTTGATTGGTGGACATTCCATTGTGTCATCATGAAGAAGAGTCTGAGGATGACATTTGCGTGTAGACCGCTAAGGCCAAGGAAGTATGCATGCAATACGAAACAGCAACTGGTTGACTATTTGATAGCACTGCACTGTCCTGAGCATGACCGCAGGTGCAATTCAGATTAAAGTTATACTGGTACACAGGGATGCCTGTTGTAGATCTGTTCGGTAAGATATGCGCTGCACAATGTCTGCGTGTAGTTGTCACGGAGCCAGATTGTATCTGGCTGCGCACTCTGCATCAGTGTAGCCACCCTGTGTCAATCCTGTGTGAGGTCCCATGTGCTTTTTGAAATTATTACCATGTTCAGACATTCTTCAGCGGAAGTAAGGCGGATGTACCTGGTAAGGATGTCTCGACCATCTTCATGGCCAGTCTGTTCTCCTGCCTCGATAACTACAAGCCAGTAATGGCGCAGCTGACACAAGTGGATGATCCGTTCTACTGCATGCCTTACGCACCAGCAAGATGGGAGCTGTACAGCGGTGAAGGTCAGTAATCCAGTGATAGTGTGCTCGAATCTTCCAACAGTTATGTCTGAGAAAGCTCAAGATTTATAGCCAGATGACGGTCTTCCAACCGTTACGTCTGAGAAAGCTCAAGATTTATAGTCAGGTGACGGCGGTCTTCACTGCTATGTTATGGGTGCTGCTTTGTGTTCGTGGACAGTGACTGGTGCAAACAAGGACTACTGTGGGGTCCTGGAGCAGTTCTCTTCGTCAGGACCATGTCTGGAGGGCTGTGAAGCATCGGCGAGGGGACTGCAGACACGAGTCACCTGTGCTTTTGGTAACTACACACTGTCAGAGAGTCTGCACAGAGGTGAGTGTTGGGTAGAATGCACTAGCCGGTTGCAACGGGTAGCGGTTTGGTCGGGTAAGGAGTTTGGGTATTTCTATCCGGATAGCACGGGTACCCTATCGGGTATTTTTTGACATAGTTTGTACAGAACGCACATTGCTGTGCTTTTTACATGCACCGTTGCGAAAATACGGTACTCCAACTACCCGATCGGGTTCCCAGGAGCAAACTGCTACCCGAATACCCGCTCTAACTACGGGTAGCACAGGTACCCTACTACCCTATGCCACTGACGCTCCTAGAATGCATTGTGACTTCCCGATGTAAGTACCTGTAGAACACTCCTTGGTATGCGTCCTATACATCCCAGTATGCAATCAATTTTAGGTGAACATCATAGTGTATAGTCCGTTTCAAAAAGATAAGCAATCAGGTTTTGGTCTTAAAAAGTATGAAGATAAGGGAAATTCGGACAACGAAATACATAGAAGGGCTTGTTAGGGCATGGCAAATTGTTCTGTAAAGGTTTCGGTATGATTGGACCAGCCGTTAAGGAATTAGAATTTCGGCCACGTTTCTGGCCTTTTCCCATGGTTTACAATTTGAGCTGGAAGCCAGTATCGATTTTTTTTATCAAAACCCACGATTTATCCCTTCCTTTTTGGCCTTGTGGTTATGAACGCTGTCTGCTGACCATGATTTTGTGGGTTCAAATCCCAACCTATCTTCAAATCACACTTTTTTCATTGTTTTGGTGATCAAGCTGGTACAAGACAAAGAAAGTAGCTGCACCAAAACTACTTGTTGTTGGAGCTCGCGCTTCCTGCCGAACTGACTGACACTTGACTGGCTCACGCCATGTAAACACACCCACAACACTGAAACGGTGTGAGTGAATGGAAGTCATTGCGCTGTAGCTACGTGTTGGATACACCGGCACATCGATCGATTTCTTGTTGAGAATTATTTATAGTATTTCAAGATCGCCAATTTATTTTAATTTAGGAGTCAACGCTGTCTTCTATCAGCTTTCACAGGCGTCTGCTTTTCTCAAAATGTTGTCGAAGTGACACGAATGGCTTCGCCAAGTCATGGCCTCGAGAATGAGTCCATGTCCATGTCATTTTCGTCACATGGTGAGAGTAAAATTGCATCGCAGGTCAAAGAAACTATTTGGTCACGAAACGCCCTTGCCACGCAGCGTGGCGCTTCAACATTCAACATGTCCTCTCTCTGAGTCCATATCGATACGATCGAGGAAGAACGTTGGTTGTAACCAGTAATATAATGGCAGTTGTCATTTTCTTGCTTTCGCGCGGAATATTCCTTCGAGTTCACAGCAAGTTTTTCCAGGCAGCTCATACGGTAAGACGGCAAACTCCCCGGGGATTGCTAATCTTTTTAAAACTGACTCAGTGTAGTATCCACATGCAACATTATTACACTTGTGTACACACCTGCAATAGTACCAACGCACTGCTGTACCTGCATGCAATATTGCTGCACCTCTCAGTGCACCCCCTTGCAAAATTTTCCCTTGCAATATTACGTACTCAATCTATTGCCCTCACGTCTTATTTTGACCTTTATTCTTCTCTCTACTCCGCGTTGCTCTGACCATTGCTGTTGCAGCACTTATGCTGTCTGCCTATAAAAAAGCTGCTGATTTACCATCATTCCGTTATTGCATGTGCTTGTATTTGTAAGATGATCCTATCATAGCTATTGGTAAAAAGTAAAAAGGACCACGGAACTACAAGTTACACTATAATGTCCACTAACATCACCAGCTACTAAACAATCAGCTCATGCGATAACATTGCACGACGCTGACCAATGGTACTGACGTTCTACAACTAACTGGCTAACAGCTCTAGCACATCTTGGATGCGCACTCCAACAGCCTTCCGACTTGGAAGGTTCTAAGTTATAGAAGTTCCAAGTTCCAAGTTGGAAGGCTGTTGGAGTGCGCATCCAAGATGTGCTAGAGCTGTTAGCCAGTTAGTTGTAGAACGTCAGTACCGTTGGTCAGTGTCGTGCAATGTTATCGCATGAGCTGATTGTTTAATAGCTGGTGGTGTTAGTGGACATTATAGTGTAACTTGTAGTTCCTTGGTCGTTTTTAATTTTTATAAATAATCCTTGCCTCTCCATCCAAGTTCATAGCTATTGGTAGTCACCATTGATAGTTTTAGAGACTAGTTACTTGTGAGCCAAGAGTAGCCATGTATTTCTGCGTCCCGAGGAAACTTTAAAATAGTCGAGTTTACTGCAAAGAAGGTAACTTGTCCTCACGCTAGTATTCTGTTCGTGAGATACTTGCTGTCGTAAGTCCTTGTAACCAGGCTACAGCCCCATCCCCGTCACAGATGCTACAATAGCACATGGTTTGGTCCACTCATAAATTCATAATGTGATTTGAAACAACTGAGTTGTCAAGTCGTCTGGCCAGTCGATAATGAGTATCACTATGGGTGTGTTGAGTGGCTCGTCGATAGACTCATAGAGTCTGGACAAGTTGTTACTACATTTGTGGCAAGCGAAATCCGACACTTGGCATCAGGGACTATACCATGCAGTGTGCAGCTCCTGAAGCCCTGCATACGTAGTACATGTGTTACATTATTACTTACATACAAGTACAACTTTTATCTGTCTCATGACAGTAAGGGTTGGTTCACATAAGCAAAATCGGCGCCGCAAGACATCGCAAGACCCCAGCGGTGAGCCAGCTCCCGATCCGTTGCGCATACGGTTCGAGTACCAAATCTACTGCAAAGTAGTAAAGAATGTGCCCAAATGCTACGACAGGTTTGCCAATTGAAGCTTGAGTTCAATTTGGAGATCATGAAACTACTTCTACACCTTTTATGGCAGTCTAGTAAGCGGTGGTGTCGAAATTATGCGTGCAAACGTTGATGAAGTCACACGAACTTGTCTATGTATCCTTCGTATTTTTTATTTATTTATTTTAATGGTATTTGTCTCATAATTTGCATGACAGTCAAGCAGATCATCCGAGAAGGACGGGTTGGTATGCTGACTTAATTTGCCACCTTGAAACGACTACAAGAATAGCGAACGGACCTCATCTTTAGCTTCAATTTAGGAAAATTTAGGATGAGTCTTGGTTTCAAATTTTGACAAAGTCTGGCTCCCGGCACCGGCGATCACCGGCGCGAACGGTTCACAAACCACTTTTGGTCAAAATTGTACGGGATCGGCGCTGTGGCAGATCGCAAGAGTTGGGCACTGTCCAACTTTGCCGGGGGTCCCTTGCGGTATTTTACCGTACGATTTTGTTACGACTGCACTGGTTCACATAGTTGCAATGCGCTGAGAGAGGTTGCGAGAGACCCACTCCCGGTGACTCCCGGCGCGGACTGGCGATATGTGAACCAACCCTAATCGTACTCTCTCTCTCTCTCTCTCTCTCTCTCTCTCTCTCTCTCTCTCTCCTTCTTCTCCTTCTCACCCCCCCCCCCCCCATCTCCCGATAATTATTAGCCCCCCGTTTTCTTTGGACGCGTTTGCTGTGCAGTGAAGCCAAGACCCTAGGTCGGTGGAGCACATCAGACCCCGTCACCACGTCCACGATTCATGCCTGCGATGCTGCACCGCTGCTTTGCAACGTTCCCTTCATCGCAACGTATCGCGGCAAGAGAAGAAGGGCTCGGCTCATGGCCCGCTTCATCAGCCATGTATCAAACTCACTGCAAAGGCCCAGCGAGAAGTAAATGCAAAGAGATACGTTCTAAACAAACAGCGGACAGCGTTGAAAAGCGAGAATAAAACAGAAACCCTTCGCTGTCAGTTTTTTCGATCCAGGAGAGCCACATTTTTCTGGCCACGTGGGCGAGTACACGCCAAACGCGGTGATTGATCGTTGCGGTTCCAAAACAAGAGCTCGCGCTGGGAGGAATGCACTGCATGTACCCCGTGCCTGTGTCACGCATTCAGTACGCATGCCATGCCCCGCCAAGTCACTGCGTGTCTTATTTGGCAAAAGACCTATTGGAAGCTGTGGCCTTAGTAAAAAAAAACAAAAAACTCATCACAGTCAAGGTTCACAAGAACGGTTCAAAGGTGCTGGCAAAAATGAATGGGGACTGGATACCAATACTCCTTATGTGTACCATGGTTGTGAACTGTGTGTATCTACGCTGTGACCTTTCGACCTCTTTGGGATACATACGGCTCTAATGACATTATGTACAAATTAGGTACAGCTCATTACATCATTGATATCCATTTCCGGCGCTGTCCCCTATGGCAAGTGTCGGATTTCGCTTGCCACGACTGTTGTAACCCCTACTCATGACAGTTACCACCATACAGTGCTTTGCTCCTCTGTCACCTACAAACTCTCACGACAAATGATGTCCTGATTGGGGTCATTTTGGACAGGGATGCTGGTATTTGAGGGTGGTACAGTGAGCTACTTGAGGTTCCCCTTAGCGATGGTTGCCAGTGGCCTGTCCCATCGTCAGGCTCATTTCATGAACCCATGCGGTGCCAGGGCCGGAGTTTTGGAGTGGTGCGGCCAACCTTTGAGGGGGTCTGGGGGACCTCCCCCGGAAGAAAATTTGAAAATTTACGTGAAATAGAGCGAATTTGGGCATCTTATGAGGCTCCAGAAAATGCACAAAATCATAGTCAAAGAACACAAACACAACTTTTTTTATATCCATAAGTCGCACAGTACCGGTGATGGTAGCATTCATTCGATCAAGAGGTTGAACACTGTAAGGAATAGTATAGGTAATAAAACGATCGATAAAGACTTTGGACTTTTAAAAGTCTTTATCGAGCGTTTTTTAACCTATTTAGTAACTTTGATCTCGTGCCGGCTTCTCCGATCGACTGCCTCATTTTCGAACGAACGATTCTATTTTTCGGCTTCCTCGATCTTATCTCTTTGGATCGAGTCTCTTCTGTGTTGTGCGATGTTTTCGCTCGTTTCCAATGTTGACTAGTTCATGCATTTTTGATACGAGTGACTGGTGCTACTTTGGTGGAAGGCGCAGGTGAGCTCAGGAGGTCGTGCTGCAGAACAATCTTCAATCTTCGTCACGGAGTTCTGAGCTACAATGTACTTCGAAGCACACGACAATGTCGACAGTATACAGTCATGTACCTCTGAATATTTTTACACCGGTTTTGCGCGAATCACATGGACCATCCAGCTGGGAAAGTGGTCCGGCCATGGCCGGACCAGCCTGAGCGGTTCCGGCGGCCCTGGGTACCGTGGAGCAACCCCATGGTACAGTGCATACGGTAGTGAACGTAGTCTGACTGACGCCCCTGTGTGACCAGGCATGCTGCTGTGCAGTCTGGTAACGTTAGTATACTTAGTATTAGACGCAGAACTGTCTGGTTTTGACTGTGTTGAAGTTAGTGCCTTCTTTGCAGTAGCAAATGCACATTGCATGTAAGGTCAATCTCTGCCGTAAGTGAAACTTGGATGCTCGGCTGATGATGACTTGATTGACAGTTGTGCAACCGTGACTCCCAGTTGCTAGTCTCTTCTTTTTGTACTAGATGCCTTTTTTGCCGCATTGCTTGAAGGGACAGAATGACTGGAATTATATGTGCGTGTACTTTGAGCCGTACATGAAACTTCAGTAATTTTGTCACATATCTTTCCTTTGGAGTTGGAAAAAGTGCTAAAGGAAACTTATCTTTCCCGTCTATTTTTTTCCACATACACAGACACGTTCGCACATTTTCCGGTGTAGTGATGCTTTTCCCGCTGACTGGGCACGTCACGCTCGGAAAAGCACCACTGAGCCCGAGCGTTGCAAACTACTGACTTTCTTACCAACATAACCGGTGTCCTTGCCTTTCACTCAGACTGAATGCTTCTCCTAACTAGTACAACACCTACAATTCCTATCCACCTCGCCAGGTCTTTAGTGCGAGCTCATAGATACGCGAGCAGCAAAAACATCTGAAATTAGAGGATAGCAATGGTATTTTGAAAGGCTTTGCTTGTAGTAGAAATCCTGCAGGTGTGTGGAGCAAATCCATTTGCCATTGGCACTACTTCAGGATGGGATGTGACCTGTCGGTTTGCTTTGCAGGAAATGGAACCACTGTAAGCGCGAATACACGCAAGCCTTGGCAGTGCTGGCCGAAACAACCACTTGGTGATAGTGGAGACGAAGAGTTCGAAGATAGACCTGCATCACCACCATCGTTATCAAACCCTCTCGCCCACCCGAATATGCCATATAAGGCAAGAAAAGGTGTGTGCCCAGTAGACGGCCCTGGTGTATGCACAGACCCCAATCCCTACCTGCGCCAACCTCCGTCACTGTGTCATAGCCGCGTGCAGCAGATAACCGTTGTCAACTGGAGGTCTCCGCGCTTCCAGAGCAGAATTCAAATGCTGCAGTCGCCATTTGGTTCCAACGTGGCCTGGCTGTTCTTCAATTCCACCACCACTGCGTGCTACAAGGTCGTTGGTGATCGTGTCTGGTACTTCTATGACGGATGCAGTCGGGACAAGGTCTGGCAGAATGCAAGCAATAGCCGGTACGTGACAGGGAACCTTCTCTTCTTAGATTTTTTATTGATCACTGGGTTTGGGTGCATGTCATGTTGATGTAGAGATCACGCACAAGTCAGGAACAGTAGCAACAATGCTATGTTGGCGTGTCGTCTCTGCTTGACCTGCATACACCCATTCATGTACTGTTCACACACCACTAGACATTGTGCATAAGCAGAGCTGCAGTCCATTGTACACTCACATGTGTATGTTGCTCCCGTAATTTCAGTGTTGAACAGCGCCTTATGCCTGATCAGGCTGGTGAGTATTTACTATTTATCCACATGGTGTTGATAGGACGCTTTCAACCTATGCTGACAGTGCATACTAATATCGATCGCAGAGCAGGTCTCGCACATCTCAAGATGCCTGAAAAATGTTCACAGACAGCCTTAGTAGCTGGTCTATCGATAGCTGTAGAAAGTACTGGGGTTGTACTTTAAACATCGTGTTTGGATCGACGTGATCTCTTCTGATCACTTGCAGGGCATGCTCAGCCAGGCATCAAAGGGTTAATGTAGTGCTTCAAGTAACCGAGACAGCCAGTGGTTGACAATGTTGCTTCTCCATTGCAGGGAACGCTTGCCACTGGAGACGGATTGCTGGCTACTTCAGCTGGCGCAGAGGAACCACGAGTATCGCGGCGAGGTGCTGACTGGCATTGTACCGGGCTACAGGTATGTGTTGACGCCGTGGGCCTCCTACATGAACACCTGGAACGGCCGTGCGGGCATCAACCTGAACAAGGACAACCGCTGTGTGCTGGAGAGTCCGGTGCGGCGCAACCAATCTCTGCACTGGATTGGAAACTTGACCCTTCAGCCGGCGCCAGGAGAAGAGTTTGAACTGAGCATACAGGCACTCGATGAGTCATTTGGACAACGCGTTGCAACACTACTGGTTTCGGTAAGCCACATGTAGTCTCTAGTACAAGTATCGTAAAATCCTGCCAGAGCGCTCCTACCTCCGCGACCCTTCGAGTAGATCCCAGTGGGGAGGGGCGGATGGGCGAGTCCTACTTGCCGCATTCAGTAAAAAGTTTAAAAATACTCGCCCTGCGAAAATGTGCATACATCTCACCCCGCTTCCAGCTTGAGGTCAGACAGCGCCAGGCAGATCTTGCCGACGGGTCTGACCGAAGACTGTTGTGATGTGACCACGCTTGTGCTGAAAGTGTATGCGGCAGCGGCATCTATAATTATAGTGAATCAGTCCAAGAGGTTCTAAGGAGTCAAATACATATAATAGAGAGGTTCCGCACTACGTGAAGTTGAGCAACTTTACGTTAGTGGGCGGGAAAAACCCGTGAATTCGCGAGTTTGCACTCCACTTACGGAAAGTTGTGTACGCAGAGTACGTAGATTGGGCTCTGATAACGTAGGTGCTCCATAAGTGGAATGGGGTACACATTTATGACTCTCTCGCCAGGTCGATCCGGTCGTACACTGTCGCGTTCGGAGTAGCCAAGGGCAGCTACGTGATTTGAAAACTCTGTATGGCGGAACACAGATCCGCATGCAGTATACGTAAGACTTTCCGTAGATCGACTACGTTTTTTACTAACGTAATTGCGTTGTGCGGAACCTCTCTAATATTGTGTATTTGACTAAGCAGTCAAATACGGCGATATATTTGACCGCTTACGTATCAGGAAAATCAGTGGCGTCGGATACTAAGAAGGCGATAAAATGTTTGATTGTCTTTCTATACAATGTTTAATTGTCTTTCTATACAATGTCTAATTGTCTTTCTATACAATGTTTGATTGTCGTAGACCGAAACATTAATTTTAAATACAGTTTGAAATGTGGCAATTAGCCCATGGCTAGCTTGCCATAGCTATGAAGCTGCTGGAAGTGCCCAGTCGCACCTTGGGTTGAAGTGTATATTGAGTTGTGGCATTGAAACCTGATGCAGTATACATGTTAATCTGTTCACAGTAGTTGCTGAAAACAGGCTATTTACGGCTAAGCCTGAAGTGTGCCTGCTATACCATTACGAAACAGGCCCGTTGCAACCACTTTGGAGGTGGGGCGGCCATGGAGGGGGGGGGGGGGGGGGTCCGGGGGTCCTCCCCGCGGGGAAAAAAATCAAAAATTGAAGCCAATTGCAAGCATTTCCGGGCATTTGGTGCCATTTCAGTGTAACTAAAATGAAAGACTTTTTGATTCTGCAACAAACCTTGAAAATGCTATGATCAGGGACAAACATTACCCTCCCCCGGGAAAAAATTTCAAAAATTGAAGCCAATCGATTTCCAGGCATTTGGTGCCATTTCAGTGTAACTGCAATGAAAGGCTTTTTTGTTTCTGCAAAAAAACACGATCGGGGACAAGGATTTGCCACATTTGTGCTGAGCTGCGATCATCGCGCTTTGTTGCAGAACGTTCCAAAAAAAAAAAAACGGCCGAAAGGGTGGGGCGGCCTCAGTCGCCCCAGCCGCCCCGGCTGTGACGGCCTTGCAAAAGTGGTGATGACACTAGTTTCTCTGTGGAACAGGTCAGTGCTGAACATGATGATGTCGTACTCGGCAGACTTGGCTTTGTCTTCAAGCATAACAAGCACGAGGTCTTCACCAGCACCAAGCCAATGCGAGGCCTTCGGCTGTTCGGTAGGCCTGGTGCCAGAGGACACCTTGTCATCTCCGTTAAAGGTATGATTGAACTTAGTGAATGTGTGTGATACCTGTCCACTATACCTGGGATGATAGTGCACCATGATACTTGTGCAATATGTATGATATTGACCAAGACGAGGTCTATATTTCCCATATAGACCGAAGTCGAGGTCAATATCCTGTTTATCACGATTCCTTTGCCATAACCCCAAAATTTGAACCTTTAGAAGCTATTTTGACCTTTTCAGTATAGCATTTGTACTATAGTGTAAATAGGATGTTGCCTATTTTGGGTACAAGACTGTAAGAACAACAGGGTTCAGCATCTGCAGCACAGTGGCTGGGTGGTATAAGGGGTTGCTTGAGATTTATACTGTTGTGGGTTCGAATCTTGCTTGTTCTCTTCCGTTGTCTTCTTTCTTTCAAATTTTCTTTTTGAAGTGGAGAGAAAATTTCTAAGTCCCTCCAAAGTCGAAAGATTTTAGTGGGTTGCTTTTACGCGTGCCACTAACTCACGCGGCTTATAGTGTTCGAAATCCCAAAATCCCCTGGTCGACAGAAAGCTCCGGAGTAAGCTAGAATTTAGCTTATAGCTGGACAAATTATCTCAAACATCTCCCATCAGAGAGAAGAGAAAATAAGTAAAAACTCTAAGCATGGCCACAAAAGCCACCAGTCAAAAGATTACAGAAAAATACACACTGTGAAAAAGGGCACAACCTTTGTACGCACGAGCTGTCAGCATGCCAGCAGCATGTACCAACTGCATGGGGGGTCTGTGTGCCATGTGCCAAAAACGGAAAGGTGAGAAAAAGGAAATGCGTACACGGAAATGGCACATTTGCGTGCGTACAAGTGTGCATGCCTGTAGACGTAGAATATAATGTGGGCATGATAGTAGAGTGCAAAAATCCATTCCGGCGGGTCATGTGATGCCTTGAATCACAACAATACTCCCCCACCAGTATGTAAGAGGAACGAAATGCATACGATAAGGAAAGCAAAATAAACCCCGAAGTACTAATACATGTACTGGAAAACAGAATGCAGCATGACGGAATGCGGACGTAGTGTAGCAGAAGGGAATGCAAGCACCAAACAAAAAGGAGCGTGCACGAGAAAACACGACCAGCAGGCAATACTGAAAGCCAAACGCACACACAATTGAACAGAGGCAGGCCGCGCACCACAGTACACGAAAGGACTACTCAACCTCCGTCAGCAGAGGCGAGATAGGCGGCCTTGATGCCGTCGATGGAGACAGTGTCGGACTTGCCATGGATGTCAAACACAAAGAACTTGGCTGACCGGGAGATGCATGGAGACAGAAACGTTAGTCAGTGCACCCGCCAGCATCTCCGTGCGCATTTCGTCCTACTCACCAGTACAGATCCGCATCACGTACCGCAACCGTATGCCGCTTGCACGTGTCAGCTCAGGCAGTGCTACCTCCAGTGCCGACAGGAGCACCCCAGGGCAAAGTGTAAGGCCTCATCAGTAACTGTGTGAGCACTCAGTTTCTCACTTCTCAAAATTACTGGACTCACATCCTGATCCTATGCTCCGGAGGTATGTTGCACATGGTCGTAATTGTGGGGTTGTGGTAGGTTTCATCGGCAACCACTCAACTAACTGGGATCCATTGAATTTAACACGGTCACATGCTAACCCAGATTATATTTCTGCGCAACGATCCGTTTCTTGCAGCAGGCTTGAAACAGCTGGCCCGTGTTCTTCACCCCCTTTCTCGTCTCTGTGCTGTTCCGGCGTAGATGCGGTTCCTAGACGAACGGGAAGTTACACATGACACACCCTTTGTAAAGCCTGAAGGGTCGAAGTGTCAACGATTACATTCCAGCAGACCGTATCTCTCCACAATGTCAAGATGACAATGCTGCAAACATGATTAGACAATTGCTCGCCCCGCTGTATCTTGCTAAGCTCAATGTTAAAAGTGCATTCTGCCGAATTCCCGTCTGCCCGAAGGAGTGGCCCTTGTTGAACCGCTGGCAGGATCATTACTGCTATGAGAGCGTCCTGCCCTTCAAACTGTACTACGCTCCAGGCCAGCTATATGGAACTCTGTCGCATCCGCCAGTGAATGGATTGTGTGCGGGCAGTTCGCACTCCCACGCCTGTTGCATTCCGGAGAATAGCTCAATTAACGTTACTTCCTCAATGCATGCTCTGGACTTGTGTTACCTCGCCAGCAACTCGCTATTCTGCTCCGAGCGTTTACATACCTCGGTGTTTCTCTGGCCCCAGCAAAAGTGGAGGGTCCAGCTCAAGTCCTGACGTTATTGGCATCTTCCCATTACGGGAAATACCTCGACTAACGTTTCTGTCTCCATGCATGCTCTGGACTTGTGTTAGCTCGCCAGCAACTCGCTACTCAGCGCCGTGCATTTACATACCTCGGTGTTTCTCTGGTGTCAGCAAAAGTGCTTCCTCGATGTATGCTCTGGACCTGTGTTAGCTCGCCAGCAACTCGCTACTCGGCGCCTTGCGTTTACATACCTCGGTGTTTCTCTGGCGTCAGCAAAAGTGGAGGGTCCAGCCCACGTCCTGACGTTTATCGGCGTCATCCTGGACACCTGCGCGCTCACATCAGTCTGCCGATGGACGAACTTGCCAAGCTTCACGACCTCCTACGGGCCACTCTCAACACAGCTCCAACTACCCAATGTCAACTCGAGTATCTTCTGGGAAAGCTCTCGTTTGCTACAAGAGTGATAGTCCCAGGACGCACATTGCAGATTGTGGTCACTTGCCAACTGGTACCGGCAGCCGTATTACCTGATCAAGCTCTCCGAAGAGTGCCTCAAATACCTTCGCTGATGGCCTGAGCTCCTGGAATAGTAGAACGGCCGGTCCTTCTTCCTACACCCTAAGTGGACGCCGTCCCCCAACTTGCTGCTATTCACTGATGCAAGTGGTGCACTGGGCTGGTGCGCAAACAATTGCGACCGGGGATAGGGCAATGGACAGTCAATCAAGCAGACCAGCCAATCGCAAAGAGTGGTTTGCAATTGTGGCAGCACCTGGGAAAGCTAGCGGCACCAGCTGCAAATGCCAATCGATCGGCTTTACAGCAACTGCAAAAATCTTGCTCATCAGTTGTGGCTATGGCTTGGCGTTATACACCGGCCACTCGTTTCGAATCAGCTGCCGGACTCGATATTCAGAGAGGCGGGAAGGTGGAAAGCCATGTCTGCCCGAGTAACATTCAGAGGCCACCAGCAGCCAAAGCATGGGTGGCTGTGGCAATGGCCTCAGCCCATGATATCGAGTTCCTGTTAGTCAATCCTTACCGAGCTTGCACTGCTTACAAATTTCACAGGTAGCTGCACTTTGTGATCCGCTCTGGGAGTGCCGATTTATGGAATATATGCTCTCAACTGGTTATGCATCTCTATATATCTAGCATTTGGCGGCTCTATTCAGAGTCATTGGCGGCTCCATGCGGAGGCATTGGCGGCTCCATGCGGAGTCATTCGGCGGCTCCATGCGGAGTAATTGGCAGCTCCATGCGGAGTAATTCGGCGGCTCCATGCGGAGTCATTCGCTGGCTCCATGCGGAGTCAATTGCCGGCTCCATGCGGAGTCATTCGCCGGCTCCATGCGGAGTCATTCGCCGGCTCCATGCGGAGTCATTCGCCGGCTCCATGCGGAGTCATTTGCCGGCTCCATGCGGAGTCATTCGCCTGCTCCATGCGGAGTCATTCGCCTGCTCCATGCGGAGTCATTTGCCGGCTCCATGCGGAGTCATTTGCCGGCTCCATGCGGAGTCATTTGCCGGCTCCATGCGGAGTCATTTGCCGGCTCCATGCGGAGTCATTTGCCGGCTCCATGCGGAGTCATTCGCCTGCTCCAAGCGGAGTCATTTGCTGGCTCAGCTGCGAGCCATTATACCAGTTGCTCGAATCGGCACTCCCAGCTTAATGCAAAACTCGGTTGCTCTGTTGTGAGGTGGGGGGGATGCTAAATGAGCGTTAGCATGCTAACGCGAGTTAGCAGCCAGCCCAGCGAGCTGGCCCAACCTGCATGCATGCGCGAGTCACGTGGGCACGCGCCCTTCAAAATCCTGTACAATGTCTCTTTCATGTCATTGCTGTTTGGACTTTCGAGCGTGCAACTTGCGGAACAGGTGTTCCCAAAACAATTTCCTTCCCACCCTCCCACCCACTAGCTCAACTCATGTTTCTGGCGCACACGTGACGGTATCTGTATAGTCCATGAGAATATATGCTCTCAACTGGTTATGCATCTCTATATATCTAGCATTTGGCGGCTCTATTCAGAGTCATTTGCGGCTCCATGCGGAGGCATTGGCGGCTCCATGCGGAGTCATTCGGCGGCTCCATGCGGAGTAATTGGCAGCTCCATGCGGAGTAATTTGGCGGCTCCATGCGGAGTCATTCGCTGGCTCCATGCGTAGTCATTCGCCGGCTCCATGCGGAGTCATTCGCCGGCTCCATGCGGAGTCATTCGCCGGCTCCATGCGGAGTCATTTGCCGGCTCCATGCGGAGTCATTTGCCGGCTCCATGCGGAGCCATTTGCCGGCTCCATGCGGAGTCATTCGCCTGCTCCAAACGGAGTCATTTGCTGGCTCAGCTGCGAGCCATTATACCAGTTGCTCGAATCGGCACTCCCAGCTTAATAACCAATGGACATAGTGAGTTACCCTGGCCCCAACCCTAGCCATAACCCTAGCAATAACCTGTACACCGCTGATAAATTACTAAACAGTATGCCCCCGACAATGACTAATCTGTGGACACATACCAAATACTAATCCCCCGACGCACCTTTTAAATTAATAACCATTGGACATAGTGAGTTACTCTAGCCCCAACCCTAACCATAACCTGTATACCACTGATAAATTCCTAAACAGTATGCCCCCAACAATAACTAATCTGCGGACACATACCAAATACTAATCCCCCGACGCACCTTAATTAATGCAAAACTCGGTTGCTCTGTTGTGAGGTGGGGGGATGCTAACTTTGGAAAAATAAATTTGGGGAAATAAAAAAACCCTCGCTCGCACCGATTTTCACAGGCTCATGACCTGAGAATTAACTTTATTTTTTACCATGGCCTAATGGTGATTAATGGTTTGCGATGTTTTTCAATCCATCCTTGCACTAACTTCTCCACCTGTGGATCTGACGGCCATTATTGCAATTTCTCCACCGCCCTGTCTGTGATTGCCTCCAGATAGACTAACGTTTACTGATACATTTGGAGTCCGGTTGACTTTGCGCATTCCGTTCCATCTGCGTGAGTGTCATTTTGGTTACTATAAATGGCAGCCATCATTAAAAAAGGTAAGCGAGCAAATGTGATCAGGTGAAGACAGTCATGGTGGATGAGACTGTTGGTCGTCAGCATTGTAGTTACTGCTACAGGTAGACTCCCTCTAATTCGAATACGGTATAATTCGAACATTCCGTGTAATTCGAACTTTTTCGTCGTACCGATCTTCTGCAAGTCACTTCAAGTCAAAATCGAATGCATAATTCGAAGTACGAAAAGTGCGCCGGTTGGATAATTCGAACCCAGTCTTCGTACAGAAGAGCTGTTTACAGTACATTGGCTATGTCCTTTGAACGCTTATTTCGAAGTGAGATTGAGTTGCTATCCTTGTAATTCGAAGTTGATTCTTTTCTCCTTCTCTAGCCAAGAGTAGCTCAAAAATCGATCAATGGTCCGCTGCAGGATCGACTATAGCGTTCGAGAAACCCACCTTCTCTCGAAATTTGATTCAAGCCTGTGCGAGGCAAATTGCAAAGGTTTGATTGAAGACGACTTCTTCCAGGTGGCTGACTCTCTTCGCGGATCTCGATGGCCTTTCTTGCCGCGCCAGCTCGTGCGGGGAGATGTTGGCGCACAACAACACTATTGTTGTAAATATTGTCTATGCCTATGCTTCACTTCCGTTCTTCAGAACGACGTGCTGCTGTCCGACGGCCTTTCATGACGCGGATTAGGCAGCGCAGTTCTTTTTCGTTGAAATTTGTGTCAGGAAAGCTGCAGTGACTGTTACTTCTTCACTAGAAGATGAAGATAATGTCAAAATGATTTTGTGTCGATCCAGTGTTTTGATGATCCGTTGTACATGACCGGTACGACCACCTATGTTTCGTTGATGCAAATAAAAATGTGCAAAAAATATTCAGCATGCGATTTCGAGCATTTTGACATACATATCAGTGCATGGGGCTGCATTTGGATAATTAGAAGTTCTGGATAATTCGAAGTTAGGGCCTGGCAATTTGAGGTTCGAATTAAAGGGAGTCTACCTGTATCAAAGTGTAATTGGAGTGACTGTGGGCAGCCACTGGCATAACGTGTGTGTGCGTGCGTGTGTGTGTGCGTGTGTGTGTGTGTGTGTGTGTGTGTGTGTGTGTGTGTGTGTGCGTGCGTGTGTGTGTGTGTGTGTGTGTGTGTGTGTGTGTGTGTGTGTGTCCTCGCCCACTTGCTGCAGTGTGGTGAGCCCATAAATGGGATCGTTTTCAAGTCGACCCAGAGTTTGGGGACTTCAGGGGGTGTCGGCCGTGGGGCGGTTCAATAGCCAATTGAGTCATCTTTCCAAGATTCCTTTTAAATCTCTCACCCCTCTTCGGGGGAGACTCGCGTGACCAGTCATGGCAGTGAGCAAGACTGAGTACAGTAGTAGTAGTAGAAAACTGTCATAAAGGTTGAATGCGGACGAGAACGCCTGCAATGCCTACAAACTGCCTATGTCTTACCAGGAGGCTCTGCAAAAGCGATTATCAATATATTGCAGCAAAGAAAAACTTCTGTCGAGATTTCCTTTTGTCTTTGTTATCAGTTTGTTCTCCACGTGGTAATGTCGTAGAGTCTACCTGGTTTTCAAATCATGAAATGTCTGCAGTGCCACGATGTCGCGCTGTCAGAAAGGAACGGTGATTCACCGAAGATGGGATTGTTCCGCGCCTATTCTCCAGGCTTGGTACGGAGACTCCAGGGCCTATCAGCTTTTTAGATCCATAGCTGCCGGAGATAGCTCTCCGAGTCGTCGTGCAAATTGAACATGGTCCCTGACCTCTCACCAGACTGTCGACTTTCTAATTTTGCCGTCGGTCGTCGTTCCATATTGTCGGCCCCCGCAAGGGGACACGTGACGATAATGACAGTGTTTACCAGGACCAGGACCAGGTGTGCGCGTGTGCGCGCGCGCGCGCGCGTGTGTGTGTGTGTGTGTGTGTGTCCCATATGGTGCAGTGGTATGTGCAGTCGATTTCCAATCGAGAGGTTGCGGGTTCAATTCCCGATGATTATGGTCGCACACGTCTTTCTTCTCTTTCTCATTCTCCTAGCTCTTCTTTCATTCTCCTAGCTCTTCTTTCATTCTCCTGGGTGGTTACCAACAGCCAGTATATGCCGGAGTATGTGGTGTGGCGTGTGTGTGTGTGTGTGTGTGTGTGTGTGTGTGTGTGTGTGTGTCAAAAAAGAATGGAAAAAATGGAAAAATGAAAAAAATGAAAAATGAAAAATAAGGATGCACTGGCCAGAAAAAGCCACTTCGATCAGCTGTGTGGTGGATACCAGGCTATAACTAGTGGCGATCAATTCATCAGCCTTGCAAGCTGTTGAATGGTGTAATCCCAGCACAAGTTGCTATGTCTAATGTGGTAGATTTGGTGTCACGTGTTTGTTTCGTCTTGGTCGCTGTGGACACGCGTCATTGGTGGGTGGTGTTGTGCGCATGCACGAAACTGTGTGAGCTAGTCTTTGGTCTGTCGTCTTGTCAAGATGTAGTCGTTTTCCGTGTTCTTGTTTATTCGTCAATAAAAAGAGTGTAAAAAGGCAGTCCAGTGGTGGCGGTTGAGCTGATGCAGTGATGGAGAAGTAATGGTAGACTAACAACTACAACATTTGGCGCCCAACTATCTCTCGACGCGGAGTTCTGCCTCCGCAGCTCACGACCCTGAGATGTGTGTTGCTCCCGTCACTGCTCGACTGTCCTTGTTTATTCGTCACCCCTGTCCGTGTTAGAACGTTCGTCGTGGAGCTGTGTCGTCGTGCTGTGTCGTCGTCCGGTGTCTCGTCGTCGTCGTCCCGTCGTTGTCGTCTACTCAATTCGATCAAGCTGACGCCCTCCGCTGAGCTGTGTTCAAGTGTCGCTGTGCGTCCGCCGTTTCGTTGTCCTGAGACGAGTGGAGTATCAGCTTCGCAGTTGGCTTCCTGCTGCTCCGAAGTCGTGTGCTGGCTGGGAATGCGCCGCCTTTCTTCTCTCCATATCTCTCTTCTTTTCTTTGTTTTCCGGTGAGTGTTTATGTGTGTGCATGCGTGCGTGCATACGGGAGTTTGTTTGAATTGCTACTTGTCTTGGGAACTGGCGTCTGATCATGGTGAACCACGGTTGGTTCTCCTTGTGGCAGTCCACATCGAAGGCAACGAACGTCCGATCAGGGTGAGCCCCGGTTCATTGCTGGGAGCTAGACTCGCTGCTTGTTTGTCGTTGCCATGTATATATTTTATTTATTTTTGTTTTTTCGGTGACAGTCATGGGTTTGACTGGCGTTGTGTGGATATGGGCAGGGCTCATCGGTTTTTAGGCTTAGGTTTAGCCTGTGTTTTTTTTTGTGTGTGCGTGGCTAGACAGCAATGCAGTGTTTCTTCTCTTCTCTTTAACATTCACCTCTCTTTCTTTCTTCTGCCTTTGGTTGCCCTGTTTTATTCTGGGGAGCTGCATGCGTTGGTCCTGTGGCGTCTTTTGCTGTTTGCGGTTGCGTCTCTCTATGCGTTGGTCCTGTGGCTACTTTTGCTGTTTGCGGTTGCGTCTCTCTGCGTATTGTGTTTTATTTGGTCATACCGAGGACGGTATGTGTTTTTTTGGTCGGGATATTGTGGTAGATTTGGTGTCACGTGTTTGTTTCGTCTTGGTCGCTGTGGACACGCGTCATTGGTGGGTGGTGTTGTGCGCATGCACGAAACTGTGTGAGCTAGTCTTTGGTCTGTCGTCTTGTCAAGATGTAGTCGTTTTCCGTGTTCTTGTTTATTCGTCAATAAAAAGAGTGTAAAAAGGCAGTCCAGTGGTGGCGGTTGAGCTGATGCAGTGATGGAGAAGTAATGGTAGACTAACAACTACAACACTAACATAGCTGTTCACTATCCAGCATCGCTTCCGCGATGGGCATGTCTGAGTCTGTCTGAGTGTGTGCACGTGTGTGTGTGTGTGTGTGTGTGTTGTTTTCATGTGTGTATGTGTATGTGTGTGTGTACATGTATATTATAATTATGTGTGTATGTGTGTGAGTACATGTGTGTTATATGTGTGTTTGTAATCCACTTACTGAGGTGTGGTGAGCCTGCGATCACGTGCTCTATCCCTTTTATTTGATTGCATGGACCCGAAATACACTAAGACCCGCCCTAACCGCATGCCCTTGGTGCAGGGAAAACTGTCCTGATATGACAGGACAGTTCCTGATATGACAGGACAGTTCCTGATATGACAGGACAGTTCCTGATATGACAGGACAGTTCCTGATATGACAGGACAGTTCCTGATATGACAGGACAGTTTCTGATATGACAGGACAGTTCCTGATATGACAGGACAGTTCCTGATATGACAGGACAGTTCCTGATATGACAGGACAGTTCCTGATATGACAGGACAGTTCCTGATATGACAGGACAGTTCCTGATATGACAGGACAGTTCCTGATATGACAGGACAGTTCCTGATATGACAGGACAGTTCCTGATATGACAGGACAGTTCCTGATATGACAGGACAGTTCCTGATATGACAGGACAGTTCCTGATATGACAGGACAGTTCCTGATATGACAGGACAGTTCCTGATATGACAGGACAGTTCCTGATATGACAGGACAGTTCCTGATATGACAGGACAGTTCCTGATATGACAGGACAGTTCCTGATATGACAGGACAGTTCCTGATATGACAGGACAGTTCCGCTTGATGTTTTACTGTAGACGAGCAGTGCAGTGCAGTGCAATGCACTGCACTGCACTGGGTGCTGCTCTGCATGCAAACCGTTCTAACTGCTTTGCTTTAATCATACAATCAATCGTACCGGCTATTCATACCAACCAATCACGCTGACCCGTCTTACCAACTACAACTTCATAAGCAAATAGAAGTACATACTCTGTGTCCACCCAGGCTGTGCAACTGATCCAGGTACTCAACATGGCGACGACATCTGACGACGTATGCCAAGCCTCCACGGACATCAGAGATACGCTTGGATGCAAGTGTTTTTCGGACAAGTATGCCAGCTGCATGAAGAGCTGCTCCAACCGGGAGGTGTTAATCAAATCACACTGCTGGGCTGGTGGACAGTTCGCCGATCGGCCAAGTACCTATGAAGAAGACGCCCCGTACCGCATCAAGGAACAGTTCACCATGTCCACGACCGAATTTTTTGAATACAACACTGGAGATCCGCTGGGAAAAGCTCAGCACAATGACAACATGTTCACTGCGCAGGCATGCTCCAAAGATAGCTGTGCTTACCATAACGGTTCAAAGTACTGGATGCTGGGCCAGGACAATCCGTGCTCACTGGGTACGCGGACGACCGGTCCGCTGTGCTCGACCTGTTTGAAAGACTACTGGTCATCTCTTGGATTATCAGTAAGTAGGAGTTTCTATAATGCCAAACATGAGCTGCAGCAAAGGAAGTACGCACTACTTGTTAGCATGTGTATTTGCATAGGATGATTAGGATGTTGTAGTGCCTTTTCTGCGGAACCTCATAATTTTGTGGAAAATGTCAACATGCTTGATCACACAGAACGGGCTGTGTTGCACAGTACAACAAGAAACACAATGCAGATCATAATTATAGTGTTGGTGACATGCAAAACAAGAACAAACAATGCAGATAATTATAGTGCTGTTGACATGCAAAACAAGAACAAACAATGCAGATAATTATAGTGCTGTTGACATGCAAAACAAGAACAAACAATGAATACTGTATTCAACAGGCTCTCAGCGACGGGGAGGGGTGTAATAATTAGGCTCTGTAAAGGTTGATTTGTTGTACCAATCTGGATAGACGAGAGAAATTGGTAGGTGGGCTGAGGGTGTAAAACGTACTACACTGCACCCCTGGTGCATGTTGAAATTACCTTTGCAAGGGAGCTGGGTAGCTAGGAGAACTGACAGCAGTAAAACCTGGTCTAAGCGACCTCTGTGTTTAGCGACCACCTGCTCTTAACAACCGTTTTTCTATGCACCGACAGTTTTACACAGACACTGCGGGACCTGGTTCTAAAGACCACCTGGCTTTAGCGACCGCTTTTGCTTGCACCATGTTTTACTGTATATACTTTTCTCCATGTGTTTCAGTCTTTAGATTGATGAAGAGCTAAAAAAATCAGCAACCGTTGGATACATGTTTTCATGGTCTTTGGCGTACTCTAGCATACTGCAGCACCGTGGTGCACGCTAACTTATCTGAATTCTGGTTGTTTGGGTAGCTAGGGTGGCCGCTAATGTTTTCAACGATGTTGCACACGGTTTCTGTTTTCGGTCTGTTATCTTTTGCTGTCCTTCGTGTGTACGTGCACACAGTTCTGCGAGCGCTGCACGGGAGGCGTTCCCATCGGCGTGTTTCTCTTGGTCCTGTTCATCGCAGTGACCATTGCTTTCATAGTGGTGCTATTGCTGAACATAGGTGTGACACCACCACTAGACTCATGGCTCTTCTATTGCCACGTAAGTGAAGTTAGTTTCATGGTGTTTGCTACAGCTGACTGTCAGGTCGGTGAACGCCAGTATCAGTTGTATGTTTCGTGCAGAATTATTGCATGATTTGGTTGCCAATTGGTTGGTTGTTTTTGGTGGACAATTGAAATGCCTAACTAAGCTATGCACCGCTTGCTAGGAAAGAGTGTACAGTCAACTTCGCTTAGAACGACACTCGGCGGGGCATCAGAAAAGTGTCCTTATTCGCGAAGTGTCGTTATACCCGAAGTCTCATTATATGTGTCACAGTTAGATGGGACTTTGCTCTGGGCATAACAATTATGTCGTTATTCGCGAATTGTCGTTATATCCGCAGTCGTTATTAGCGAAGTTGACTAGTCGGAGCAGAGTACAAGTGCCTTGGTCACTACAACAAAGCAGAACTCGGAACTATAATTAGAACATGTGAGAAAGGCGCAGGACTGTCTTATACCGTAACTACGGGATTGTACTTGTTCTAACGCTGGGAAGTATACAGATGTGAGCAGTTGGTGCATACGTGTCAGCAATTAAAATCGTGTGAATGAAACCTTGTCTTTTTATTCTTCCTCGCTTCTCTCTGTTGTTCGCATTCCTGGTATTAGGCATGCTTGCCTGTTTGAATTGCGAACAAGAGAGCTTGAAAACTCAGGGCCCTCGCTATGCTTTTTTGCCTAGGTCATCATGCATGTTATTCGAACTGCTGAAAACGTTTTTGCAATACAATGATAAAAATAAAAATACGCCCACCCTCCCCATTTCTTTCTGAAAAACAGGACGATCATGAAGTACATACCATTGTATTCCCTGGCTTGGTCTAATATTGGATTCGAATCGCACTATCGCCCTGCATGCATCCCCCCCGATACACTTCGCATACATACACATTCTTCCAAGTTTAGGGTTCACAGATTGGCATGCTAGCGTCGCCAGCTACATCATGCACGTGACAGGTGCGTGCATATACTGTACCACACAATCAGTGGGTGCTCAAATCGCATTTTCCCATCAATATCATTCACTTTCAACTCTGCGGGATTCATTACGGTTGGCTCAAACTGCCTGAATTTTTGAATCCACACGCACGAAAGACGTTCCAAGACTTCCACCGTTCGTATTTTTTCAAACGAGTTCCGGGTTTTACAGTAACTTTGGCCAAAGTTCGGCTAAAAAAACATTGGGAGCCGTTGCGTTTCCATAAAATATTGAACGGTAAAAGGATAGCCAAGGTCGAGAGCAAAACAACAAGCCATTATTTGTCAAAATCGAATATGAAACGGCTCAGCGCATCTATTTTCCGTGCGCATACTTTGGCCGACAAGGTGTGCAGAATTTTTGAAGAAGAAGAATAACAAGAGCAGCAGCGCTCAGAACAGCCGTGCTGTATACTTCCAATCCCGACACGATGGAGCGTGTTGGCTGATGGGTATGTTTGCGGCTCGTTCGCATTAACGTAAAATTTGAAATGTATCACACGAAGAAAAGAGGACCAAAGAGCTACAAGTTACTCTATATTATCCACTAACACCACCAGTTACTTTACGATCAGCTGTTGGAGTGCGCATCCAAGATGTGCTAGAGCTGATTGCTAGTTCGGTGTAGAACGTCAGTACCGTTGGTCAGTGTCGTGCAATGTTATCGCATGAGCTGATTGTAAAGTAACTGCAGTGGTGTTAGGGGATAATATAGCATAACTTGTAGCTCTTTGGTCCTCTTTTCTTCTTATAAATTAATCCTTGGCTCTCCACCCGAGTCAACCTATGTATCACACAACCAAGTGATCATGGGCGAGCAGCATTACCAATAGGCTTTGATCACGGGCGGGAGCAACGTACAAGATTGCATGCACTGATGGCGACGATAATGTGACGGCTCCTGTATCCCATGTATTTCCTGTTTCGATAGTGGGAGGTGCATGAGCGAACTTTTCCTTACTTTTGAGAAGATATTGTGTTTGAAGCCAGGACCATGCAGTTCTGCTGCAAAGCCCCAGAACTAAGTACTCAGCCCGAGGTATGGGTACGGGGTGCACCATGTGTTTTTCAGGGGTGTCGCAGGGCAGTGGGGAGTGGTACGAGGGGTAGTAGTAGTAGTAGTAGTAGTAGTAGTAGTAGTAGTAGTAGTAGTAGTAGTAGTAGTAGTAGTAGTAGTAGTAGTAGTAGTAGTAGTAGTAGTAGTAGTAGTAGTAGTAGTAGTAGTAGTAGTAGTAGTAGTAGTAGTAGTAGTAGTAGTAGTAGTAGTAGTAGAGTAGTAGAATTTATTATTTTGATAGGGAAGGCCCTACAGACGTTGCCGTCTTGTTACAGGGAACCCTAAGGGTGGGGGTGTCCCCGGTAAAAAATTGAAATTTTTGGCCAACAGGGCGGCACATTTTAGTGCTCTTTTATTGATTTTTTGGATGAATTAGGCGTGGCATCCTGAATGAAAAGTGGTACAACTATGGTCATACTGGTCGTACTGGCCGTACCTCTTTTATTGATTTTTTGGATGAATTAGGCGTGGCATCCTGAATGAAAAGTGGTACAACTATGGTCATACTGGTCGTACTGGCCGTACCGTGTGTGGTGCCCCTGTTAGTGTGGTTTGGAGCTAGGGAGTTTTTTAATAATTTTTTTAATTGGAAATCACGAACCTTCAGACATGTGAATGTGCACATAATATACCGTGTACATGCGTACATAGCAGACTCAGCGGAGAACATATACAGTGTACATGCGTACATAGCAGACTCAGCGGAGGACGTTCAGGTTGGTTGTAACTCTGAGTTTCATGCCGTTAGGCAATCGTCAGCTCTAAGCTAAGCTAAGCTAAGCTCTGTCTCTGACATTGAGTCACTCTCTGCAGCTCGGGGATCAACGGATTTGTGTACATGCGTATGTATAGAGAAGGCAGCACTGCAGCGGCAGTGGTGGTGAGGCCTGGGCAGCTCGTCCGACCGTGGGTCTCGGAGTCGATTCTACTACTTCTTGAAGTACTCCCTGTTTCGACCTGATAACCTTTTCCTTAGGCAATTTAGATGCAAATCACAATGCAAGAGATCTTTGAAAGTTGGCAGTAGTTTGTTCATGTACGTTATCATTCAGGTTGGAGAGTGCTAGAATACAGATCTCTCGTGCAGATTCACGCCTGGAAATGTTTTTGAAATGCACGACACTATTTCTTGACATTATAGGAGCATGCAAGCATTGGTGGTTCAGTGGTAGAATCCTCGCCTGCCACGCGGGGGGCCCGGGTTCGATTCCCGGCCAATGCATTTTTCTCTTTGAGAATTCTTCTCTTTTACTTTTACTGGTATCTGCGGGCTCATCAATACATAGGGGGAAAAAATACGTAGGTACTGGCACTATCGCAGACTCAGCGGAGGACGTTCAGGTTGGTTGTAACTCTGAGTTTCATGCCGCTAGGCAATCATCAGACAACTGATACTCTGGTCTACCCAACAGTATGCTTATAAACACATAGGGCCACAAGCATAAACAAATTTAGCGCTAAATCTGGTGTGAGGTATGGGGAGAAAGCTGGCGCGGGCCAAGGCGCGACCGTGGAAGTGCCAGGAGGGTGGCGGGCAACAGGCAGGTGTGAGCATGAAAGCGCGGAAAGAGGCGATGGGGAGGCAGTGTACAGCAGATGTGTGGGGGGTGCCAGGAGGGTGGCGGGCAGTGGCCCAGTGAGATCACTACAAGTAGGGAGTCGTTTGGTGACGGGCAGGCGTGAGCAGAGTGGCATCGCCAACAACAGGCCAAGGGATTGTGTTATTTTATAATAATGGGTGCTCAGGCAAAGTGCAGTACAGTACTTGGTCAGTTCATGTGATAGGTGTGAAATTTGCGAGGCGGAACTTATTCTCATGCCTGCACTTCGAGACCATCTCAGACCGCTTGTTGAGTAGGAGCTTCTTGGGTGTAGTCAGGATGTGGAATTTTTCCGCGGTACAAAGATTGCATTTTTTTGACTCACATCTGTATGATCGGCTCTTCTCCCGCACCTTCCATGTGATGGTCAACGGCTTTCCCTCGCTCTTCAGCTCCCATACGTGTTTTGCGAGCTCAGTGCTGTTTTTGTATTTTTCATGACGCATGGAGGTCAGGTGGTTGGCGTGACGGGCTTTGAAAGGTGTCTCTGATAGGCCGATGTAAATCTTGCTGGTAGATTCTGCAGTGGCCTCATACACAATCTCCTTCGTCTGGCACTCTCCACGCAGCGGGCAGGACTCCTTAATTCTGCAGTTGCATGCCTTGGTTTGTTCTGGCTCTCGCAGGTTGCTCTTGTTGTGGCTGCTGATGACCGCTCCCATGTTTGGCATACAACTGTAACTCACTTTCAGAGTGTTACGGTTAAAAATCTTCCCGAGCTTGGATGTTTTCGGGAAGTGCCTGGAGACAAGGCTCAGGAACCTACCAGCGACGTTTGTGCTAACGTTTTTGGAGTAGGGAGGGTTGAACCATATGATCTTCCGGCTGCGGTTCTTCCTGCCCCTGTGCTCATGTGCCTCGGGCTGAAAGCTCAGCACTTCGGTGTATCCACTGGCCTTTAATGCGGTCTGGTACACGGGGGCTGCATGGTTGAATGCCTCCGCGTCGCTCGATATAGCGGAAAGGCGCTTGTTGACAGCAGCAGGGATGTTGTTGGTGATGCCAGGCGGGTGGTTGGACTGCTTGCTGACGTAGAGCGGGTTGTCATTGGGCTTTCGGAAGGGTTGAAATTTCCCGGTGTCCAGGTTCATGGTGACATCCAGGAAATCCACCACCTTCAAGTTCGCTTCGATGGTAATTTTAAGGTCGAAGCGCTTGAATATTTCCGTCAGCTTTTTTCTGAGGCGGTCTGCAGCCTGTGGGCTGGTGTCCTTGAGGGCGGCCAGTCCATCGTCTCGGTAGAGGCCGATAGCGGATCTACCGACGAGGCTTGAGAGCTGGTTGAGAAGAAAGGCCCCCACAAGTTCGCACGTCTCGGCGCCATCGTAACTTCCCATTGTTACGTCAAACATGTCGCCCTTGTCCTTCATCCAGGGGCGGCCATCGTGGAATAAGAGCGATTTCCGGGCGTGAAAGATGATGTCCATTTCACGAGGCTCGATCGTGATGAATTGCTCCGCGAACGATAAGGCCTGACGGAGGAGCTGCTCACCAATTGACGGGTAGAATTCTACCACGTCAAAGCATAGGAAAGTGTGGCGCTGTTTGTCGGGTATCTCCTTGAACCACTCGATCACTGACATGGTGCTCCTCCATAGGTTCACGGCCGTTTGGCGACGCACAGCAGCCACGATCCTCTCCAGTATAGCCTTGCTCACCACACCCACTTCCGATTTGGCTGGGTTAATGAGTCTGCAGGGCAGCGCTCTAGCGAAGTTGTTTTTGTGGTCTTTCAGTGTTATAAATGCCTCCGACTTAGCCAGTACATCCATCCTGTTTTGAAGATTTAGATCCTCTGCGATCTCCCTCGCCTCGCTGTTGACTTCATCGTAAGCATTCTCAGGCGCGATCTTGTAATTTTTGGTGATGTTCTCCCTCATCAGCTTGCTGTATTGCTCTTTTGGTACTTCGTACAAATTCCGGGTTTTATCGGCTTTCACGATGATGTCCTTAGAGTTTTTGATCGTTTTGGTGTCTTTTCTCATAGTGTCTTGGAGGCTGTCTGAAACTTGGCGGAAGCTGACAGTTTCAGCCACGCCAATAAGGTCCTCTTCGAAGGCCTTCAGTTCATCGACTTGCGGCGGACACGTCCTGCTTCTGAAGCCGAAGCGTTCTGGTTGCTCCTCTTCGCGTTCCTCGCCATTGAGGTAGAACAAGGCAGCCCACCTCATACGCTTGATGACTTGCTCAATCCTGTCAATCAGACATTTCCGGTACTGCTTGGGTGAAGGTAGAGGGATGTTCTTCAGGGAATATCCCAGTTTCATTGGCCTTGAAGCGTCCATAGCTAGCTTGCAGTGTAGGGGTAGAGTGCTCGACTGGGTAAGGCCAGGAGCGTAGACAAAATCCGTTGATCCCCGAGCTGCAGAGAGTGCTCAATGTCAGAGACAGAGCTTAGTACATAGCAGACTCAGCGGAGGACGTTCAGGTTGGTTGTAACTCTGAGTTTCATGCCGCTAGGCAATCATCAGACAACTGATACTCTGGTCTACCCAACAGTATGCTTATAAACACATAGGGCCACAAGCATAAACAAATTTAGCGCTAAATCTGGTGTGAGGTATGGGGAGAAAGCTGGCGCGGGCCAAGGCGCGACCGTGGAAGTGCCAGGAGGGTGGCGGGCAACAGGCAGGTGTGAGCATGAAAGCGCGGAAAGAGGCGATGGGGAGGCAGTGTACAGCAGATGTGTGGGGGGTGCCAGAAGTGCCAGTACCGCTAGGTACTGGCACTTGTGTACTTCAAAAATATACATGTACAAGTAGATGCAGGCTATGGTAGTGACGACTAGCACTGACAAATTAATTGTTGGGTTCTCTTTTTCTTCTTCTTAGCGTCCCTATACATACATGTACCACACTCGGCCATGCATGCGGAGTGAGCATTGAAGTCATTTCATGGGATATTAGTGATGTTCTTCGCTCTGCGTTACGGAAACGCGACCCAAAGAACTCTGAGAACACTCTTCGTGTTTTCATACGTATAGGAAACTTGTTCTGCTCTATGTTCACGCAAAGAAATCACGTGTAATGTGTACTGGGAGTTTCCCGTTCCGAATTTAGCAGTTTTCAGTTTTCTCACTAATTTTAATGCGACGCAGCAGATCCGTGCGCGTTTTCTTTGCTTGTGCCACAACGTAGAGAACCTCATCTCCGCGTAGAAATCTGGACCCAAAACATGCGAAGCCGTAGACTCTCACCCAGACGCCTGTTCTCTACATGATTTCTCGTCGTTTCACGCAGAGCAGAACCTCATTGTTACCTCAGTTTTCATTCGCGAGGCATTCCTTGTTGCCGGTGTCATGGTGTCATGATGTCATGTCCGCACTAGTGGTCATTGTTGCTCCGAACCCCCTTGTCTTCTGTCTCCTATCTTATGTCGACATCACCCCCCCCCCCCCTCCTGGTTAAGTCTGTAGGGCTGTGCACAAGTGCGTCACTGAGTCTCCTGAAAAAATGTTTAAAAAATGATTCAAGGCAAGCCTGTGAGCTAGGCATGCGTGGCTTGTCACGAGTAGCCTCTTTAAAGTTGTTTCGGCATGTACATGTTTGTTTTTGTTTTGTGCAATTATTTTTCTGTTCTTTAATGCAGTAGGTCAGACCACTAGCAATGTCTCTTCTTGTAACTACTTACACCGTCCATGTTGTACTGTATCTGTCCTACAGGTCAATTACTGCATAAACAATGGGTTCCACACGACAAGGTCTTTCTACACCAACTTCATCACGCTTGGCGCAGCCAAGATGTGCATCATGCAGCACATGTCACCGATGCTGCGGCAGACACTGCTGATGTGCTCGCCGCTCATGTCCATGACGCTCGTCATCGTGCTGTACACGCTGGCGGCGCGGCGCGTGGGCCTGCGCGTGCTGCAGCGCCTGCAGCAGCGCAAGTCCATCCGCCACGTGGCCTTCTTCATCATCCTGTGGACCAGCGGCATGCTATCCTACCAGGCGCTGGTGCTGATGCGATGCATGCCGCTGGGCGATGGACCGCACGTCCTGGTGATCGACAGCACAGTGATCTGCTTCCAGGGCGTGCACATCTACTACATGGCCATGACGCTCTTTATCATCGCCGTCTTTGTACTGCCGCCGCCCATCCTACTGGCCTGGCGGCCCACGCACATCTTTCCGTCCCTGGTTGGCATGATCGACGAGGCCACCTGCATGTACGAGCCGTCGTGCCAGTGGTGGGCCGTGTTCAACCTCCTGCGGCGCATCGTCTTCAGTTGCATCGTCGCCACGGTGACTGAGGGCTTGACGGCCAGGATGATCCTGTTGATGCTCATGATCACGCAGGTAGCTCTGCACGGATATGTCAGGTAAGGAGTTTAACCGATTCTTGTACCGTGGTTATGGTCAGTGTAGTAGAATCAGATTAACGCACCAGCTCTTCACTGGTATTGCTTGTTGCCTTGATGGTTTGGAGACTACTTGGTCCGCGTCAGCAATATGTATAGGATAGTGACCAAGACGAGGTCTATATGGGAAATATATATATTTCTAAGTCCCTCCAAAGTCGAAAGATCACAATGCCTAAGTGGTCGATACAAGCGGTCGATACAAGCGGTCGATATTACGGCGATATGGGTAATGTAGGACCAGTCAAGGATCACAAGAATCAGTGGAGGTCGATATAGAAGAGTAATAATGTTGCTTATCTTTCGACAAATTGAACTTAGGCCCCGGTCACACCGAAACAAGCCACTTTGGGCTTGTTATCGCTGGCGCTCAGCTGGCTTGCGTGGTCCCTGTGACGCGGTCACACCAGACCTTGACTGCAAAGCTTGAATGGCTTGTTTTTCTTACCCCCCAAATTTTGAATATCTCGAAGCACACCAATGTTTGCAAGAAACCGGAAAGCAGAACGTTCGCGATCTAAAACTGTACTTGTTCTAGTGTTCAGTTTTGATGAAGAAGCAAAGGAAGCTGAGTTGCGAAGTCGTGCTCTTTTTATTTTTTCGGTGTGCATGGACGCGATGGTTCGGGTGGTGTTTCCTGATGTCGAGCTTTCTGCCCCGCCGGTTGCCGTTCTTCAACTCAGTTGCAATCCAATCTCTTCTTCGTACCCGGCTTTCTTCATGAATTCGGTCGTGAGTGTGGTGCCTTGTTTTGGCCTCAAACCACAGCTCCAACAATCTACGCAGCAGTCTAGAGGCACAGCGGCAGAAATCCATGGTCGTCGGACAAAATCCAAATCAAACTGAATACAGTGTAGTTGGATAAACAGACTCACGGTCAAAACCAAAGGCGCAGGGATAGCACGGTTCCAGGGACACAAGAAAGAACATCAATATCAGTTCATCATGTCAACTAGCTACATGCTGTGCTCCAAGCGCACTCAAATTATTTTTTGAATTTCGGCTTTCAGTAGCTTGTACAAGCTGTGGCTGAAACAAGCCGGAAAAAACAGCTGAGAGTCAGCCACGGCTGAAAGTCGCTTGTAGGACATTTTTCAGCCATTTCCATGGTAATAGTGACGTAAACAAGCGCTTTTTTCGGCTGAACGGCTGAATCGAGCTCGGTGTGACCGCGGCCCTAGACTTTGGACATCAACACATGCACTTGAGACGATAAAACTTGGTATGATGGAAGGTAAGGTACAGAATGACAACTGGCCATGAGGAATTTATTGTCCAAGGAAGGTTTTAAGGAAATTAGAGGCCACATGCCACGTACTGCTCTTTTCTCTCCGAAACTCAACACTTGCAAGCCAGATATAAAAGAAAGAAAAAACCATCAGTCACACCACCGGGACTCGAACCAGGGACCTTGCTATTCCAAAAGGAAGGTTTCATACTTTTTTTGGTCCTCCTCGTCGCTGCTCTCAGCGCTGGTGACAAATATATTTTGCTTGGGATCGACACTCTACCTTTCGCAAGCTCATCTCTCTTCCTCCCCGCTGCCTGGCTATTTTCTAAAGGGAAGTCCACCGTGACGGTCGCCTTCTCTATAGGACTTCGCGTGGGCAGCACGACTGCCTGTGTTGTTCAAATCAGTTGCCGTTCTTTGCAAGATCTATTTTGAACGACGACGACGGCTTCAGTACTTGCAAATGTGGAGCGCTTGGGTTGCAATGAAGCCGAGACCCTATGGTCGGTCAAGCTGCCCCTGCCTCTCCCCCACTCTTGCCATTCCATATGTCTCATCGCTGCCTTGCTGCTTTGTGCCGTCAAATGGTGTGTGGTTTTATTGTAAAAAAATCTCCACGATGCGCTGGATACTCCGCGCGTTGAGCAGGAGGTGAGGGAACTGCGATCTCAGCTTGCCGATTACTTTCTTGTGCGTGGCGCTGCTCTTGCCTGTGCAGTGTGACAAGATAATCTATTTTGATGCGGTGCTGTATCAATCAGAATCACCCACCCGTCGCTCTAGAAATTCACTCGAAATCTAGCTAGACCTTTCAGGTACTAGTAAACTAACTTACTAACCGAAATTGCGATGAAATGGGCTGCCAAGTGAGCATTGGCGACATAAGAACAAAGCTGAAAGATAAGCGACAATATTGCCGATGCGGACCAAGTAGGAAATTAGGGTTGTGCTTTGTGAATAGAAGTTGCGTACATCATGCATTGTGACACACAGGCTTTTAGCTGGTGGTGAAACGGGTACAAATGTTATATGTACAATGTTCTCTCCTTGCAGGCCGTATTGCCGCGATGCACAGTTGTGGAAGATCAAGGATGTGGATAACATCATGGAATTTGTCGTTCTCACGTTCCTAACCATCATGGCAGCATATCGCATCCTGCAGGTAGACATTCCGTTCGGACCGTCGCGCACCGAAAGTACGTTCGCCTACTCCTTGTTCGCCATCATCAGTTTCCTGCTGTTTGTTAGCTACGCTTCACGCTTTACGAAGAGTTGGTGGGATACCCTGCGGCAGCATCCTCGCCAGAGTCTAAAGATGCTGTGGACGGAAGTAAGTGATGATGAAGAGGCAGCACTGGCGGCGGCAGCAGCAGCCAGGAACAGCCATCCCAACATGACTCTGGAGATGCTGGCACGGTCTAGGCAACACAGCAGCCACGGCTGCAGAAATGGACTGCCGGCGGCTGAGAATAGCTGTGCAGCCGCCACACCGCCACCACCTGCCAAGCTCAATAGCCACTCATCAGCACAGGTAATGACTACTAGCAGTACAGGTAATGACTACTAGCAGCACAGGTAATGACTACTAGCAGCACAGGTAATGACTACTAGCAGTAGTAGCATGCATTGTTCACTTGAGTCAACAACAGCCTTTTACTCTTAGGGCATGTTCGATTGAGCGGAACCGGTTCCACTGGGATCAATGGAGTGGATCCTTGGGATCCACCAAGAAGGTCCCGCTGCCCTTTTTCAAATCTGGAATTTTAGTGATTTTCGAGTGCTTCCATGAGAGAAAGCTACAATTTCGCATGATCGTTTGTATTCCCGTCGTTTGTACACACATCATGTACAGAGTACGTTTTTCATTAAAAAAAAGAAAAGAAATACTCACTGGTTTGAGGGAAAGACAACAAAAGAAAGGAAGAAAAAAAGAATGCAGTAGAGCTGGTCAGCCCTGCTCCCGGAGTAGGGTTGATCGGATCCAAATCCGTTGGATCTGGATCCGGATTTGTTGAAACGAACGTGCATATATTGAGTGGATCCAATTGATCTGGATCCAGATCCAGCCAATCGAACATGCCCTAAGAGTGGTATCAAAGGAGGCACAACGTGACACGTTTTGCTAACTAAAAACGTTATTAGTATACTAGCGTTACTAAATAGTTGCTGAGGGCACATGAAGAATGCCCAGGTACCACTGGGTGCGGAATATTGAAACCAGTATTTTTTTAAATTAATTGTTTACTTGCAGAAGGGGGGTGGGGGATGAAACATTCTAGAACTTTACATTTTGAAAAACAAACAAAAGCCAAAAACTGGTATCCCTGGACTACTCGGCTCCTAAGTGGGGAAATTGCAAATTGTTAGACTTTCAACTCATACAGTATCAGATGCTGTGGTCACATGACATTGAAGTTTTTCAAGAGTACATCCCCACCGCCATGTGCACCTCAGATCCATGTTCACCGTTCATCAAAACTCCTGTGCTACGTCATTGCTTACCAAGTGACCAGGGATTGTTCAACGATACCATTCAATACCATTCGATACCATTCGATATCATTCGATATCATTCGATATCATTCTTCTTAGCTGTGAGCACATGCACAGTAAAACCTGCCCTAATCGGACAGCTCACATACGCAGCGTAGATCTACGCAGCACTTTTCCTTTATCAAGTTAGCACTGAAAGGGTTTTAAGGTGGCTCACACCCTCTGCGCGCGCATCATTTGAAAAGTGTAGATTATCGCCCATCTCCCGAGCCACACACATATGCAGGCACAGTACTGTTTGGGGTTTGGGCGCTTGTATTTGAACGCCTGCCACAACCGTGTGACAGGCGGATAGACATCATTGGCAAATGTGCATATCACGAGGTAATTGCTGCTCAAAAAAAAAAACCTCAAAGAGCGCAAGGGCAAAGAGTTGCTGTTGTGCCAACAAGCAGGAGACAAGAGTGCCCTCAACCTCCTTGGTCCCGCGTGCGATCGCCCCATGCTGAAAGGGGCAGCCAGGGCGGCTGTGCGTACAGCCTCGCTGGTTGCTGCGCCGCCTCGGCCGCGTGGCCAGCTTGCTCGGTCCACGGCGATAACTACGGTTTGCCCTACTGCACACCTACATTTATCGCCCATCTCCCGAGCCACACACATATGCAGGCACAGTACTGTTTGGGGTTTGGGCGCTTGTATTTGAACGCCTGCCACAACCGTGTGACAGGCAGATAGACATAATTGGCAAATGTGCATATCACGAGGTAATTGCTGCTCCTCCAAAAGTACCCTGCCCAGGGCAGCTTGGGTAGAAAGGCCCGCGACCCCGCCTGCTAGAGAGAAGGCAAGCCCGCCGTTGTGTGGATGTACTGCTTGTACGCTGAGCTACGCCATCGTCCGGCGGCCTGCAGCTGCCACTCTGGGGCGCTGCGCGAAGCCAGCTCCGTGGCACCCCCTTTACGCAGGGAGTGACTGCTAACTCCGGGTCCTAACGCCCTCTTCAGGTAGAAGTTGATGTCCTTCTGGCTGAGTTGTCTGCCGCTGTTGTAGATGAAGAAAGGGGCCCGCGCATTCGGCCATTTCCGTTTGCGCCGGTAATCCTGTATGGCGGTTACTGGGCACAGATCCTTGTTGGCGTTCGGGCGTAGTAGTATTGTGCCGCCGCCGCCAAACTGCGCTGCCTTGGTGGGGCCCAGCTCAATCACCACTCTGGTGTCGGAGGCCCGGACTTGAGCTACTGTCAAGGTGCTGACGCTTGGGGTGCTGGAGGCTGAGGTAGAGGCGTACTCGCTGACGCGTAGCAAGCCGTTGAACGCCGTCGCTACGGCGGCCCAAATCATGGCCTTATCCCCTGCGGGGTGAGTCGATGTGCTCAAATGTTCCTTAAGCCGCAGCATATCTGATGTGCTAACCGCCGGGCGTTGCCGGCTTGCTTGGCTCAGTGGAGCTGCCTGACGTGTGTCGAATTGCTTCCGCTCAACGCCCTTCAGGACGGCCGTGAGGCGCTGGGAGCGCAGTCCCTCTGTGGATGAGCCATGAGACAGTAGGTAATACCTTGTTGCAGCCAGGTACACCTTGATAGTTGCTGCTGACACGGTCTGCGACAGTGATGTAATGAACCGGACAATGTCTTCATTGCCAGGATGTAGTGGATTAAATCCCGCTGCAGATGCGAATTTGGTATACGCCTTAATGCCAGGTTGATAGGTCTTGCGCGTACTCGGAGCCACCGACAGGGCTACCAGACTATTGGCATTTTGCGTTAGCTGAAGCGCCCGCTCATTTCCTGTGCAAAGCAGCCACCGCAAAGGAAAGACAGAAGATCACACATTGGTCAGCTTGACCGCAAGCAAGAGCGTGCATGCGCTGGGCAAATGGCCCTAGCTTAGGCACCTCCCAAAATATGGTAGGTGGCATATTGTAACCCTGACCGTGTTCGGCCCCATGATGTTACTGGCGCGCAATGCCAGTGCCTGGGGTGCAGTTCTGCATCGTGAACCCAAGCATGAAATTTGCATGACTCTAGTGTGACATTGCGATCTGCCATGCAAGGAGCCAGCTGCCTTGCTCTTCCGTCCCGCAGGGACACCGGCCTATTTCTATGCGCACGACATCCCGCTGGGACATCCGAGCCACAGTAACAACAATGCTGGTACTCGCCCAATATGCTCTGCTAATAATTGCAAGCCCAAGCCTCGCGGAGGCCTGTGTGTCATGTGGCGCTGCCCCGCTGGGGCCTCTGCGATAATTAAGCCCAATATGCTCCGCTTATAATTGCCCCTCCAAGCCTCGCTGAGGCCTGTGTGTCATGTGGCGCTACCCCGCTGGGGCCCTGCATTAGGGGAATCTAAAACCCGGGAGCCGTATGCTCGCTGAGCCAACATCGCACGCACACGCCGCTGTCTCGCTGAGACCCAGACATAGATAAAGCGCCAACAATTCTGCTATGTGTTTCGAAGTAATGTTACGAGTTTAATTGAATTGTGAATCTAACGTCCAAGCCGATACCCAATGCGCTGCCGCCACGACAGAGATAGCCATAAAGAAAACAAGACAAACATGTAGCTAATAAGCAGGCATACCATAAGCCAGCAGAGCCATGCATGCATAATCGTGAGGAAAATGAGAAGGTTGAGACGAGGGAGAGGGGAACAAACAAACACGAACAATGTTGGCACTGCTGCTCCTCCCGCCGCGGGGAAAGGAGATAGCGAGTCCTCACAAAATCTCCGGTAGATTACAGGGCAGACTCTCTGCTTCTGGGGCCAATGAGCGGAATCGTGACAGCTGATTTCTGGAAAGGGCATCGGCAATTGTGTTGCCCGCACCCGCAATGTGAGTTATGAGCAGAATGAAGTTGTTCAGAGCGGAAATGCGCAGGGCCTTCCGAATGAGCTCGACAACGCCAGAGTGCTTACAAGAGCCAGTTTTCCATGCCTGCACCACTGCCTTGTTATCGCAGTGGAGCAGAATCTTCTTGCCCGACCACCTGTGTCCCCACAGGGCGCATGCCATGGCGACCGGGACCATCTCGCGCCAGATAATTGCTGCTGAAGCCGCCTGTCCGGGAAAGGCTTCCCAAGAGCTGCTGAACCATTCACCTTGGAAGAAGCCGCCGAAGCCTGCACCTGACGCATCGGTGAACAGTTCCATGTCCGGCGCTTTGCACCAATAATGGTCTCTGATCAGAGCTTTGCCATTCCAGAGTGGGAGCATTTCCTGCCACCAGCGAATGTCTTCCTGTGCAGTTGCTGTCAGCGCTATGGTGTCCTGCAAAGCGGTTGCCGAGGAGCTGAGATCGATCAGCCTGCGCAGGAATGTCCTGCCGGCCGGGACCACCTTTGCCGCGAATGCCAGGAGTCCAATGAGAGATAGCAGTTCCTGCTTTGAACAATGCTGCGTGATACTCCAGTTAGCAAGCCGGTGCCGCAGTTCCTGAAGTTTGGGTGCTGGGAGACGCATCTCCATGGCAATGGTGTCGATCTCCAAGCCGAGCACTGTCAACGTGGTATTGGGACCTGCCACTTTGTCTGCGCCTTCCGCCACTGGAATGCCCAAGTTGTCGAACACTTGCAAGATGGTTGCCATGTGCACCGCAGCGGTAGACGATGGAATAAAAGAGGCCGGGGGAGATACATTAATAAAATCATCTAGGTAGTGCTCCAGATTGTCGACAGAGTAATTTTTACGTAAGATCCAAGCAAGTGCGTCGGCAAAGCGATTGAATATGAATGGGGAAGAACGTAAGCCAAACGGTAATACCAGATCAAAGTAAAATTTGCCACGCCAGCACATACCTAGCAATGGGCGATCCTCTGGATGGACAGGAATTATGCGAAACGTATGCCGCAAGTCAACCTTGCAAAGAAGGGCACCGCGGCCCATTCGCCTAACATGGTCACAAACAGTGTCAATGGAAATCATGGAAAAGAAAACGGCTTCGCTATCAATAAAATCGTTAACACTATTCCCCGCCGGGGCAGATAAATGCATAATCAATCGGTGACTGCCATCCTTCTTGGGCACTACGCCCATGCCAGAGGTGCGCAGGGGGACAAAAGGAGGGGTGTCAAATGGGCCACTAGTGTGATTCAGCTTGCATTCCTTTTCTAGATAAGCGTCCATGATATTGGGGTTTGCCGAGGCAGAAGCAAGGTTATTCGAAACCATTGAGGCAGAGCGGTTACCGGAGAACCCAACACGACAGCCGTCGCGTAAATCAGACAAAATGGTATCAACAAGAGCACGATCAGGGTGGCCAGCTAGTTCAGCTTCTAAAGCCAAAACATTTACAGGGGTGAAAACAGATGTGAGACATGACTTACTACTCGGTGGCGACGAGGAATCGGGCAGGCTGGGCAGATTAGGCAGAGCTGCGTGAGGGACACTCGATGGCCTTGTGAGCCCCTTGGCAGAAGGTGCAGCGGTGCAAATACGAGCAGTTGGCGAAGGTGCAGCTGCCCTTGTTGTACTGCTTGCACACAGGTTTCGGCACTGCATTGCCTCCGGGGGCACGAAAAGGCGCTTGCGGAGATGCCTTCGCCAGGCATGACGCGGCAGAGTGGCCAGGCCTCTTGCATTTGCTGCAAAAACTCAGTGCCTGCCCGGTAAAGCACTGGGTATATAGCTCGGTGTGCATATCTCCTATGCTGAGGGTGTGGTCCTTTGCCATCACCTGGCGCAAGAGCACGTCGTACTCCTGGACCGCAGCAAAGCGGTATTTTTGCGCGGCCTGGATAATTCTGAGCTGGTGTTCCAGGAGGCCACTGCAAGGACCAGGAGCGCCGTCACAGGCAATGATACTAAATATCGACCAGGCCTCGGTCCAGTCCGCCAGTGTCTCGATCTTCCTCCGTGGTGTGGACACTGTGGAAATGAATACAGCCGAATCTGCGCTCTCGTCCAGGCGAATACGCTTGGCAGGAGGTTCAGACGAGACGGCACGACTGGGCAGGACCGAAGCCAGGTCAACATACTCAACGCTTTTAATCTTGCGCATGATGTCCACTGACACGTGGGCCACACAAGAGGGCAGCCTGGGCGCCACAGGAAACATACCTTGAACACTCGTCGCGGCCTGGTCCTCCACCCTTGGTGTGGGGTCCGCTGCAGTGTGCTGCTCCTGCGAAGTTGGCGCGAGCTGAGCTAAAGCAGCAGAAACTGCGGAGGCCGTTGCCTCCCTGATGACGGCCAGCTGAGTCTGTGAGAGCTCCATGATGAAACGAAAACCTCAAAAAAAACCTCAAAGAGCGCAAGGGCAAAGAGTTGCTGTTGTGCCAACAAGCAGGAGACAAGAGTGCCCTCAACCTCCTTGGTCCCGCGTGCGATCGCCCCATGCTGAAAGGGGCAGCCAGGGCGGCTGTGCGTACAGCCCCGCTGGTTGCTGCGCCGCCTCGGCCGCGTGGCCAGCTTGCTCGGTCCACGGCGATAACTACGGTTTGCCCTACTGCAAACCTACATTTTTCAGTAAATTTTTCGGTAGCGATGGTTTTTGTGCGATCAATCGTTGTAGGAAACGTCTTCTCGCTTTTCTGCAATTCTGGCGACCTAGCTAGAACCTGCTGCTAGTGTCCCTCTACACGCGTTCTTTCTATGAAAGGGGAAGGCAGCACTCGCAGAAGATTTTCCAAGAATGCAATGTCGACTGGTGCTCGTACCATAAGAAGGGAGAAATCAAAGTCCGCTCTTGAATCATGCCTGAGTATTAGAAAATTATTTCAGAACACGTTTGTGTAGGTTTCCTGCCAGTGCCACTGACATCTCGCGACCTTCAAATATTATAACTTGCTCGATCATCTCCCGCACTGACTGGCAAATTCGTCAGGTAGCTGTGGATGGATCGATTCAGGGAGATCGAAGGTAAATACATCGAAGCACTTCAAACACGTTTCAAGACGCACTTCAAATTTTGTAATTGTGTCTTGAAAATTGTTTAGAACAATCATACGAGTCGTACTTCAATACGCTGTTGAATTGTATCCTCTGCTTGGGAGTCTCGACTGTTTTATTGCTGCATGGCTTTCCTCAACACCGTTCACTGTACATGTATCGCGGAACGCAGATTGGATGGCATTGGAGGTGAATTTGATAATTTGTGACTGTGTCATCAACCAAGTGAGGACATCGAATATCAACAGGGACGCTCCGAAAATCACAAACGCTGCGAAATAGATATGAAATGGTCTTACACCCTGGAGGGTATTCCACATTCATTGTGTCATATCTTTAGACTGTCCGAAAGTTTGTCGTGCCGTGCAACTTTCACAGACTAATCCGATAATTGGCATGTGGCCCTACTGGCACACACTCATGCGTATGTCATTGAGTTTATCTATATGTGCACGCACATGTGTGTATACATATACAATTATTACGTATGAAATTAGGCAATCTACATGTACATAATATGTGTGTGCACTCACTCCTATGACATAGAACGACAGTGCAGGCTATGTAAAGTCGCATCAATATGTGTCACCCGGGTGTGTACATGCATGCGCGCTCGCGCGGGCGTTTTGTGTGCGCGCCTGGCATGGCATAACGCCATTCAGTATGACTAGTGTTGAACCGTGGTAATTTGCCCCCACCCCCTCTTTTTTCTGCTGGCGTTGGATATGCAACTAATGACAAAAACTCGGTTGTTGAAAACGAGTGCCATGCACCACAATGGATTGACAATAATAATATAATACAAGTAGCACTGTAAAAACGCTGGTAATACTTATGTTGCAGCCATGGCAGTTGTGAGTAGCTTTCCAAGTCAAGCCTGCTGCAGAAATTATTGCACTCTGACCAGCTGGAGTGGACCAGGACTGCCGGTTGTGGAGAACAGGAGTGATGCTTGTATATACGCTTGTATTTACATGATGTACACAGTGTACTTCGAAGTAACGTTAGGTGTATTACTTGTGTGTTCTTCTGCCTGTGCGCGTGTACATGTGCTGGTCAGTGTGGAACCGCCATCCATATCAGATCATACAGCTGCTATCAGTCTCAACAGCTTGTATCTGGCAAATAGGGTTTTAGTGACTCGATTTTGCTTACTGTGTTCAACAGAGTGGCATTGCACACAGCTACTTGATGTAATAGTAGCATCTTGGAAATTTTATATTTTTGATAATTAGCTTCAGTAGAAACTTCTCAGTCCAGTGTGGCTCTTAGCTTCATTACCACGGAGACTAAGCATTCAAGTAATGCACGAAGAACAGTGGCTAGATGTGAAGTGAAACGCCATTGGACCGTACCCCGTGGAATACGCATTTAGTATAGAAGTATTTCTTGCTATGTTGGCAGCAAACACTGTATAATATAATGATTACATTACCAGTAGAAAGTGCCCAATGTGCATTGCTTCAGCACTATGTTTTGTACAAAGCAGTCAACAAATTCCACATCACTATCGGCTTCATGTTGGAGAAAGTTGTTAAAAACACTAGAGCATACATGTACACTCAATACACATGCTCAGCTACATGTTTGGCATTTAGTGTGTGGGCGACTTCAAAGTTCTATTTTGGTAGTTTGCTTCGGTAGAAACTGTCTAAACTTGATCCAAAGCTCTACTACTATGTTCTGAAGATGTTGCAATCAAGTAATGTAAGACACGTATCTGCCGCATTGGAGCCGCAAGTTGTTGTGAAAACCTTTAGACCATACACTCAATGCACATGCTCAGCTATGGCATTTAGTATGTGGGCGACTTCAAAGTTCTATTTTGGTAGTTTGCTTCGGTAGAAACTGTCTAAACTTGATCCAAAGCTCTACTACTATGTTCGGAAGATGTTGCAATCAATTATTGTAAGACACGTATCTGTCATATGGTGGAGTCAGGGGTTCAAAGGCGTTGGACAATGTCCCAGTGCAATGTGCTGATTCTTGAAATATGGCATCACTTGAAACTTCAAAGTTTTATTTCAAGAGTTACCTTCGGTAGAACCTGCTCAAACTTGCTACACAGTACCATTTTTAGGTTATGATAGCATAACCATGGAATACAGGGCAAATCCAGTGTCAAATACTTGTGGGCGGGGCTAATATGTGGGACGTGTGCGCTGAAATGGGATGATTCCGAAAAGAGAAAAAAAGGTCACCTTCTAGCAGAATTCTACCCACTTCTACAGCTTATGCTGATGTTTAGCAAGTATACTACTGTCCTGCTGTTGGACATCAAGAAAAAGGGGGTAACTACCAGTGCTACGGCCAAAAAAGTGGTTTTCCGGTATTTTTTGGCCTAAATTGGCAATTGTGAGTATGCTATGTTTGGCCCCTCCCCCGAGTGAAACCGGTCGGTAGAACTTGATAAAAATTTGTCTCCGTACATTAGATATACAACGGAACAAAGTACAATCGTTTGTAGCCACGTTTCAAACAAAAAATTTGGACCCGAGGGGTAGGAGCCACCTTAACAGGATTCAGCTAGATCCAGGGATGCAGGTTAGATCCACAGCACTTTGGTGCCTAAACATGTGTCTGATCTATACAGGATTCCGCTTGGTACAGGGTCCGACAAACACAGGTTTTACTCTACTGTGAACTGCCTAATATTCTTGCCACACATTCTAAGATATCTTGAAACCAGCTGGTTTACGAGGACAATTGAGCACTGTGGCCCCACACATGCGCCCACTTGTGATGTTTGATTTGGTATTGATGAGTATTCAGTTACACATTTCTCGCGCAATAACGGACATTAAGCAGTCTACAGTACACCTTTTGTGACTGAGACTGGGGATATTCACCGCTCAAATAAATAGAACATCATACCTGGATAAAATAGTCTCGGAGTTTTGGTCTTTTGGATGAAGGTGACCTGCACTTTTGAGGCCAGGGCAGGGGCTTCACTCTTGATTTTATGTATAAGTACTCGGATGTGCTCACCAGATCCCAATGTGATATTTGAGAGGGGATGTTGCAGGGCTGCTGAATGAAATATGATCAGTGGGAACTGATTTCCGGCACTCTTTCAATGTGATGTACCGTGCTTTCCAGGATGACGAGGCAGTTGACACGAAACTACAAGAACCGCTCCTTATGGATTACTTGCTGGAAAAGACGACATAACAGATGATTGGTGTTGGTGGCCATTTTTCTAGGTAATAATTTCTCTGTGCATGTGTGTGTGTGTGTGTGTGTGTGTGTGTGTCTGTCCCCGGGGAAAATTGCGATTCCGCGGCCGCGTTTTTTTCCGCGTTTTTTGCGATTTCTTAAAAGACCGCGTTTTCCGCGATTTTCCCGCGTTTTTTGAATTTTTTTGTTGCACCACACGTACACACAGTGCATTGTTCGGTCAGCAACGTCTCATCGTGGCGGCTTTTTACTCAAATATGACGAGTGCTTACACCAGAGACTTGTAACTGATTGATTTCACTACATACTCACTGAAAATTGCCGCACATCAATATTATTCACCGCATATTTACCGCAAATTCACCGCAAATTATGCCATATTATGCCGGGTTTTTCCCCCGCGTTTTTTGCGATTTTTTCCCGCAAATTTCCCCGGGGACAGGTGTGTGTGTGTGTGTGTATGTGTGTGTGTGTGCGTGGCGTGTGTATGTACATGCATGATGGGATGGACAGTTAATGCCGCTGGCACGTTCACACTGCCTGAATTCAACTGACTTCATGTTCCCAATTGAGATGCTTCTGCCAGTGCATGCCATTGTGCCCGCACTATCCTCCCTGGATGTACGAGTACATTATGTTTGTCTTTTCAGCACAGTGATGTGCTACTCCTCCTCAAGCTGTCTTATCATTCCTTTCTTTACTACCGGCCGCATTATCCGGGATTTTCTCTCCCTTTTGATCACAGTCTACACATATTGACAGCAGCAGGGCCAGACCTTCAAAAGAAGAGTTGTGAAGAAGGAAATTTGCCACATTTAAATAATGCGTGCATGCACAAAAAACGTCACACCAGCATGATGGGCACGGGTCTGTCACCACCTACCGATCATGCTTATGAAGGAGAAGATCTATTGTAATTAACCAGTGAGTGTCAGACTTCTGATTATGCGTGTGTTACCAGTATTCCTCGCCACCTCTAAAGAAGTGGTAGTTGTGGTGACTAGACCTCACCATATCACACACAAACTACTTCCACACCCTGCTGGAGGCAAACATACCCCATACGCAGCATTACAGAGATGATGTCATCGGCATGGCATGACAACGCAGTGCGGAATTGTATTCTTAGGTACAATGTGTTGGTGCTGGAGATAAACAGGAGCGGGAAAAGCCCACACGACACAGAAAGACACGTGCATGCAGCGGATACTTAGAGAAATGTTCACAGCGGCGAGGCATTGAGAGAGAGCAAAGGGGAATGACTGACAAAAACGATGCGCACACTGTGCATAGAGGTGCAGCACCAAGGTTACAAAGGTTAATGAGGTTTCCTTGGCTAGTGAACACCATGGAGGGGCAGCACCAAGGTTCGCTGATTAGTGCTAAATCAATGAGGACTATTGGAGACAAACATTGTACTTCAGTATAACAATATGGCCATTATGTTCAATGTACCACAACTATGATGCTGTCCCAAGCAGTGTCAATACTTTTGTAAACATGTTTGGGGAAATGCAAAATGGCAGAATACTCCGCTTGCAGTTCTGATCCCAACACCTTGTATCCTAGGTGTGTTCAGTGCCTTCGATCAAACTCCACCATCATCATCGATCATGCAGCAGCATATCCATGAGAAGCGGATCGCGCAGTCCGGTATGCATCTGCACACTTCTGTCCGTTGTCTGCACAGCACAGCACAAGGTGACAAAGCAGCAATGTCGAGAACTCACCTGCCTCCATGGTCAGAATTCAATATAGGGCCCTCAGGTCACTATCTCATGCAATGGCATCCGAAACAGACCCAGATGGGGCAGTAGTTCAATACCGTCTTATACAATGCTGTTCAATGAAATCCGATCACTTTAGTCATGTTTGCGTCCTGTACCAGTTCACATTCCAGTGTTTGCAGGTCTAGGGCTGTAGGCTACGCCTAGAGTGTACTTGACTTATGCAATCGGATTTCAGTGAGCAGTAACATTATACCGCACAAGGCTCATGGCATATTTGGCCGAAAATTGTTGCGACCGCAATTTTATTTTGCAAGGTTCAGTGGGACAATGTATATAGGCAGCAGCGGTACAGTGTACAGGCCGAACATTTAATGCAGCCGAAATGTGTTTTAGCCCTGGGAGGCCGAAATGTGTTTTAGCCCTGGGAGGCCGAAATGTGTTTTAGCCCTGGGAGGCCGAAATGTGTTTTAGCCCTGGGAGGCCGAAATGTGTTTTAGCCCTGGGAGGCCGAAATGTGTTTTAGCCCTGGGAGGCCGAAATGTGTTTTAGCCCTGGGAGGCCGAAATGTGTTTCAGCCCTGGGAGGCCGAAATGTGTTTTAGCCCTGGGAGGCCGAAATGTGTTTCAGCCCTGGGAGGCCGAAATGTGTTTTAGCCCTGGGAGGCCGAAATGTGTTTTAGCCCTGGGAGGCCGAAATGTGTTTTAGCCCTGGGAGGCCGAAATGTGTTTTAGCCCTGGGAGGCCGAAATGTGTTTTAGCCCTGGGAGGCCGAAATGTGTTTTAGCCCTGGGAGGCCGAAATGTGTTTTAGCCCTGGGAGGCCGAAATGTGTTTTAGCCCTGGGAGGCCGAAATGTGTTTCAGCCCTGGGAGGCCGAAATGTGTTTTAGCCCTGGGAGGCCGAAATGTGTTTCAGCCCTGGGAGGCCGAAATGTGTTTCAGCCCTGGGAGGCCGAAATGTGTTTTAGCCCTGGGAGGCCGAAATGTGTTTCAGCCCTGGGAGGCCGAAATGTGTTTTAGCCCTGGGAGGCCGAAATGTGTTTTAGCCCTGGGAGGCCGAAATGTGTTTCAGCCCTGGGAGGCCGACATGTGTTTTAGCCCTGGGAGGCCGAAATGTGTTTTAGCCCTGGGAGGCCGAAATGTGTTTCAGCCCTGGGAGGCCGAAATGTGTTTCAGCCCTGGGAGGCCGAAATGTGTTTTAGCCCTGGGAGGCCGAAATGTGTTTTAGCCCTGGGAGGCCGAAATGTGTTTTAGCCCTGGGAGGCCGAAATGTGTTTTAGCCCTGGGAGGCCGAAATGTGTTTTAGCCCTGGGAGGCCGAAATGTGTTTTAGCCCTGGGAGGCCGAAATGTGTTTTAGCCCTGGGAGGCCGAAATGTGTTTTAGCCCTGGGAGGCCGAAATGTGTTTTAGCCCTGGGAGGCCGAAATGTGTTTTAGCCCTGGGAGGCCGAAATGTGTTTTAGCCCTGGGAGGCCGAAATGTGTTTTAGCCCTGGGAGGCCGAAATGTGTTTTAGCCCTGGGAGGCCGAAATGTGTTTTAGCCCTGGGAGGCCGAAATGTGTTTTAGCCCTGGGAGGCCGAAATGTGTTTTAGCCCTGGGAGGCCGAAATGTGTTTTAGCCCTGGGAGGCCGAAATGTGTTTTAGCCCTGGGAGGCCGAAATGTGTTTTAGCCCTGGGAGGCCGAAATGTGTTTTAGCCCTGGGAGGCCGAAATGTGTTTTAGCCCTGGGAGGCCGAAATGTGTTTTAGCCCTGGGAGGCCGAAATGTGTTTTAGCCCTGGGAGGCCGAAATGTGTTTTAGCCCTGGGAGGCCGAAATGTGTTTTAGCCCTGGGAGGCCGAAATGTGTTTCAGCCCTGGGAGGCCGAACATTTGAACAGGCTGCAAATTTATAGACTTACAGTATGAGAGCGCATGAGATTGCAGATGAGGTTTGCGGCCCGGTTCGTGACGGAACATGCAAGAAGCCATTGCTTTTCTTGCAGGTGTGTCCCACTCAGAGCTGAATGGCATCTCATGTGAGGAATTCTGTTGTACATGCGGCTTCACTCAGTGATCCAAGGGAAATGATACGCGAGTCCTAATTTTAGCTAATTTGACCCACTTGCTAATATCTATAACGTTTGTGCGTCGCCAACATTTGGGGGTTACACTACTTGTGATGTGCAGTGTAGCCATCCTGCTGTGACAAATTATATACCACGTCCTGAATATAGCAGAGCGGCATATCCTGCATAACCAAGTGTGCATTACATGTTAGTGCTTCTACAATACAATTTGAATCTTGCCATCGACAACAGTACATACCATGGATTCCGACTGAAACAGATGATGGCGGCAGTGACTGATTTCTGTCTCCTGCTCCGAGGCTTCGTCCGCATGGCAGCTGCTGCTGCTGCACCTCGAGCCGTGGCAATCAGGATGGTCACAGCCTGTCCACAACTGTGCCAGTGTGATGTTGCGCTTACTGGCAAGGGTCTCACGCCAGCTAGCCGTGAAGCGGTATATATAAATCGACAGCGAGATGAATGTGGACACACAAAACACCGACAGACCTAACCAGCTTCGCCTGTTCTCGTGGAAGGATGGCACTTCTCCCCGGATCAGGTGGAAGATTGCAACAATCGTCAGGTTGGTGAGGAGGAAGAGCTCCAGTGTGTTGTCTGCATCCTTGATTCTCCACAGCTTGGAGTCACGGCGGAACGGCCTGTGGGTCAGCCAAGCATATCAACAACATGCTGTTGTCAAATTCCGCGAAGTAAATTCTGGTACTTGTATGTGTAATTCCCCTGCCTCCCTCCCCTCAAACTCTTGTCATACATTCAACTGGCGACTGGCGCACATGCCCATCATTGAAGCTACATTAGAAACAGGAGCTTGTGCTGAGATCACACCATTCAACAGCTTGCAAGGCCCATGAATTGGCTGCCAGTAAATTACAGCCTGGTCACCACACACGCACACACACACACACACACACACACACACACACACAAGCACCCCCCCCCCCCCACACACACACACTAGCACACACATACACCCCCCCCCAAACACACACACACATACACACACACACGAGCACACACACACACACACACACACACACACACACACACACACACACACACACACGAGCACACACACACACACACACACACACACACACACACACACACACACACACACACACACACATACACACACACACACACACACACACACACACACACACACACACACACACACAAGCACACATACACACACACACACACACACACACACATTTCCCTACAAAATCGAGTGAGTAAGTAGCGAAACAAACCTGAAGTAGCTATGCATAGCTAGCATGATGACGCAAAGAATTGCCATGGCAATTCGCTGGTGAAGGCTGTTGGTCACGGTTCCCATGACGATGCCAAAGATGATTCGTCGAATAATGTTGAAGCTTCCCCACCAGCGACGAGACGGCTCATACATGCAGGTGGCCTCGTCGATGAGCCCAATCAGAGACGGGATAATGTGCGTGGGTTGCCAGATGAGCAGGATCGGAGCGGGCAAGACGAACAGAACCATCATAGTAATTGCCGCTATGGCATACGGCAAGTGCTGTGGACTGAAGAAGCCGACTGTGGGGTCAATGAAGAGAACAGGATGAGAGTCCAGCTGGACGGGTCTCAGTACCAGAAGACCGGAGTAAACCAGCAGAGTGGACGACCACAGAATGATCAGCCACAGGACGTGCCGGATGCTTTTACGGCGCTGCAGCTTTTTCAGGAATCGAAACGCAATGAGCCTATTGCCGACAAAGTACACGAGACCGAGCAGGATTAGCGAGAAGAGCGGCGGGGCTACAACGGAAGCTTGCCGAACCATGGGAGTCAGGTCTTCAGTGACACAGAGCCAGCCCAGGCCCAGTGTTACTACATAGGTGTATGCAGCTTCAACATTGACATTGCCACCGCGGATACAGAAATACCCCTGCATGTAGACCATATATACACACAGAGATACACATGCATAGTCGGACGCAGACATACATACCCATATTCACACACAAACACCCACACACACGTACACAACATATACACACATGCTTACACACCCGCAATGTTGAGCAGGGCACTGGAGTCTGCCCAAGGGGATACTGTTTCTCCCAGGGCAGAGATTGATGGGATACCTGGGGAGAAAAGTGATCTGGTCAATACTGCAATGACTGTACAGTAGTGTGTCTGGCACTCCTACGGTCTTGTTACATTGTGGCAACCAGTACAGGGTCAATGAGTGTCCGTGTGTGTGTGTGTGTGTGTGTGTGTGTGTGTGTGTGTGTGTGTGTGTGTGTGTGTGTGTGTGTGTGTGTGTATGGTGTAATCCCAGCACAAGTTGCTATGTCTAACATAGCTGTTCACTATCATCGCTTCCGCGATGGGCATGTCTGAGGTCTGAGGTCTGAGGTGTGTGTGTGTGTGTGTGTGTGTGTGTGTGTGTGTGTGTGTGTGTGTGTGTGTGTGTGTGTGTGTGTGTGCCCCATATGGTGTGTGCCCCATATAGTGCAGTGGTATATGCAGCGATTTCCCATCGAGAGGTTGTGAGTTATTTCCCGACGATTATGGTCACACACGTCTTTCTTCTCTTTCTTAGACTCCTGACTTTTCTTTCATTCTCCCCGGGTGGTTACCAACAGCCAGTTCATGCCAGAGTATGTGGTGTAATGTATGTCGTGTAGAATAATGAAAAAGACCAAAAACATAGGGATTCACTGGCCAGAAAAAGCCACTTCATAGCTGTGTGGTGTAGACCAGGCTAACTAGTGGCCGTCGATTCTTCAGCCTTGCAAGCTGTTGAATGGTGCAATCCCAGCACAAGTTGCTATGGCTTCTGATGTAGCATTGCTATCATCGCCTCCGGCGATGGGCGTCAAAATGGTTAAATGGTCAAACGGTGTGTGTGTGTGTGTATATGTGTACGTTTTCATGCAAGAGTCTAGCATTTTAAGATACACCCAACTATTTACACTGGGAAAGTCTGAAACGATTTCTTCTATCTAGATATGCTGTGATGCCGATGATAAATTATCACATATGGCCCAGAATCTGCGAAAACCAGGCTTAGGGTGAAAATCATTTTTTTGAGAAAATTGATGTTTTGTAAAAAGGTTGTGTCGCGTGGACGATCGAGTGCAGTGAAGTGGAACCAAAGAGAATCTCGCTTGTTTGACGAAGTGGCAGTCATGGCAGGAAGGGTTTCAGCAGTCAGGGAAGTCAAAGGGCTTCCGGTAGAATATTCCCTGCTACTCATCTAGTCACGACGAAGAGTTTTTGAGCTGATCGTACAGATTCCATCTCCTACACTCAGGGATGCGAAATTTCTGCGCTAGCTGCTGCTTGCGGAAAATATGAGCGTTAGCATGCTAACGCGAGTTAGCAGCCAGCCCAGCGAGCTGGCCCAACCTGCACGCATGCGCGAGTCACGTGGGCACGCGCCCTTCAATATCCTGTACAATGTCTCTTTCATGTCATTGCTGTTTGGACTTTCGAGCGTGCAACTTGCGGAACAGGTGTTCCCGAAACAATTTCCTTTCGTTAGACTTTCAAGCTTGCATTCTCGTATCTCTACGTTTCAATTCAGACTTCAATGACGCCTGTTGGTGCCTGTTGGTGCCTGAAACAATGTCGTCGTCTACAGTGGAACGTCGACTGTGGTTTTTTAGCTTGCGCCATCATCAGGTTTCCTGAAATGAAATACCTCCACGCGATCTCAGCGACCCTTGTTTGTGCCTTGAAACAATGTCGTCGTCACCAACCGGCGTCCAACCTCTCCGGATCGCCTCGCTCTACCTGGCTCCGCCGCCCGCCTACTGCGAACGCAGCGACGGCCGCCACGCAGACCACCACTGCAACAGCAGGCGCGAGCCTGACGATCGTAATTCGTATCCAGAGAGGCGAGTTCGTGGACTTTGATTTTCTGTTGGAAGTAACAACGGGAGTTGTCCACTGCCGTCACCAACGCCACCCAGCTTCTCCTCGCTCTACTGGGATCCGTATCGCCGCTCGCCGCCAGCAGGCCGGACCCTACTGGGAGCCCGGTGCAGTGACGACCGCCATATGCGCATGCAGCACCAACAGCAGGTGAACCTGACTGTCCTATACGGGCCCTTCTCGATCGCGTCCAGAGAGGCGAGTTCGTGGACTTCGATTTCCTGCTGCCCGATACAGTTGCAGTCAGTCCAGCTCCGGCGACGTTCCAACTCCGTAGCCCCTCATATGTTGCTCTTCTGGCGCACTAGCATTTATTTGAATCCGAACCCAGAACTGCGCTTCGTAGGCTGCGTGACGGTAGCACTTGAGTTGAGACCTGGACAGTGTTCATGAATGGTCTGTGTTCCACTGTTCCTCACCGCGTTTCACGAGTGCCTGTGGACGTATTTGGCCACGATCGTCGCGGCCAATCGCCAGTTTTTGCCACCTAGAAACTGGACGTTATCAATACTCAATCTGCGGACAACTGTTTCGTCCTTTGTGGACTCATCAGCGTAGCACAGAGGGAATTAAGCCGAACCTGATAGCAATGGAAAATAAAATAAATCTCCAAAGCCAGGTTATCAATATCAACTTGTGGCAACTGCGCCTCGCGGTGTACTGGAACAGCACGACCCGCCTGCCAGCAGTGCAGCTCAGTGCACTCGCCAGCATTTCCGTGCGCATTTCGTCCTACTCACCAGTACAGATCCGCATCACGTACCGCAACCGTATGCCGCTACTACGAGTACGGCGCTTGCACGCGTCAGATCAGGCAGTGCTACCTCCAGTGCCGACAGGAGCATCCCAGAGCAAAGTGTAAGGCCTCATCAGTAACTGTGCAAGCACTCAGTTTCTCACTTCTCAAAATTACTGGACTCACATCCTGATCCTATGCTCCGGAGGTATGTTGCACATGGTCGTAATTGTGGGGTTGTGGTAGGTTTCATCGGCAACCACTCAACTAACTGGGATCCATTGAATTTAACACGGTCACATGCTAACCCAGATTATATTTCTGCGCAACGATCCGTTTCTTGCAGCAGGCTTGAAACAGCTGGCCGATCCGTTTCTTGCAGCAGGCTTGAAACAGCTGGCCCGTGTTCTTCACCCCCTTTCTCGCCTCTGTGCTGTTCCGGCGTAGATGCGGTTCCTAGACGAACGGGAAGTTACACACGACACACCCTTTGTAAAGCCTGGAGGGTCTAAGTGTCAACGATTACATTCCAGCAGACCGTGTCTCTCCACAATGTCAAGATGACAATGCTGCAAACATGATTAGACAATTGCTCGCCCCGCTGTATCTTGCTAAGCTCAATGTTAAAAGTGCATTCTGCCGAATTCCCGTCTGCCCGGAGGAGTGGCCCTTGTTGAACCGCTGGTAGCAGGATCAATACTGTTATGAGAGCGTCCTGCCTTTCAGACTGTACTACGCTCCAGGCCAGCTATATGGAACTCTGTCGCATCCGCCAGTGAATGGATTGTGTGCGGGCAGTTCGCACTCCCACGCCTGTTGCATTACGGGGAATACCTCAATTAATGTTACTTCCTCAATGCATGCTCTGGACTTGTGTTACCTCGCCAGCAACTCGCTATTCTGCTCCGAGCGTTTACATACCTCGGTGTTTCTCTGGCCCCAGCAAAAGTGGAGGGTCCAGCTCAAGTCCTGACGTTATTGGCATCTTCCCATTACGGGAAATACCTCGACTAACGTTTCTGTCTCCATGCATGCTCTGGACTTGTGTTAGCTTGCCAGCAACTCGCTACTCGGCGCCGTGCGTTTACATACCTCGGTGTTTCTCTGGCGTCAGCAAAAGTGCTTCCTCGATGTATGCTCTGGACCTGTGTGAGCTCGCCAGCAACTCGCTACTCGGCGCCGTGCGTTTACATACCTCGGTGTTTCTCTGGCGTCAGCAAAAGTGGAGGGTCCAGCCCACGTCCTGACGTTTATCGGCGTCATCCTGGACACCCGCACGCTCACATCAGTCTGCCGAAGGACGAACTTGCCAAGCTTCACGACCTCCTACGGGCCACTCTCAACACAGCTTCAACTACCCAATGTCAACTCGAGTATCTTCTGGGAAAGCTCTCGTTTGCTACAAGAGTGATAGTCCCAGGACGCGCATTGCAGATTGTGGTCACTTGCCAACTGGTACCGGCAGCCGTATTACCTGATCAAGCTCTCCGAAGAGTGCCTCAAATACCTTCGCTGATGGCCTGAGCTCCTGGAATAGGAGAACGGCCGGTCCTTCTTCCTACATCCTAAGTGGACGCCGTCCCCCAACTTGCTGCTATTCACTGATGCAAGTGGTGCACTTGGCTGGTGCGCAAACAATTGCAACCGGGGATAGGGCAATGGACAGTCAATCAAGCAGACCAGCCAATCGCAAAGAGTGGTTTGCAATTGTGGCAGTACCTGGAAAAGCTAGCGGCACCAGCAGCAGATGCCAATCGATCGGCTTTGCAGCAACTGCGAAAATCTTGCTCATCAGTTGTGGCTATGGCCTGGCGTCATACACCGGCCACTCGTTTCGAATCAGCTGCCGGACTCGATATTCAGAGAGGCGGGAAGGTGGAAAGCCATGTCTGCCCGAGTAACATTCAGAGGCCACCAGCAGCCAAAGCATGGGTGGCTGTGGCAATGGCCTCAGCCCATGATATCGAGTTCCTGTTAGTCAATCGTTACCGAGCTTGCACTGCTTACAAATATCACAGGTAGCTGCACTTTGTGATCCGCTCTGGGAGTGCCGATTTATGGAATATATGCTCTCAACTGGTTATGCATCTCTATATATCTAGCATTTGGCGGCTCTATTCAGAGTCATTGGCGGCTCCATGCGGAGGCATTGGCGGCTCCATGCGGAGTCATTCGGCGGCTCCATGCGGAGTAATTGGCAGCTCCATGCGGAGTAATTCAGCGGCTCCATGCGGAGTCATTCGCTGGCTCCATGCGGAGTCAATTGCCGGCTCCATGCGGAGTCATTCGCCGGCTCCATGCAGAGTCATTCGCCGGCTCCATGCGGAGTCATTTGCCGGCTCCATGCGGAGTCATTCGCCTGCTCCATGCGGAGTCATTTGCCGGCTCCATGCGGAGTCATTTGCCGGCTCCATGCGGAGTCATTTGCCGGCTCCATGCGGAGTCATTCGCCTGCTCCAAGCGGAGTCATTTGCTGGCTCAGCTGCGAGCCATTATACCAGTTGCTCGAATCGGCACTCCCAGCTTAATGCAAAACTCGGTTGCTCTGTTGTGAGGTGGGGGGATGCTAAATGAGCGTTAGCATGCTAACGCGAGTTAGCAGCCAGCCCAGCGAGCTGGCCCAACCTGCACGCATGCGCGAGTCACGTGGGCACGCGCCCTTCAATATCCTGTACAATGTCTCTTTCATGTCATTGCTGTTTGGACTTTCGAGCGTGCAACTTGCGGAACAGGCGTTCCCGAAACAATTTCCTTCCCACCCTCCCACCCACTAGCTCAACTCATGTTTCTGGCGCACACATGACGGTATCTGTATAGTCCATGAGAATATAATTATGCTCTCAACTGGTTATGCATCTCTATATATCTAGCATTTGGCGGCTCTATTCAGAGTCATTGGCGGCTCCATGCGGAGGCATTGGCGGCTCCATGCGGAGTCATTCGGCGGCTCCATGCGGAGTAATTGGCAGCTCCATGCGGAGTAATTCGGCGGCTCCATGCGGAGTCATTCGCTGGCTCCATGCGGAGTCAATTGCCGGCTCAATGCGGAGTCATTCGCCGGCTCCATGCAGAGTCATTCGCCGGCTCCATGCGGAGTCATTTGCCGGCTCCATGAGGAGTCATTCGCCGGCTCCATGCGGAGTCATTTGCCGGCTCCATGCGGAGTCATTTGCCGGCTCCATGCGGAGTCATTCGCCTGCTCCAAGCGGAGTCATTTGCTGGCTCAGCTGCGAGCCATTATACCAGTTGCTCGAATCGGCACTCCCAGCTTAATGCAAAACTCGGTTGCTCTGTTGTGAGGTGGGGGGATGCTAAGGTGAAGAAATCGTCTCCAGTTAGAGTCGTGATGGCGATAGTGAGGAGAACCTGGACGACATCGATCCAGCCAATCGAAGTACGGAGATACTAGCTGTTTCTGGGCCTCACGCAAAGGGAACACGCGCAGCAGAGCTCATACGTTTCCAGCAAGTAACACGTTAGTTCATGAGGAAAAAGGCTTGAAGCGCAGTGTGAAAACTGTTTTGAATTGAAGTCCTTGGCGATGAAGTGCTACTGAAGGCCAGGCGAATGAGCGAGCAGATCGAGAGGCCCCCACTCGAGACTTTCCTCGCTGGACAGCTAGCTGCAAGGGATTGTACAGCGTGCCGATATTTCACTTGCTGGTCAGCACCAAGCAGATACTGCAGCACGCCAACGCACTATGCGCTTACTATGAACAGTGGAACAGTTTGAAAGGCTGTGTTCTTGCTTGTTTCTGAACAGTTGTACTAGATTCACCCTTCAAAAGGTGCCATCTCAACTGGAGTCGGGTTTCCTTGTGGTGTGTAGCGCCAGAGCATGCCAGTACATGTATTCAGCCCCAGAATGTGCTGAGTGAGGAGCAAACAAAATTCATGCAGAACTGTGCATGGCCACTAAAGCCTGCAGCACCAAGGGGCCAAAACAAGCCTGCCCCCACATGCCTACCCGTCTGGCGAAATTACTGGTCAGTCGGCGTCACGCATTTTTCACAAAAAATTGCGTTTCACCTGCGGGGAGAGTATGCGTGTACTCGAGTCTCATCCTGAGCACGTTTTTTCTCCGTTTTTTCAGCTCCAGTATAGCTGTATTTTTCATTGCAAAGCCGTCCTCGATTGTTGTGTTCGTTGTTCAAACGAAGTGGACATTCAATCATGAAGGCAGAGGACATAGGAGCCTGATTGGAGTTTCTCGTGGCATAGGACGGCCACACACAGACACTTTGGGATTTTCTGAATATAAAATACCGTACGCACGATGCTGAGATCAATTTGTGCGATATCAAATTGTTTGTGATCTACCACATCGAGCAGAACGGGATCCAAACACAAGCTTACCGACGGTTAGGCTGCCGACCTGACTGCACAAATGATCCCTGGCTTCACCAGACGCCAGAAGTCGGACACCATGTCCCTTGCCGCGACGTCCATCTCCAAAAAGAACTCCATCTTCGTCGTGAAAAGGCTTGAAATACTCAATATTCAACCGAGATTCGCGGTCTCACCCTTTCTCAGATCGAATCATTTTTTGTTGTAGCAGTTGCAGGGTAGTTCCCCGCCACTACTTCAACAGAAGATGGCTCCAAACCATGCCTGGAACAAGCCATATCGAGGTTGCAAGCCACCCATCTCAGCACTTTTTTTGAAGAAATTCAAAATTTCAATGGTGGAAGATATACTATGGAGAGAATTTCAAAAAGTATGTTTCGCGGAGCGATCGCTCAACCTACGTCATTCAAACTTTGCAGGATGGTTCAGACGTACATGCGAGGCATGGAACCACAGAAGATGATATCATAGCTGACACACAGAGTCACACACACAGCAGATTCGTGTGCACAGATACTAAATTAGTGGACGTCGTCATCTTCTTCCCGCTGATCTCAAATGTACTATGACGTGCTATTTCGCCTGACGTTGTCATGTCACCTAAACAAAAATCATCCATGTCTCTTCCTTCAGTCTGGTGCATCTCTCTTCATTTCTTTCCTGTGATAACAATTTTGTGTTTTTTTTTGGATTTTTTAACACAATACCCTGGTGTGTTTGAGATACTTTTAATACCACTATGAGTCGACCCACACCTGTAATATTTTGTTTCCTGACCTCCCATGCCCAGTAGAAGCTGAAAATGGGAAAAAGTCATTTTGTGAAATTTCACCCTAAGCCTGGTTTTCGCAGATTCTGGGCCATATAGATTAACTGTACCTGGGCAAAAAATAGCCAGCTGTCAAGAGAGGGCAGGACTCCTACATTCAGCAAGAGCACGATGATGAACACCAGTAGGCATAGCAGGAATAGCAGAGCGAAGTAGACTGCCAATGACACTCTTGCATGTCCTTGACTGCTCACACAGGTCTGCAGCGGCACCAACAGACATCAGAGAGCACAGAGCAATTATGCAGTACAGACTCAACCTGAACACACTGAAGAAGCGGATATGATATTGTCCGGAGTATAAGCAGCACTTTAGGCACTACTAATTCAGCCCAAAAAGTCGGTTAGGCTTTTGCTACTATGCTCGGTGATAAACAGGGTAGACGTCTGTATTTCGTAACAGAAAAATTGGGGTGCGGCTTACACTCCGGAAAATACGGTACCCGTGTGCATACCATACCATGCTGATCCCCCCCCCCCCCACACACCATACTATGCAGACCCCCTCCCCCTCCCCTCCCCCCACCATACCATGCAGACCCCTCCCCTCCCCCCCCCCCCCCACCATACCATGCAGATCCCCCCCCCCCCCCACACACACACCATACTATGCAGACCCCCTCCCCTCTCCTCCCCCCACCATACCATGCAGACCCCTCCCCCCCCCCCCACCATACCATGCAGACCCCCCCCCCCACCACCATACCATGCAGACCCCCCCCCACCACCACCATACCATGCAGACCCCCCCCCCCCCACCACCACCACCATACCATGCAGATCCCCCCCCCCCCCCCCCACCTATACCATGCAGGATCATCAGTTTTTCACCAAACATTTCATTAGTCCTGTTGTAGCTATTTTGTGTACGTCTATGTTTCTAAGTGGTGGCTATTGGGCGGTTCAAGTGTGTGTGGGTGTGTGAAGGGAGGGGGAGGGGGGGGAGGGGTGGTGCATTGTCAACTACCTCGTGCTTACCCGTCCGGCCATGTTGTACTCGAAGCCGTGCAGGCAGCCTGTGCAGAGTGGTCCACCGGTGTGTGACCATGTAGCACATGGGTTGTCCTGCCCGAGCAGCCAATCAACGCCATCATGGTAAGAACACGTCCCAGTGTAACAGGGCACGGCAGCAAACTTGTGAACACCGTCAAGCCTGCCAATGGGGTCATGCATGTATTCGGAGCCCAGGAAATCTTGCCGACGGATCGAAAACCATGGCTTGATGATTTGAGGCTGCATTACGCTCTGAACAAAGCTCGGCGGGGTAAACTTCGTCTGATGGCCGGCCCAGCACTGGGAGTTGATGAACACCCTCTTGCCATAATCGCAGCGCGTAACACACTGCTTCAGTGTGGAGTTACTGCATGTACAACTGAGCTCCTGCTTGATACGCCACACATAATGTCGCATGTTCTTGCATGATGCACGTCTAAATCCCTCCAGAAGCTCCCTCGCCTGGCAGCAAAGCACAAGAGCAAGGTATACATACATGCAGGGTTACCGGGGTTACCGGGTTTACCAGGGTTACCAGAGTGGAATGCGACCGCCATCATAGCATATGATGCCGTATCCGAGCCAGCGTGCAGCATTGCGTTTAAAATGGTTACTAAATTAGCATGCTGCACGGAGTATGTATACTGACCTGCTCTGGGTTAGACTTCACTGGCTGAAATCCCAAGTGGCAGCTGCGCAGGCGGAATGGTATACGCAGCTCCAACTTTCCACCATGAACCTCACTGAATGTAAGATCTCCTGCACACGCACACACACACACACACACACACACACACACACACACACACACACACACACACACACACACACACAAACACACAAACACACAAACACACAAACACACAAACACACACACACACAAAGATATTTTAGAACCGTACCTTCAAGCCAGCATCGCGGAAACTACCAGGCATTTGGCACCAATCTCCCAAACTCAAAATTTCCCGTTGCATTGTTTCTATGGCATGTTTGGGACAGAAAGCAGGGAGGCATACTGGGATTGTCTGAGACCATCATTGATAATGAAAAAGCAGATGGTACTGGGTTCAGATAATGCTTGGAAGCGGGTAGATTTTCCATCTGCACTACGAACCAGAGTAAAGTGGAAATCCAGGGACTGACACGAGGATAACATGGAGGATAACATGGAGGCAGTGGATGAGATTGTTGGTCTTTGACCTCTTTGTGGTGGGTCTGATGGCTATTCACCCCACTGTTTTAGGAGTGCCAGCACCTCGAGCCTTTCAAAGGTGATGGCATTCCTACGGAAGAGGAAAAATCAGAATGACCAACTCTGTCCATGGACCAGGGCATTTAGTTATACTTGGGAAGGAGGCTTGTGTACGACGCATGCCAAACGTGACTACATGGTACCGAGTCGACTGACCTTGCACCCGGATTACTAGCGCTCCAGTAGAGTTGGGTGTTCCATACAGCGACAGGCGACGTATGGAGTCATCTGATGTGAAGAGCTCTGTCTGACGAGACTTGACAATGAATGTTCCACGTCCAAGAAGCACGTCATCGTTGTCTGCTTCGACCTTGTGAAATCAGTCAACATGATTCGGCGGCATGGTGGTCAGGCATCCAAACGAATGCACTGCTGTCAGGCATCCAAACGAATGCACTGCTGTCAGGCATCCAAACGAATGCACTGCTGTCAGGCATCCAAACGAATGCACTGCTGTCAGGCATCCAAACGAATGCACTGCTGTCAGGCATCCAAACGGATGCACTGCTGTCAGGCATCCAAACGAATGCACTGCTGTCAGGCATCCAAACGAATGCACTGCTGTCAGGCATCCAAACGGATGCACTGCTTTAAAAATCACTGCATCGTAGGTGCACTCTGTGCAGCGGAAACTGATTTGTCTTCTTCTTCTTTGCTTATATTGGGGTTTGCATTGACAAGTTGTTAGATTCATTGGTTAACTGCTGCTGCGTGACACGGTGTGGCCAATACCAGTCATGATGACTATTCTATCTTTATGCAGGCATGCTAGCTGGCAGACATGGACAGGGCTGCATTGGGTAGCAATACCAGCCAGTGTTTACCAGTGATACCATAGTCATAGGGCAGGGAGCTTTCTGAGTACATTACTACATTGACTCATAGAGTAGTAGCCTACATGACATTATACTGGTGTATGTGATTGTGTATCTGAATGTATATGTGCAGCCTGCAGAACAGCCACGTCACACTAGGCTCACCTCTATCGACAGTGGTGCTGAGTAGACGTTGAACATTTCATCCAGAGCGTCAACTTGAAGTGAAAACTGTTCACCGGGCGCTGGGTGCAAGGTCATGTCACTGATGCTCTCCGTCGTCGTCGTCGTCGTCCCTGCAAAGCTCTTGCCGGCATCCAGCTGGCAGCTGGTAGTGTTTGCAGGTGTATGGGCCGCTGCTATGTAGTTGTCCCAGCATAGGATCAGTGATGACCAGGGTACCAGTACGTAGACATAGCCTGGCAGCACCCCGGGCAGTTGGTGCCTGTAGTCGCTGTACTGCCTGGCCAGGTCGAACAGCGTACAGTCGGTTTTCAGCGGAAGATGAAAGCTGTCGAGTAAGCATCAAAGCACAACATACCCATACCGTTTATTCAGATACAATGGCGCCGCTTCACCCTTGAACGCTTGAATTTGGCAAGGCTCAAAAGTCAAAAACCCACTTCAAACTCGAAATTTTGGTTTTGGACTGGCTTATCCATACATTTTGCACTTTAGTACTCCATCTTAGTAAATCCGTAGAAATTTGATGCAAAACCATTCAGGTTACCTGTCAGAGTGAGTCAAACTTTGCTGCAGGATATCACTCCTCCTGCATGTGTCGTAGAAGTACCAGACATTGTCGCCAACCATTTTGTAGCACGACGTCCTGGCTTCTTTGAAGACGAGCCAGGCCGGTCGAGTCGAGAACGGCGGCTGATACCCCTGGCCAGCTATTCCGTACGGTTTCGACTGCATGTTCATGACGAAAAGCTTCTGGATGTTGCTGAAGCACAGCTGGTGTGGCTGCTGTGTGTAGGCGGTGGGTGAGCTGCATGATACATTGGGTGGGAGTTGGCAGACTCCACTGCGCTTGTCCCTTGCCTTGAAAAACATCTCGTAGTGTGCCTCTGGTGAATGCCGTTCGCCACTGCTATGCTTTCCGGTACTTCCCCTGTTAGGAAGGTTGCACTTGAGCTGAACTCTGTGGTTCCCCTGTGGACCAGGTAGGCACCTTTCCTTTCCATTGCCATTCTTGGCTGCAGAGCACGAGGGAGAGAGAAAAAATATTCGAACTTCTAAGTAGCAACAGATAAGTGCCCCCCCCCCCCCCCCCGAAGATGGATTGCATGCACATGTCTCTGCTAACCTGACATTGGGTAACCGGTTGCTAACTAAAACGGACAATGTTAGAAGAAAGACTGAGAACAATCCCCCACAAACCATTGCTGTTTTCTTTGCAACGATTTGCTGCTGGGTATTGTGGATGCATGTGCTGCAGTTGTCAGTTGCCTCTCCCAGTTCAAGGGTCCGATATCCACTAAGACATGTGGCTATCGAAGTCTGAAGAAAAGGTGTCCAGCGGTCTCTTCTGGGATGACAGCTACACCATAGCTCAGTGGTCGGAGCATCGCTGGCCTCAAGCAAAGGTCCCTGGTTCGATTCCTGGTGGGGACAGTCGATTTTTTCTTCAGACTTTTCCCTTTCCATTCCCTCAACTTATGAATCATGTGGCTGCACTTTATCAAACAAAAAAACTCGGATGTTAGGCCAATAGTAGTAATAACATGTAAAGAGTCATAAGTAGTAATGTACATGTAGGTTACAGGTCCTTTTCTCTACACTTTATCCTTTTCAATGTTTATCCCGCAAATGATTTACGCCAAAGAGTGCTTGATTCTCGGTTACATTTGCAATGTGTCTCCTTACCTAAAGGATCCAGAAACAAATACGAGCGGCCGGCAGTATGAGGTGGCCAAGGCGAAGTAGAGGGAGAGACGGAGAGACTTCTCGGACGACAGGACAATCTCCGTCCAAGTCGAGGAGTGGCACAGCCTTCCAAGCACGGTCCAGTCGAGGAGAAGAGTTTACGCACCTCACAGTAGTCCTCGTCACACTTAGCATCATCTGCGGGGTCACAAGAACAGTATGCGGCATTGCTGGATTCCCATGCTGTATCGAGATCCTCACAATAAAAGAACCAAGCTAGGCAATACTCTTGACCTGTAGTGATAGTTTTCTACTGGTATTGGTCCTGTACGAAGGACAGAATTCAATCCCTAGAAGAACAACAGTATTTTTCGTGTCTATTGCCATTTCAGGGACGTCTTTGAAATGATTTATCAGAAGCTCTTGGCCTGGCAAGATTTCCATAGACTTGGGAAACAGTAGTAGTAATTTATACAACTAGGATGGTGAGCCGATAATAATGATTTAATCTCATGATTTTTAAGCAATAAGATATGATCCATTTTGGCCCAATTCCCCAAGCTTTCTCTCGGGAGGGGGCCTCGCCTCTTCATTGTACATGAACTATCTTAGCTGAGAGCTTTCCTTCATCAGGCAGTGTCTGGACATAGTCCAGGGGCGGATCCGTAGATCTCTACAAGGGGCTCCAGTTTAGCCAAGACTGAATAGCTGATACATATACATATACACGTACACGTACATGCACAAGCACATGGTTTCCAGTAGTACATTTGTGAAATTTAGGGGGTTTCCCTGGAACCCCGGGACCCCCTCCCCCCCCCCCTAGATCTGCCCTGTAGTCCTGGTTCTGCAAACTTTTCAACGTGATTCAATTATGCAGAGGTCACCAGGCCCAGTACTGTCTGTCATCATAGCTACTGGCTAGTTGTTTATTGTACTGGCTACAGTCAACTTCGCCAATAACGACATTCGGCGGGGCATCAGAAAAGTGTCCTTATTCGCGAAGTGTCCTTATAACCGAAGTCCCATTTGAATGTATGTGAACCCACATTTTGTATAGTATGACATGCATATCAAAATCAAGCTCTTTTCTTGCTCTTTGTCAATGTGTACTTTATTTTCATATTGCAGTTGAAAGGAACTAAAAATGCAATATGCAAGGGAAATCAATTGAAAGATATGCCTTTTTGAGCCATCTACACTACAGGGCCAGAGACATGTACATGTATGATGATTACTGTACAATCATGTACAACTACAGTCGTCCCTCTCTAATCCGGCACTTGTTTATCCGGAACCCTTGCCAACCGGCGCACTTTCTGACGAAACCGATTTTTTTCGTTCAATTCCTACATCTTAATCCGGCACTTGAATTCCGCCTCCGGCAGTGACGTTTTGAAACGAATCACTCAAACTGCACGTAGTTTGATTTCCTAATCCGGCAGTCGTAAAGGTGCACTCCTTGCCAGGCCAGGCTAGGCCAGTCTGGTCAGTGCCGCGCGCGCGGGGCCACTTCAGAGTTCAGTTCAGTTGACAACTGTACTCGACCTCGCGTGGGAGAGTTCAGTTCGGTTGGTTGTTAGGTCTTTTCCGAACCCTAACTCAATTTATACAAAGAGAAAGACCAAGGAACTACAAGTTACGCTATACTGTCCACTAACACCACCAGTTACTAAACAATCAGCTCATGCGATAACATTGCACGACACTGACCGATTGTACTGACGTTCTACAACTATAATGTTCGACCTGCATGATGTCGACTGCTTGCGTGGCCTTCTCAAGAGGGTCAATGTTGTCCAGGAGACAACGGCTAAGCAGTCAACCATACTTTCTTATTTTAGCAAGGAGTAGTGTCCTGCCAATTTTCAGGTGTGTGTGTGTGCGTGTGTGTGCAAGAGTACATGTGAACATGTTCTCTGTTTTACTTTATCACTTTATCACTGTGTATATTCCTGGAGAACAGTTGAGAATATAAAGCCGTGCACCAAATACTTGGGTCGACACGGAAAAACCCTGCGTTTTGACGTATGATACATGCATGCAATTGGGTAGGGCCGGGTCAGAGGACAGGATTTCTTAATCCAGCACCCTCGTTAATCCAGCAGAAAACGCCGTAGCAAAAGGTGCCGGATTAGAGAGGGACGACTGTACAATCATGTACAACTACAGTCATGTACATTGTATACATATACATGTATTACATGTAGGTGTGCTGGTAAATCCAACAATTTTGAAATACATGTAATAATACCACAGCACGCGTACAAAGGCCAAAGAACAATGCATGAGAATACACTGAAATTAAGCCAAGTCCGCTTCTGTCTCCAGTCAACAAAAAACTCATCCATAAACAATGTCTGATCTCCATTTCGACTTGTCTGCAGCAAATGCTCGTGCTCCTTCTAGGTCGCTGGCATTCTTCAAAGGAGTGTCGTGCCCTGCCAGGTCCTTCATGATGGTGGTAGGGAGAGTAGCCGCGGGACGGCCCCTTCGTCCACGTGACCCCCACTTGAAAATAGCAGGACATCGCAAGGCAAGGGGGTGACTGCTCACTCATCCTCCTCAGCACATGGCCAGTGAGGCTACGGCGTCGCTTGGCAACAAGCTCCGACAGTGGCTGCGAGCCACATCTGGAATACAGATCATCAAATCATCATTCGTAATTCTGTCTGGATATCGCACTCCCACCAGGTTTCTGAGCTGTCGGCGGTGAAAACAGTCCAGTCGCTGAAAGACTTTTTGAAACCAACATAAAAAAGGAAGAAAAAGCCCCCCCCCCCCTTGGCTGCAATTTCTTGCATGTGTGCCTTTATATCCATCACCATAGCCATAGGTTCTGGTACTTCTGCATGACAGGTACCTGTACATGTACTTGACTGACAGGTACTTGAAATAGCTGTCAAAAGCCCAGAAAGTCGTTTTTTCACTCACAAAGCGACTGTTCAGTACATGGGGTAGTGGTCTACCAGAGCAATCACACTCACCACCGTGGTGGTTTTCCAGAAATGAGTAGAAGCAAAAAACCACACTCGCAGCCACATAATAGATAAATAGCCGAAAAACATCTAAATCCATCAAAGAACCGCCAGCAAGCGGGAGAAAAGGCCGTGAAATCAAGTGAAACAGCATGGTCAGTGGTGAGCATGGGTGACTGGGCAGCAGGGGAGCGCCTGAAAAACAATGACTCCCTACATTCCTAGCCGCGACCGCTCAACCGGGCTAGAGGAAAAACACGCCTTTCGGCCAAAAAACCTTTCTATTTCATTAATTCCTGCACCGCTGCCAGTCAGACCCAAGAATAGAGATAGCAAGAAATGGTATGTAATAACCGGTGTATGTCATAATCATAAGCCACACACATAGGCATAGATTGTCAAGAAGAACAGCGGACGACTCCCATGAAACCAGGGTGGGTGGGCGGGCAACTTCAACTACCACGAGGAAAAGCAAAGACCACGATGGCAGGTTCAACGGAGTTGCGCAGAACAAGAGCAAATGCACGAAAATATTTGTGAGTGAAAAATACGTTTTTTGCACTCTTTCGCTACGCTCAGCCGTGAAAAAACAAAACATTCAAGCAGTGAATATGACCTCGGGGCACTAAAAGCATGTCGCTATACGCGAATTGTCGTTATTCAGATAGTCGTTATATCCGAAGTTAAATGTATACAGTTAGATGGGACTTTGCTCTGGGCATGGAAATTCGGTCGTTATTCGCGAATTGTCGTTATATCCGCAGTCGTTATTAGCGAAGTTGACTGTAGTTGTTTATTGTACTGGATAGTTGGTTTCCTTGCAGGTTCACACCTTATGGCCAGTCTTGTTCCTTGGTGCCATGTACACTGGTGTGTGGTGCCATACAGCATGCCAAAAGGACTGATTCTGACGTGACGTGTGTGTGTGTGTGTGTCAGCTAGTTCGGTTGGTGGGTGCACTTATGCCAGCTAGTGCTGGGTCTGTTGCCAACAGGCTCGGCTGCTTGAAGGTGTAATGTTGTACCTGCCACCTTTGTTGGTTTCAGGGTTCATATACTTTCTGTTTGAAGTATACATACCTGTTAACCATGGACGGCTTCTGGCTAGATTAACTCTTGTGTAATCAATGGTGCTAGTGAAGCTTATATCACATCCACTCTGATTTGGCCACCCACACTAGTAGCAAGTCACACACATGATTACCTTCACTGGGGCAGGGAAACTGCAGTTGGATCCCGGGACGGATACCCTGATGCCGTCAATCCTTTTTTTGGACCTTGTCCTCACCCACATACTGAGGTGTGGTGAGCCCATAAGTGGTGCAATTTCCAAGTCCACCCATAGTTTGGGGGTTTCAGGGGTGTCGGCCGTTGGGCGGTTCAATAGCCAATAATTGAGTCATCTTTCCAAGATTCCTTTTGAGTCTCTCTCCTCTTTCTCGGGGAGACCCATGTGGCCTATTTTGTTAGTGAGTGTGTGTGTGTGTGTGTGTGTGTGTGTGTGTGTGTGTGTGTGTGTGTGTCCCATATGGTGCAGTGGTATGTGCAGCGATTTCTAATCGATAGATTGCGGGTTCGATTCCCGACGATTATGGTCACACACGTCTTTCTTCTCTTTCTCAGACTCTTCCTGACTTTTCTTTCATTCTCCTGGGTGGTTACCAACAGCCAGTGCATGCCGGAGTATGTGGTGTGATGTGTGTGCGGGGAAAAAAAATGAAAAAGACCAAAAATAGGGATTCACTGGCCAGAAAATGTCACTCCACATAGCTGTATGGTGTAGACCAGGCTGAATAGTGACGGTCAATTCTTCAGCCTTGCAAGCTGTTGAATGGTGTAATCCCAGCACAAGTTGCTATGGCTTCTGCCGTAGCATTGCTATCATCGCCTCCGGCGATGGGCGTCAAAGGTCAAAGGTGTGTGTGTGTGTGTGTGTGTGTGTGTGTGTGTGCGTGTAATGCACACTCACCGATATGCTTCTTACGTCACACCACTATAGTACTGACATCACACCACTAGCTGTGGCCCCAGATATACTCGCTGATTTTAAGGTGTGTATGTCGGAACTTTTGGACGAGAGACTGGCAGTATTGATATGCAATGTTGACAATTTGAGCAAAGAGGTGAAGGATCTCAAGGCTAGAGTGAACGAGTTGGAGCGCGAAAAGACGGAACTGGCCAGCACCGTACAACCCCTGACAGAGGATATGAGTACCTGTACTCATTCTGCGGTGTCTAGCCACGTGTCCCATGCCATCGGGTCCACCATACGCCAAGTGGTTGAGGAAGAGTGCATGCAACTGCAAATACCGGACAATGTCACTATTTCAGGCACAGAGGAGCACACTGAGGAGACGCTAGTGGATGTGCTGGCATCACTTGTTCCGGACATAGATCCATCAGCCTTCACTGCAGCAGACCGCCTCGGACGACCAGGAGGTGATCGACCAAGGCTGATCCGCGCCAAGATGACAGCCACCACCAAGGCCAAATTGATGGATGCGCACTTTGGCTTGAAGCATGGTACGAACCCAGTTTACGTGAACCACAATATAACCATGGAACAGCGAGAGGCCCGCCGAAGTCTCCTGCTGAAGTACAAGCAGCTCCGTTCACAGGGTGTGAAGTGTTTCCTTCCCCGTGATAAAATCCTAGTGGATGGCAAGCCCATTACAGAAGAGAAGATCACGCAACTCTTGATGGCCCCAGGTCAGAGCAGTATGCAAGGATAGGATCCTCTGGGAGCTCCCAATCAAGTAAGAAGTAAAACCCCAAGTAATATCCACTCTGCATGTCTCCTTAAATACTCTGCCCATGACCCACTTGTAGTAGCACACATAAACATATGCAGCCTCAGAAACAAAACTCATGAAAATCAACAACTATTGTCTGACCATAAAGTTCATGTCCTATGCATTACCGAGTCTCACCTGGACTCCACTGTTAGCGATGCTCGCCTTAACATACCTAACTTTAACGTTTTCCGCTGTGATGGCACTACACATGGTGGCGGTGTCTGCATTTATGTTCATTATTACATTGCTGGAACCGTAATCCAACGATCTACAGGATCCACTGTAGAGATATTAAATGTCCGTATCCGTCTTGCTACCAAGCCACGTGCAACAGACATTAGTGTGTCCACCTTGTATCGCCCGCCATCTGCCACAGAAGATTTCTGGGACCAGTTGAGCTCTGAACTTGATTTAGCCCTTCAAACTCCGAATGCATTAATCCTAGGCGACTTCAATACTGATGTCCTCCAGCCAACGACTCCAGGATATCGCCATCTACAGTGTGTCTGTGCGTAGCATCACCTCAGAAATGTTATCACTGAACCTACTCGTTTAGCACGCACTTGCCTAGATCTTGCTCTGGTTACCGACGGCCCCCTTGTAGTCAAGGCGGAAGTAGTCTCAATGAGCGGTGTTAGTGATCATGATCTCGTCATTGTCCAATGTGCCTATCAAGGCCTTGAGCCCATTCCTGCGCACACTCACAGGCTGATTCGGAAACCTGCACCCCATTCTATGGATTTCGACCAATGTGGCCGGGAAATCAGTGAAAGTTTCAGAACTTGGGAGTCGCCCACCAGCCTGGACGGTCAAGTGAAGCACTTTTCCAAGTGTTTGAGACATGTTCTGGACAGAAATGCCCCGATCACTCAGCTCAAGGTGTCTGGATTTGGCAGGCCTCGTCAGCAACCATGGGTTACGCCACACTTGAAAAAGCTTCTTCAGCTTCGAATAAACTTGCACAGGAAACTACGAAGGAACCCAACCGACGGCCCCCTCCTCCAGCAGTACCGGGCAGCACGGCGCGATGGAACCCTCTTGAATAAGAAACTCAAAACAGAATACTGCGTGAAGGCCTTCAACACCCGCAAACGCAACCCCAGTGGCAAATCCTGAACAAGCTTGCAGGACGAGAAAAAGTCAAATCCTTACCTGAGGTGACTACTGTAAGACATGTTATGATAACGAGTCGCAAATTTAACGATTGTCCAAAATTCATAGGTTAACGAGAAGATATGTTAACGATCTTGCAGTATTCTGCCATATCCACACACAGCATATATGAAGCAGTACGGCCTCAACGGATCTTATTATAATGAAGAAATGTCATCCGTTAAAACGTTAGATTTGCTTCCTCCTTATATATTATGTCTTACAGTATATCCAGCCTGACAGCCACATTTGCAACCATAGTTTGTGATCCTGCCAGACCGTCTGAACTTGTTCTACCCAGCCCGCCAGTCGACATTCCCACTCTCGACGAGTTTACGCCAGTCACAGTAGAGTATGTTGAAGATGTCTTGAAGTCATTGAACAGCCACAAAGCACAAGGTTCCGATGAAATACCACCATGTCTCCTCAAAGGATGCCGCACAGACATCGCTGGCCCACTCACCGCTATCATCAATACGTCTGTGCATACAGGCCAAGTTCCAAGTAGTTTTAAGCATGCAGACGTGTGCCCACTCTACAAAGCCGGCGACGCAACTATCGGCTCCAACTACCGACCAGTGTCACTTTTGCCAGTGATATCCAAAGTGCTTGAGAAGGTAGTACACCGACAACTTGTAGCATTCTTCGACAATCATCCGGAACTCGGTGCACTACCGGAGGAGCAGTTTGCTTACATACGCAATCACAGCTGTGAAGACCTTTTGGCGTATGCAATAAACGGCTGGCAGTTGGCCTTGGACAAGAAGCAGCTGTGTGGAGCCATGTTTGTGGACATGAGCAAGGCCTTTGACCGCGTTCAGCATAGCAAGCTCGTGCAGGAACTGGCTTCAGTTGTCGCCGGAGGTGTGGCATTGCGTTGGTTTGCAGACTACCTTACTGGGAGAACCTAGCAAGTCGTTGTCGGCGATGCCCGAGGCAGTACAGAGCCCTGCTCACGTGGTGTACCACAAGGCTCTGTGTTAGGTCCCTTATTTTTCTGCATTTATATCCGCCGTACCCCTCAGAAATTTCAACATTGCCATGCTTTCCTGTTTGCGGACGACATCGCGTTCTACGTCATTGGTCGCAACTTCTCTCGCAATGCTTCAACCGTGCTCAGAATGCTGCAGACAGATCTCTTGAATCTGGAGGACTTCCTCAGTGAACGGGGACTGGTGCTGAATCCCAAAAAGTCTCAGCTACTGCTGCTCAGACGACCTGCTGCGCACCTGGACGTGATCCCCAGCATCACCTGCAAAGGCACCGTAATCCCGAGTCCAGCCATGTTCTGTACCTTGGCCTCCTATTGGACTCGTCGCTCAGCTTCGAGCAGCAGGTGGAGCGTGTGTGCGCAAAGGCACAGTGCAAGGTTGCCTCATTCCGCCACGGGCGGCGCGATGTCTCCATGACCGGCCGCCGCATGTTTTACCTGACAATTGTCCAGAGTACCTTGGACTATGCCATCACATCTTATGTTCACTGCTTGTCTGCTAAACTCCGAGACAAACTTGAGTCAACCAGCAATAGGTGCCTAAGGCGAGTGTTTGGCCATGATCAGTATACTTCTATCGATTTCATTCTCACCAAATATAACCTGTATACTTTCTCTCGCCGTGTAAACTTGAAGCTGTTTGTGTTTGTTTTTAGGTGTCTATCTCGTTGCATCAGTCCTCTTTTAAGCACTTTATTTACCCTCCCCCCCCCCCCCCCCCCCGCTCTGCATCATGCCGCACAAATGCTGCTAGCCGCGGTCAAGCTTCAGCCGCTCTGAACCTTCCCAGAGCTACGTCTCGTTACGGCCTGAATGCTATTTTATTTTTGGCAGTAGACAGATGGAACATGCTTCCACCTGGATGTCATCAAGCTAAGCCCCTTTCTGCATTTGTCACAAGCACCAAGTCATTCCTAAGGTTCCCAGTAAAAAGGCAACGCCTGTTGGGAGTTCCCTAAAAAAATAATAAATTCTACTACTACTACTACTACTATAGTACTGACGTCACACCACTATAGTACTGACGTCACACCATGCATAAATCATTTTCATTATAGCTGAAGATTTGTATTGATACAAACATCGTCTTTCTTTTGCCCCGCTGACACATTTGCTTGTATCTTTGTCTTCTTCTCCAGGCATTGCAATCGAAGAATACACTCGTATCTAAGCTACATGTGAACACACCATCTCCTATACGCATATACTTAAGCAGGGCCGTGGGGCTGTAGGACCGCAAGATTTAAGGCGGTCCGGCCAAATAGGATTCTTGGCCGAAAATGAAAATTATTAATGACAAAACTGGAACCCTGTTTTGCATGAACTTGGTTCAATCGTTGGGTCAATTTTTTTCAGAATAAGGTCGAGCCATGGCCTGACAGCGGGCCGGACCGGGTAATACAGCCCTGTTAGAGGGTAGGCATGATTTTCAAAAGCGTCACAGGTCACTGAGTTCTGCTCCAGTACTATAATACATCCAGCAGAGCCTGTGCAAGTACTGCATGAATGCATATGCAGCAGAGCATGTGCACATGCCACGGGTACTGAGATAAGAGGCACTCACTCACTCACTCACCTCGCACCATCTCCCACGACGCTGGTGCATATGGCATGCAGAAGCGCGGGTCTTGAACATCGAAGAGCGATGGGAAGAGTGTAGTATAGTCGGAAAAGCATGACGAGAGACTTGCCATGAAGATCGTGCCTGTTGGCTTATCCCACCCGGCACCATTGCTGAAGAAGAATTGCTGAGCAGAAAAGGACAGCCATCAGTGTGGCAGAGATTCAACTGCAAGAGGCTCTCCCTTCATAAAACATGTCTGAAAGTAATGGCCACTTCTCACAGCACCCAAGAGAGTGGATGCCAGTCATGGAATGATTTCAACAAGCAAGGCAAGATTCCTGGTAGTTCCACAGGTCATTGTCTCCTAGAACTGTCATTGTTATACCGGACTAAAACAGTCCTTATCTCGGCCAGGTGAGGGGTCTCTTCTTCCACTCGTGGATAAATCTCATAACAGATATGTGTGCTATCAAAATATGTTAGGCTTGTTAGCCCACATAGAGTGTTGCACAAATATTACACAGCAATGAATCAAACAAGTCTCTTTCCGCTGTTACTCCGAGTTTCGTGTGAAAAAAACACTTCATCGGACAGCACATCAGACAGCACAACAGACAGCACATATATTGTTGCACAAATAGGAAACCTGCTGGTCTACAGTCACCAATCTTACCCCAAACTGCTGGGTCCTGTGCCAGAACTTTAGCGGCAGGAGGAACGGGCAGCTGATTGCATGTTCCCCATCGTCCCGCCTGGTATACAGTGCGTTACCAATGGTGAGAGTGGAGCTTGCTGCATCTGCGTACGCCACTGCGCCATACTTCGTTGCGTAGTTCCGTTCCATTGTGAGGTTTGCCACCTGCAACATGGACAGTATTGAAGTGTTTGCAGGATATAAGCAGTTACATTTGAAAATCAGCTGTAGTTTTCCATCACCGAAGAGATTATACAAGAGAATGGTGACATTAGATTACTTGTTAGAGATTTTGAGTCCAAAAAGTTCTGAAACCCTCGTTTGTGTGAAGTTTGAACCAGTTTCCGATGTGAGTATGCAGTTGCTAGGGGCATGGTGCATATTCTGAGGTTGAATTGACTTCAAAACTGCCATGTTTCGGAGCTACCCTGTCACCAATGCAAGTTTTGCGTAGCTAAAGTATGTTAACGCATGCTCCGTACGCGGAGGCATACACGACCCACACACAGACACAGCAGTAGTTGGTTGGCACCACAGGGTAACTGGGCGAAGGAGCTGGCAGTGTGTAACCATGGAGGCGGCCGACCCGACAGAGGCGGGGACCGAGAGTGAGACCGAAATGGCGGCTGACCTGCCAAGGGCAGTAACCGAATAGAGTGATTCGGGAGAGTAGAGAGAATGCTGCCAGCTACTGAGAGTTCAGTGCCCAATCCCTGCTTGTTTTTGTTTAGCAGAGTGAGTTTGGAAGACGAATGAGGTTAGTAGTATAAACGGGGTGCTACAGAATGAGAATTGTAACACAATGAAGTCGGTGTGGGTGGGTGGGTGAAAACACGGAGCAAGAGTCATGCGAGCCAATGCAACTAACAAAGAGAGCCAGGCACGAAGGCTGCTGAAGGGTGTACGTATGCAAAGCGAGCTGCTGGGAGAGTTTGCGCATGCGCACAACGGCGCATCCGTGAGCTGGCGCGAACACGCGCGTGATAGACATCAGCATACAGTGAAAACATTACGTCACCGCGTTAACATACTTTAGCTACGCAAAACTTGCATTAACGCGGTGACGTAATGTTTTCACTGTATGCTGATGTCTATCACGCGCGTGTTCGCGCCAGCTCACGGATGCGCCGTTGTGCGCATGCGCAAACTCTCTCAGCAGCTCGCTTTGCATATGTACACCTTCGTGCCTGTCTCTCTTTGTTAGTTGCATTGGCTCGCATGACTCTTGCTCCGTGTTTTCAAACTCCGGAGTTCTTCAGTTCTGTTCAGACTTCCTTGTACAAGGTGACATCGTCGTTTTGGTCTCTTGTTGCCTAGTTGTGGTGTCCAGTCCCTGGGCGGACTGGAACTCTGAGTACAGTATCCGCGGAGTGGTTCAATTACTCAAATTTTCTCAAATGTTCCCACGCTGAGGCAAGGGATGTTGCGCAGGTCCGGCAGGTCATCTTCTAGCCCCTACGCTAGAGCAACATCCTCCTCTGCTACTGGACAGGTGGTACCCCGTCTGGCACCAACCAGGCCGGAGCCCCGGCCCAGAACCTCGCGCCGCCTCGTGCTCCTCGTGCTCCTGTTGTACCTAGCCAAGTGCGTCCATCTTCAATGCCGGCCGGCCAACCAGGCGCGTGCACCGTATGAGTTTTTTGGTGTCTGGAAACCACCTTTTTTCGGGCAATCTTGCCAAAGGAAAAGCGTGCCTACTGGATTGGTTATCCTGCATACGCGTCGATCGACGGGCAGTTTACAGTACAGTGACTATGTCCTTATTTCTAAGTGAGAGAGAGTTGCTTTGCATGCAGTTCAAAATACATTATTCTCTCTTTCTTCAGTGGAGAGTAGCGACAGAGAGATCGATCTCTAGCTCTGGTTCGCTCCTGGATTGGCGATGACGTTCAAGAAATCCGTTCTGTCTCGAAATTTGAGTCAAGCACGCGCGATGCAAGTCAGTTCAAGGATATGATTGACGATAATCTCCTTCCAAACTGTTGACTCAAATCAAGATCTCCACAGCCTTTCGTTTCTCGCTCATGTGCGCAGCAGAGATGTTCGCCAAAAACGTTGTCGACTGGCAGACGTAAATATGTGCGTCCATGATCCACTTGCGCTGCTTCAGAACGAAGCGCTGCTCCGGCCGCGACTCAAGGACGCGGGGCTTCGCTTTTCTTCCGCGAGCTTCCATCGAAGCAAGGCCCATAACTCTTTATTGAAATCATGTGGAACATTGCCAATACATGCTGAAAACTTCGTCATAAGAACAGAAAGAAAGATCCGTCGAATGTAAGCAGTGTTTTGATGAAACAAACATGCCTGGTGTGGACTAGTGAAGTACCATAGATATAGTGTTATACTTATAGACTGTAGTGTAGCCTGGGCGGCTAGGCCTATCAAACTAATACTTTTACGTGTTCAATATGACAAACATGTATACGAGTACATTGACTTTTGCACCCTCTTTGCAAATGCTTTTTGAAGTGCTGGTATGTAAAAGGTAACCCGTTTTATCCTATTACTTGTATTAGTATTACCGGTTAAACATGTACCAACATTTCCATGCAACATCGTCCCCTCCCTCCATTCCTCATTACTCTTATTTCTGTCCTTTCTACCCCTGTACCTGGTTCCCTCTCAGACGCATTTGTGCCGGCATGATCCTGGTGAAAGCAGTCGGACGAGCCCCGCATCTCATCAGCACCAGTGTTCATTGGTGCCCTGCACCCCTAATCTTGAGTCCCCCCCCCTCCCTCCTCCCTAGCCCTCGCCGTTATCTTCGACGGGATGTCCGCGGGATGCGCATGTGCACCAATATTATACAGTGGGTCTCTAGAAAAAAAATTACCAACTCTAGAAACCCCCCTTTCAAGACTCGGTGCACGCCACTGCCAACCACCCCAGCCCACACTGGCGAGCCAGATCTCCGCCGCCGTGGCTGTTGCTATTCAGCCTCCGGCCGACAAGGTTACCCTGCTGGAGCAGGCTGGCGCGGCCCAACTCGCCGGCCCAGGAACTGGCGTAAACTCGGGACTCTCTCATGTTCCGACGCTCAGCGGAGCCTCGCTTTGTGCTGCCGGATCTATCGCCACTACAGCGCCGGTTTTACCAGTATCAGTACCGGCTGCCAGCCACCCGCCACAACAGTGGCCATCATCTGGAGACCTCCCGGTGGTGCCGCTTCGCCTTCGAGACTGGATTGTGCGAGGTGAGTTCACAGAATTAAGCGATTTGCTGCCTGAATCCCTGGGTTTTGAGGGGGATCATGATGTGATGCAACTCGACGTGGGCGCGGGCCGATCTGTGCAGCTCGTTCCCAAATCTTCCCACCGGCAACCCGCCAAACGACACATCTACGATCTTGCCACATGGGTGGAAGCGTTCACCACATACTCCGGGGTGCTGGCCGACGCCTCACCACAGCTGGCTGGTGATCTCTGGGCGTATCAGGCCATCATTGTCGATGCCAACGTCCGGTTCCACAACGACGTCTGGCTGTCCTACGACCGCAAATTCCGTATGGCCAAGGCATCCCTCCCTCACCGCTATTCCTGGTCCGTCATTGACCCGAACCTGTGGCAGTCTTGTCTCACGGGATGTGGGCGGCCTCCGTGCCAGCGTTGCTCCACTCTAAATGCCACGTCCACACAAGGAGAAGTTGAGGACACAAAATTCCATAACGACGCGAGACTCAGTCGCTTCGGCCTACTACTTGATCACATGGCAGGTCAAATGGCAGTCAGATGATACACCACCTGATATCACAATGATGTAACATTGCAGATGATAATTTTATAGCATTCACATGATGTACCACATGATAGATCACATGGTACCACATGACATCACATTACAGATGAAATGGCAGTCACATGATGTCTCACCCAATGCATCACATGATAGATCACATGGTACCACATGACATCACATTACAGATGAAATGGCAGTCACATGATGTCTCACCCAATGCATCACATGATAGATCACATGGTACCACATGACATCACATTACAGATGAAATGGCAGTCACATGATGTCTCACCCAATGCATCACATGATGGATCACATGGTACCACATGACATCACATTACAGATGAAATGACAGTCACATGATGTCCCACCCAATGCATCACATGATAGATCACATGATACTTAGTGCACTGTAGGGCTAGGCGGATAATGCTCGCCGAAATCCCTCATTCTGCTTTTCGGTCTGCTCAATATTCTGCTCATGAAAGTGCATTTTCTGCTGAAATTTCTGCTGAAATCCAGTTATGTAAAAATACACTTGGCACACATAATTGGGTTCAGGATCTAAACAGATGAGTCATGTGAAATACTAGACAAGGCATTCTAGTCTTTATGAAGTATATTTGCAAAATGCTTGTTTTGCGAACATTTTCAAGTCTGACTTCACTGGTGTCGTGATCCACGGAATACCCGTCCGCGGCCCGGCTTGCGCAGCAAAAGATGATTTGATTTGAATCTTTTCACACAGCGGGCTTTTTCACCGAAGGTCGAAAATCGCTGCAACTGGGCCATATTATGTAGATCTACGACTCGTAGACTTCTGCCACTGGCCTGCCATTCAAGGCTGCTACCTTCCGCAAAGTAACAGTTCCAGCCACATTTGGTGGATGGATGGACTGCGTGTCGAAGAACGCGGCAAATCTGCTGCAAAAGCAGAACGTCGCACGCCAATTCCGTGGTAACTGTCATTTGACATGGCAGAGAATGCTTTTTCAGCCCCCGTTCTGCCGAAATATGCTCGACCCCCCAAACAGGCGTTTTCTGCCGAAAATTCTGCCGGCATTATCCGCCAAGCCCTAGTGCACTGTTGATCGCATTACATCACATTACAGATGAAATGACAAATCATATGCATTACTCGTCTTTGAGATCCGCAGTGCCATATTTAATTACTAACGTCCACACAACACATCTCGAAACTTGCCCCTCGGCACGTCCGTACGCATGGCGCATGCATGCAATTTCCCATGTGACCAAGATACGCAGCGATATCTATGTATTATTATACACTCAATCCCTGGCCGGTGTTAGTATACATGGGGAGTCCTAACAGGTGTTGATTTCATCACTCTTTGCCCTGGAGTGATCACTGAACATTATCCTTGGCTAGTTCACACCATACCTGCGTCAGGTTGACCTGGGAGCCCTTGTTTATGCTAAAGCAAGCGCCTCGCTCGGCTAGGTTGTCCCGCATGTGAAGTGCGCCCGTGACGACTAGTCTTGAGTTCTGCAGCATCACAGCCGAGCCCCGGCTGTCTGCAAATGATCTGCAGGAAGAGGAGGCCATGTGCACCGAGCATGCCATCAGGTCAAGCTCATGTACAGGTGCAAATGTCAGACGAATCCATTATGCATGTGATGTCATACTAAATCATGTCAGGGATGAATTTATTGTCATATTTTTGCTTAGCAGTTTTGGCTATACAAAATCACAATTGTGTAGCAGACTTTGATTCTCATTAGCATTTTTCTTTGAAGGTTGGGTGTTTACCACATTGCCCTTCTATAGCCTGTATGTATCGCAATTTTCTGCGAGTCACGGTGACTTTTGAGTAGCAGTAGATCGATATTGCATCGCAAACTGCGATGCGATACAGGATAAATTCATCCCTGCATGTGATGTCATACTAAATCATGTGATGTCATACTAAATCTCATCTACCATCATCTGCCAACAAAGGCATACATGTACGTCTCTGGACAAGAATTTGTAACTTAAAAGCGAGTTTTGGTAGATGGAAATGGATGTTTCAGGAGTTCACTCCATCACCTGAGTAGTGCATGCTTTCGATCAAATGAGACGATCCTCCCATAGGGAGTCTTAAAATATTTACGTCTCCCTGATGTACATGCAGTATCCTGGAGCCCTTGAATGTACCTGGCTCTGACCCGGTTGCAAGAGTTTTTGCCAGGTACACATGTGCCTGGTTGGTTTGAAATCCTGGAGCCCTTGAATGTACCTGGCTCTGACCCGGTTGCAAGAGTTTTTGCCAGGTACACATGTGCCTGGTTGGTTTGAAATCCTGGAGCCGACACTGAGGAGGTGATGAGATCCTAATCCTGTGTACCTATGCCCCATCACCATTAGAGTGTGACTCACGTGTATCCTGACATTCCAATCTCTGCATTGCGTACACTGACAGAGCTGCTGCCCGAGTTGTTAGTATAGGTGATGCTGTGCCAGTGCATGGCAGGCACTGTCGGGCTTGCCATGCAGACGCCGAATGCCTGCGAGTAATTGGTCTGCATGCCGACCAGCCGTTTTCCGTCAGGTCGCCGCTTGCTGGCGGTAACGGACACTGCACCGCCTGTCTGCAAGTTGTTGTACATGTGCACCGAGTTGTTTAGAAACGACACGTTACTCATCTTGACACAATTATTCACAGTGCTGCTAGTAGACTTATCCTGAACAACCAGGCCACCACCTTCCTTTGCAGCACTGTTGTAGGAGAATTTGCAGTTGGTAAGCAGTACGAGGTTTGTGATTTTGAGGGGTTGCCGGCGACTTGGTTTGTTGAACCGTATCATCATGCCACCCCCAAACAGGGCCGAGTTCTTCCGGAACTCCGTGTTGTTTATGTGCACCGAAGCTGACGCCTTGAAAGAAGCAGGAACGCCATTAGCATTGAACTCAATGAGCACCGGAGCGCCAATAGGTATTGCATTGTGGATGATAAGACATTGCTCAATCAAAATCCAGGGTTGAATGTTTGGAACAAGCTTGACGGTGATGCCCAGGCCGACAGCTTTGTCCATGCTACGCACGCGCATGTCATGCTGCACCATGTCGCGATCAAACGGTGACCCGATGCCGGAGACTTCAGTGTCGAACAGGATTACACTGGGGTAGCAGTATGCCGGGAGGAGATCGCCACTGTTTGTGCTGCTACTGCTGATGTTCACACATTCAGGACGCCTGGGAAGAGCCAACCCATCTAGCTGGAAAAAACCTGCTGGCCATTCGGACTGATTCCTCGCCGCTTTCCATCCTGTGCGGGGTGCTGTATAGGCAACATACAGTATAGGTGTCCTTGCATCATTGTTGAATCTATTCAGTGGGAAGGTATCCCTTCTCGCTGCCTGACCTTGAAATACGCACCTAGAGAAGATGACGTAGCGGGAGTTTATAACTTCGACGTGACGATCCTTACTCCAGAGTCCTCTAGTCCGACCCAGGGCAGACATGTACTTCAAATTCACAAGACGGATGAATGTTGACAATTCTAAGCGAAGCATGCTGCCATACAGTGGCGTACCGCCAGGTCCTGCGTTGTAATTTCTTCCCAGGCGTATGTTTCGAAGAGTGAGTTTCTCACTCCTGTAGAGCAGAATGAGCGCTGTGCTGTTGCGAACAGTACCTCTCGGAGGTACGAGGATGGCTTCGCTGCATCCGCTTATACTGTTGTTGCCGTCTAAGAGTAGGTTCGAGGTAGCCTTGACTTCCAGACCTCTGTTAGCCGGTCCCAGACAGGTATGGTCATTACTAAACTTTTCGAAGCAGGCCTTTCTCCGTAACAAGACACGACACTTGGCTTTTTGTCCATTGTCCGTCAGCATTCGTATCGTGACGACTTCTTCAGCAGATTCCGCCATTCCTTTTCTCACTAGGTTGGCTCGGCAATCAGCGATCACCTTCAATGCATCTTCAACCGAGCGACACGGCCACCGTCTGCTTCCGCATGGCAACCCAGTGCTAGCCGTGGTGTCATTGCCGAAAGCGCCAGCAGCATCGGGAACGACGGTGGACAACCCGTATTTCGGGTTATTCGCAACCTTCTCCGACCAAGCGGATACAAACACGGGACCAAGTCTAGCCAACTCACCTCGGGGAGTTCGGAATGCTGAACTTTGAACTCCTTGAAATGCTAGTGCTGGTAGAGCTAGTACCCTTACCAGAGCGAAGATGCTGACAAGAATGGCAGCCATGGCTCCATCCAGAGTCATACTTGGCGCCATGGCGAAGCGAAATATGACAAAGAACAAAAGCGAGATGTATTCCTTGGCAAACTACAGAGGCCAACACACATGCGCACAAATACATAATAGTTATTTGGAGCTACCGGATCCGCGAATTGACCTCTACTAAGTAACACTAACAGGTAGTGACTTGCACACCATTGAAAAACAGACATTCGAGTTATGCAGGCAGCGAATTTGATAGTTCCGCTACTGGCACCAGGCCAGGGAGTGGTGAAAGCCTGCTGAAGCCTGAAGGCCTGATCGGCACCGTTCTCGTATATGATGCAGACTGCATTGCGGATCTTGACGCAACACCATCGCCAGAATCTGGTGATGGCATTGCTGAAAACAATAATCGTTATACCGGCGACTGGTGACAACGAGTCAGAGCGTTTCGCTTCACTCGCCATGACCAGAGTTGGAGAACTAGCTACTGGAGAGCCTATCCTCCACCAACGCGCATCGGCTGCGTGTACTTTTGTGGATGGTCATACATTGTGGTCTACAGTACAAAAGTCATAATACATCATGCGAAGTAGGTGGTGTGCAAAACACGCGTGACCCGCCGCGTGTCGGTCTTTGGCTTCTTTCCACTAAACTGCGCGCATGCGGCCTAGAGCGTGTGCGGGTTCTTTTGACTTTCGCCATCTGCCAAATCTCTGATCAACAAACATAATGAACTGTACAGGAGAACATCTGGTGGACACTGGCACACACTCACGTGACGCTGGCACACACTCACGTGACGCTGGTGTTTAACGCCACCTTCGCAAGGGGACGTCGCTCGAGACAAACTTCCACCGGTAGATCAACTGGAGATGGATTTGAAGACTCCACCGCAGCTGTATAATATTATTATATTCTTGGATTGTGGTGGTGGGCAGGTGTGTGTTTATAATACCGCCATTTCACCGGGTGTGTCTTTACCATTACACTGCACCCATACTGTAGGCATGGGGCGAAGAAGAGGTTGTAGAGACTTCGGGTGTTGCTTCCTACATTGTATGTGGGAGCTCGCGCTTTTTCCGTCGACTTGGATTGACACTTGACAGACTCACGACTCGACTGCCACCCAGAGCACACGAGAAGTACATCGAACCTTCCACTCGGAAAACCTGCAAGAACGCACCACTCTCTGCTCAGTACACTGACTTGTGTTTCGGGGAATTCACCCTCAACAGTTGAGCTTGAGTAGTTGAGCTTGAGTAGGCAGATCAAATCAGCAGATTTTGTACTCCGGGAGTACTGCATTATGTGGTGCTCTCCGAGCGAACCATCACTACTAATACTATACTGTAGGAGCACGAACTTACACCATGACGACGCTCCATTTCCAGCGCGACAAATCCCTCGAGAGAACTCCAGCCAGCAGCGTGAGCCAATGTCGCCCATGAAGCCTTGAAGGTGCAGAACAAGTGCTGACTGTGAGGAGTGGTGCTGTCTTGCAGGTTATTCCCTTCCTCTTCTTGCTCTTGCTGCTGACCCTGCGAAAGAGGCTAATGGTTCATTGGTTGTCTGGCTGGGTGTGGTTACCAAAAATAGTAAAATACGGACTTTGTGTGAGCGGTGTAGCATGGCTATACATGTACCTCGGTATAAAACTGTGTAGTGCGGTTGTGAGGGTGAGAAGGTGTGCAGGAAAGAAAAAGGACGTTTCAAAAAGCGCTGATATGAGGAGCGCTGCTTTCTTGGAGGTCTTACCGAGTGGAATGTTTGATGGACTTTTCGCGTGCTCTGGATGGCAGTACTAGTAGTAGTGAATCAGCCAAGTGTGAATTCGAGTCTACGGACAAAGCGGGAGCTCCCACGTAGATCTACTGTGCTGCATCACACAATGATTTCTCCCAGGTACTGGAGATGATCAGTCATGGTTCCATATTCAAGTCTTTCCACACAAGAACAGCAATCAGCATGGCGCTCCCGAATCATTCGGACGTAGATCTACATCTACATCTCCATTTCTTGTATCGGACGGAGTGCCTTGGCCCCTGGGCGGATTCTGTTGGCAGATTCTGCTCGAAAAGCAGTGACACTGGCAGAATCCTACAAACCTTATGGGAGGTACTTCCTTGAATGCTGCTCCATTTCTTTATCCACATACCATGAAACCATATCATCCACATACCATGAAACCATATCATCCACATACCATGAAACCTGCCAGAAATAGTACCAAATAATTTAATTCTGCTGATTTTTCTACCACCATTATCCACCAAGGGCTATCATCATCATCATCTGCGTTGCCGAAAAAAATAATAATAGTAAAATTAAAAAAAAATAATAATCAGGGAGTCGTATAGACCCGGTCTATACGACTCCCTGATAATAATAATAAACGGCATTATGCAGCTGTGTAAGCAGTAGATGCACAGTGTGACTGCCAGGGCTACGGGCTAGCACCAAGGGCTAGCACACAGTGTTACTAGTAGTATTACCCACAGAAAGAGGGGAACTAACACCGATCGCACAACAACCAAACGTATGTTGCTGATGCTCATGCTGCTTGGAGACGGTGTTATCATCGGCGAGTCGTGAAAGCTTTCACACCTCACTGCATGGCTATCATTGTCGGGAGCGTCTGCCATTGCGCCGGTTAGATCTAGGCGTGATGAGCATCTCCGCTGCACCTTGTATTTGGTAGATCTACCTTTGGGCCACTAACTAAGGGCTCGTTCGCTCTTTACTTTTCGAGGAGTTTCGTTTTTCTGAAGAGGTGGCTTATTGGCCTCTTCAGAAAACGAATGTCACCTCGAAACTCCTCGAAACTCCACAACCTCATCCGATGGGAGAGGTGGATTAGTTCCGAAGAGTTTGGAATACCGGTAGGTACGTCGAGATGGTCGATCAGAGACGTTATTATTGACGTCAAGAATTTGTTCGAAAAGTTGAGATGAAGAACATTCGAACGCTCCCTAAATGTATTTGAGTTTGATAAAGAAGTCGGCCACTGGGATGTGATATTTCGTTCTTCACTTCCGGAGACACGCTACCAGTAGTCTACCTGAGCCACACTTGAAAAAGTAGGTAGACCCTACGTGGAATCCTGTACTCTTGTCTTGATAACAAACTCTTCTTTTTTTTAATGTCGGCCAGTCGGCTACCTACTATCATTTTCGTCTTGTGGGGTTACCATGGTTACAGTCAACAAGGTGAAGCAGCCATGTAGGGGCGTGACGCCGTGAGCCCGCCTTTCGGCAAACTACTTACACGGCATAACATGATGAACAGTGAACAAAGTTACATGCGCGGATACAGGCATTGTTCAGTCACGGCCAGTGTAGATCTACACTACAGACTACAGTACAGTAGACCATGGTATAGACATGGTAGATATGCTGATGATCGACAAAATGGGATAGGAGCCGGGCCGTGACTGTGGGAGTGTGATGCACGATCCAGTGCATATTTACCGGGATACATGTATCCGGTTTCCTGCAGATTCGCAGCCCGCCACCACCATGACCACTGCTGGCACTATGCACGCACAGACTCAGTATGGGCATGGCTTCTCAACCACTTGCACAGATGTTCAACAGGTGCCGCGGAGGCACCGACGAACTCTCCGGCGCACTCTGGCTTCTGGGTTGTGACTCGGATTGCCATGTCCTCCTCGATGGCTCACCGATATCGAAGGAGAGAAGATACGGGTCTTGAAAAATCGCTTTTCTTGAAGACCCGTCACGGTCCCGCACCGCAGTTCGTGGGTTTTATTTTCTGCTCTTCATTGTCGAGTTGGGTAACTGGGTCGAAGTCTTGCATATTTGCCTTGGCAGTGTATTCTATCACGAAGCAAAAATACATCTACTCGTAGAGCCAAAGGTTCACCACGCCTTGTCTTTCCACGACAGGAATGAATGTCAGGACTGCTCCAATCGGTCTAGCAAGTACCGCTCCTCGTTCTCTGCCTTTGGGCGCTTGTTGATCACGGATCACTGATTGTCGCAGCCGCAATGCTATCATCGGTGATCATTTGGGTCATTCTGGCCGGAATAAACTTTTCGCCTGGTGGACGGAGGAGATCAGTTGCTATGGCTTTCGCATCGGGGGAGTCGGAGCAACAGCAGAAGCAGCAGCAGCAGTTCGGTCACTCGGTGTATGTGCGCCATTTCACTTGGCCGGCTCATCCACCCTCTGGCAATCCTGAGCAGCGGGTGAAAACACCGTCCTGTCGGAGCAAAGCGGATCCTTGCGTGTCTCTCTCCGACGCTCTTGATGTGGTGGCCGACCTAAACGAAGAATTTGCAGAAGATGCCGGCAATACGTCCGAGGTGGTAAACGTGTCCGTTGTGCTGTTGGCAACGAAAGCGACGGGATGCAAAGTCTTGTTGCATCCCTCTCGGACGACTGTCACTGCAAGCTCCGCTTCTACAGCTAGAGTAGCTACAGAGCAGTTTGATGTTGGCATCACAATATCGCGCTATAGCTATACGAATCTTGTAATCGACGGCGGTGCTAATAATTGTAACCACACAACGCTGGTGCCACCACCTAGAAAAGGTCTGAGCGGTGACTCTCATCACAAGACGGCTACCTTGTTGAAATTTGCCGACGCCCACCAAGTCAGCATCGAGAATATAGTGCTGGACATTGGCGAGCAGAAAACTTCTGGCTGGAACAACGTTCTGTACAGCCTTGTGAATGTCACTGAGTCGACACTCATCCGATTCTCCAACTGCCAGTTCAAAGGAAGGTCGGCTGACATGAATATGCCGTACCTCGGACACGGAGTTTCAGTTATGAAGAGTTGGTACGTGGTGTTCGAATTTTGTGATTTCAGTGGAAATTTCAACTTGTTCCACATCGTGCCGAGAAGGGGCGGGAAAGGAGACAAAGCCCAAGCCACGAAAGTTTTCCCCATGTTGTACGTACTGCTAACTCCGGAAGCGCCAAGCAGGGACGACGATGACAGAAAGCTCGCACAAACGTTTGTCTGCGCAATTACAAAGGTCCCTGGTTCCTGCTCAAACAGTACGCACCCGCCAGCCCTCCTTATCAGCGCGTGTTATTTCACGTGCGGACAGGAGTGTAATGAGGCTAATATGACGTCGACTCTGCACAGGTCATTTCTCTTGCAGACAGGTTCTCGTAAGGGAGCTCTCCGGGGGCGAGCGCTTGGCATCTACCTGCCTCTTAACACAGGCATTCTTGTCAACATTCACAAAACACACTTCTACAATATTTGTAGCGCTGTAGCAACCACAGTCTTGGTGAAATTTTACATGTACCGGCGCTATACCAGGAGCGAGGCCAGTCTTCTTGTTTGCTCCAATTGTAGTTTCCTTGAAAGTATTGGCATGATGGGTGGCGGAGCGACAATCAGGTTTCCATACCAGTATGGAAACACTCGTGGTGGTCAGCTCACTGGACCCTTTGTCATTGTCAACAACTCTGAATTTGCAGGCAATGTGGCTTTGAGAGAAGGCGGTGGTGTTGCAGTTACCGGCTGGCCAGCGCCCGCTGCAGAAGGACATGTGCGCTTCGTAAATGTTGGCTTCTTTGAGAACATAGCCAGCTGGAATGAGCTACATCTTCCTGGGGGTGCAATATCTATCAACGGCAGGAGTGGAAGAAGACCAACCACTACACAGCCGCGGAGGACTCCATCTTCGCGGCGGCCAACGCGCTCCAGTGGTGCAGGGAAGAGAAGACCGAGCAAGTGCATAGGCCAGGCTCTCTGCATACATTTCTTGAACGTCAATTTCACTGACAACTCTGGATTTGGAAGTTTCCGCATCGGCCATGCCACGGCAGTATTCAGCGGCACAAGGTATTGACTGTTTAGTCTGAATTCAACACTTGCATTTAAGTTATATCGATTCGACGAATGTTGTTTTAAAAATAGAATGAAATTTGAGCATGACCTGCCTTGGGAAACTGACAGAATGGAAATGATGATTGAAAAGCACTCAACGGGCGCGTTTGATTACACACATTTCCGTCAATTCTAGAATTAGTTATGGTGGATGCACCGTTCGAGTACACAAATTCCGTCGTCGGAATCGACGGAATCGAATTCCGTCAATTCTGAAGAGAGGGCGGAATTGCGCCGATTCTCCTGCCAGAACTGATGCACTCGACGCACACGCCATGCTAGGTCCACGTGTGCGGCTGCGCGCGAGGGTGTACAGGATCTCACATGATCCCTTTTACGATTTTTACACGTAGTCGTTTGTTTTCATGGCCGCAATCCGTTCATTCTGTTCATTCGAAACCTGAATATAGTATGTGTGATTGTGTAATTGAAAGCGCCCAATGCCAGTACACACAAAATGCGACTCTGTAAGGAGTTTTAAAAGAACACGCAGCACAGATGACTGTATATGAACATGTACGATATAACCTAGTGTTCATTAGCTTGAGGGAATGAAAAAAGAGGGGGGGGGGGGCGAAAGAAAGAGGAAGACTGCAGCGCAGCAATTGGAGAAAGGGCCTGCAGGACTGCTGAAGTATTGTGTCATTTTGGCACATCATCTCCTTATGAGGGACGGCATCATTTTTGAAACCGGCATGTTTGCGCAATCAGTACTAACTTACTATTTTCCGCACACATTCTGCAGTTTCTACCATCACAAACCTGACTAGCGCTACTATAGAAGTTGGTGACATTCTGCAAAATTTTTGTTCATAAGCAGAGTGTGGTATAGGTACTTTTCTCACACATTGTTAGACCCATTGATAGCACACCGGAGGTATTCATGGTAAGCACTGCCTTCGCCTTCTTCTCCTCCGTGTCAATGGACAACTTGCAAAGTGTTACTGTGAGCCTGTTGGAGGCTATATTATCACTATGAGTATTACAATGGTGGCTGCGGTGGAATTCGAACCCACGCCTCCGTAGAGACTGGATATGAGTGTTACAATAGCTAATACGGCTTTGTGGTAAATTCACTGCTTTCCGTGTGTATTATACAATTTCAGTCCCTCGTTTGTGTATGTGCCGGCGCTGCACACGGATCTTGTCTCACCCATCGCGTCATCACTTACGTCTCCTAGGACATGCTCTAATTCTACGTGTAGAGTGTGGAATTGCACCAAGCCAGCCCACTGTATCATCATTACCGTGCCTCTCACTCATTATCTACATAGTACCTCTCCACTGAGGAGCTTTCTGAAAAGGAGCGAAACAACTAGCTGCCTGGAGCAATTTCATATATTTTTCCAAATTTTGGACTTCCCTAGTTCGAGTCCCAGTGGTGTGACTGATGGTTTTTTCTTTCTTTCGTATCTGGATTGCAACTTGCAAGTGTTGAGTTTCAGAGAGAAAAGAGCAGTACAAGGCAGGTGGCCTAATTTCGTAATGCTGCCTGGAGTGTCAGGGGAATTCAATACTTCACTGGAATTGCCCTTGATATCGTGGTGTTATGCAAGTGGCGTAGGATGGCCAATAGTGTGGAAGTGCTCGAAATTCAAAGCTGGATTATTTACATTGGCTTCGGCGATGAGCCATAGCCTCCTCCTTACGAGTCGCTTGAATCCTCTCACGAAATCTTGTTTTCATTTGTCCGTGTCATCATGCCGGTATTGCTGTAAGTGTTTCCTGTAGGTGCTCGTTCTGTATTTCCTGTTCCTTGCCCAGCTCAGCTGTTGGCTCACAGCTGGGCTGGGTTTCCTGCTTCTTTCCTCCTTGGTGTGGCATGTGACTGTGTGTGTTTGTGTGTGTGTGTATATATGTGTGTGTGTATGTGTGTGTGTGTCTCCATGTGCATATATCACATGCGTGTGCCGATTGCATGGATTATTTGCATTGATTCAGGTTTGAGAACAACAGTGAATCGGCCATTGTCGCAGACCAGGCCCGTCTAATCTTCAGTGATTCTCTGCTGATGGTGAACAACAGTGGAAAATACGGTGGTGCATTTCGCCTACGCAAGTTTTCCTGGGCAGACCTGACTGAGGTAATAGTAAAGAGTTGGTGGACAAGCCGTTGATTATTCACTCTCATTGTAATATCAAAAAGTATTCTTTCTAGACCAAAGAGTGGTATATTTGATAACATTTAATAACGATAGAAATTGTTACGATACTTCTCCAGACGTTTCGTTGTTCTGAACAACATCGTCAGTGGATAAGAAAGAAAGCCACTGACGATGTTGTTCAGAACAACGAAACGTCTGGAGAAGTTATTAAATGTTATCAAATATACCACTCTTTGGTCTAGAAAGAATACTTTTTGATATGAGGTAATAGTGTGAAAACTGAATGATTTCCTCTCTTTTTAAACTAAACAGTTTCAAATAGGCCGAAGTATGACCTCTCTCTGATTTGAGTGACAACGATTGCAACCATGAAAAGAAAATGCTTCCCCACAAATTTCCCATTTCTCAATGATTTCTCTGTATTTGAGGGAGGTGAAAGAGGAAAGTGTGAAAAAAAATTGGCTGCCACTTCAGGGCTCTAACTCGAACCAGATGTAGTAGCTGGCCCGGAGGCAATCACACTCACTCAAGTCAAAGCACTCACTTCGTATATTTACCAATAATTGTCAGGAAAGAAATATTATACGCACACTTGGGATGCAAAAAGAGTAAGGAGGCAACAAGAAAGAAGAAAGCAAGGGAACAAAAGTCCGGCAGCCGGCAGCCATGTTTTAGGTCATTAAATAACGCCTATAGGACGGATATATCCGCCAGACTGTACAGTGCATGCTGAGGTGACTTCAAACTTTCGTCATTCAGTCAATCCTTGTTCGAATTCAACAAACGAAAGGTCTAATCGTATCAGAAAAGCCTCAGCTGTCGGCTCCAAAAAATCCGAAGACGATCCGAGGTCATGGCGCAGAGTTACGACACTCGAACGAAATTCGCGTGGGCGAGTCGGCTCGCGCGGCGTAAAATTTGAAACGCCAGCAAGGGATTTTCCCTGACTCGCTGGCGACGCGTGCACGACTGGCATACGTCATTTTCAAGCTGCATTTTGAAGCTCTCTCCTGCAAAAAAATTGACCGTTCTGCGATCGATATTGTTGAAATGGCTGAGAATTTAGTACCGCGCTCGCAGGTCTGGCATTGGAGCGCTCAGATCGCGCTGCGGCGTTACTCCTACGACTCTATCAATTGAGAACTGGGTATGGCTGTGTTCGTCTTGGAGAGAGCTTTCCATAGAGCCCGAGATTGTTGGAATACTCCAAAGGATATCGAAATTACAGTCAGATGAAAATGTGAGTTTGTGAATTTCATGCGTCTCCTGAAATAATTTAGGCTCTAAGGGTTAACCAATAAGCAATCTATGAAAACCGGTTGCCGACAAAATTCTAGAAACTTCTGGAACATTAGTATAAATCAGTGAATCACAGTTCACAGCTCTGGGAGTAAGCAATGAAAAATCTAAAGAAAAAAAGTTGACTGCCACCATTTTAGGAATCGGATCAGGGATTTTCAATATAGGCCAGCAATGCCCTGCCACTGAGCTACTGTGTAGTAGTATTCTTCTTCTTTTTTCTTTTTCCATCGGAAGCCTCAACAGTGATGAACAACTCTTAAGATGGCCGATAACAGAGTAGAGGGGTGTGAGGTGAGAAAAATAATAATAAAAAAGTTTAGGAATGGACTCAGATGGAGAGCCAAGGTTTAAAGGGGAAGTTAACCCTTTAAGAGCCACAGGAAATTTTCAAAAATCTGCATTTTTTCATGTTCCTCGGATCATAGCTTCAGTTCTACTCACTCAATTCTCACAATCTAGGGCTTCCTGGAAAGGTATTCGCGAGAGGAAGAGAATGAGGTCGATCATGATAGCCAGCACACCGTCTATCCAGCGCTAGATCGCAGCGACAGTACGAAAAATGCCCCAAATGCGTCCAATTGCGTCCCGCTCCAGATATTTCATTCTACTCGATCGTGGAGTTCCAATTTTTTTGCTGTGTACCCTTGACAATATCAACAGTGAAACCCGTGCAAATTCGAGTAAACCAGCGTGACGAAAAGTCTCAAAAATCTCAGTACTAAAGTTGCACTGCGCGCTTTTGAAATTGCCGCGATCGCGGCTCAACTTACGAGTGATTTATCTCGGGAACCGTTGCTCGCAGCGCTTCGCGGATTGTTTCTCCCGACAGGTAAGAGTTTTCTCTTCGCCCTGGATATTTCGATCGATGGATTTGAGCGAGATTAGACTGAGTTACGATCTTTTGAAGTTTTGCATTTGAATGCGTCGTTTACGACGCATTCAAGTATGGGGCGGCTCTTAAAGGGTTAAGGCAAAAATTAAAATTTCACCAGTTGTAGTCTTCGGGGTGCTGGGTCGAATGGTCTTGGTCCGAGAAAGCTGAGACGCTCCCTTCCTACTTGAATCCCAATCGAACTCGCGCACTTCCACCGAAACTGGGTGACTGCGCCCTACTAGATGGGGATTTGTATGCAAAATGTCACTAAAAGCGCCATTTCGTTCTTATAAAAGCACGGATGACCGCGATTGGCCCATATGTTGTAGTCTTTTGGACGCTGAGTCGACTGGTTTTGGTCCGAAAAGGCTGCGATGCAGCGTTCCTCCTTTATTCCCAATCGAACATGGTTGAACAAGCGGTCACGTGCTCCTGCGTACACCAGTCACCTGGTCACTGTGCCTGCAGGGTACAACTTACTAACCTGTTTGACCTTTTTTGGGTGCAGTCCTGTCACTCGAGTTGAACTCAAGTTGAACCTTGGTGTGAAAGTTGTCGCCTGCTGGCGTGATGACCAGGTGATTTGGGCACCCAGGAGCACGTGACCACTTGTTCAACCATGTTCGATTGGGAATAAAGGAGGAACGCTGCATTGCAGCCTTTTCGGACCAAAACCAGTCGACTCAGCGTCCAAAAGACTACAACATATGGGCCAATCGCGGTCATCCGTGCTTTTATAAGAACGAAATGGCGCTTTTAGTGACATTTTGCATACAAATCCCCATCTAGTAGGGCGCAGTCACCCAGTTTCGGTGGGAGTGCGCGAGTTCGATTGGGATTCAAGTAGGAAGGGAGCGTCTCAGCTTTCTCGGACCAAGACCATTCGACTCAGCACCCCGAAGACTACAACTGGTGAAATTTTAATTTTTGCCTTTACTTCCCCTTTAATTTATACAAAAGAGAAAGACCAAGGAACTACAAGTTACGCTATACTGTCCACTAACACCACCAGTTACTAAACAATCAGCGCATGCGATAACATTGCACGACACTGACCGACGGTACTGACGTTCTACAACTAACTGGCTAACAGCTCTAGCACATCTTGGATGCGCACTCCAACAGCCTTCCAACTTGGAAGGTTCTAAGCCAGTTAGCCAGTTAGTTGTAGAACGTCAGTACCGTCGGTCAGTGTCGTGCAATGTTATCGCATGAGCTGATTGTTTAGTAACTGGTGATGTTAGTGGACAGTATAGCTGTTGTGTCCTGCCCCAGGTGGGTTCTACTCGGACTCATCCAGCTCGATCACACACACACACTCGAGGCCATTACAGATTTCAGTACATCTCAAACTCCATATCCGAAAAAGACCAAGCTCACGTGCGAGCATGCGCACTACATACATATGGTCCATGTCCAGGACATGACAATTTCCCCCTCACTAGTTGAGGCGAAGCATCTAGAACTATGCAATAGTAAACACATCAACATGCAATCTCAAAACTCACAACTGCCGAGACATAATATTTCATGATACACTATACACCATATATACACCATAAATATATAATTATATACAATATCCAGCAGAGTCCAAAATATATCATTAAAACTCCACAGACTAGAATAGGTCTATATGAACTGTGTGTTCTGAACGTCAATCCTTGAAACGAACTGGTCGAACAGTAGCGCGGGTTGACCGTCGTTCAGCTTGCGGTGACGACGTCTTGCTGTAGCTGGCACGTGAAGTGCTAACCGACGCAGACTCACTAGTACCGGTTGTTGCTGAGACCGGCGCGCCTAGCTCCGCTGCCGTGACACTGGCGTCGTTGTTGCTGAGTGACGGCTGTGTCGGAACCTGAGCTGTTAAACTTGCTCCACTCTGCTCAGACAGCCCTGCATCGAACTGAGGGATTTGCTGAGGACGGAGCTGGTTGCGATGGCGTTTCCACATTGCATCACCGACTTGTATCTGATACGTCATCGGACTGAGAACAGCCGTGACCACGGCTGGGGCCCACTTATCTCCTCCTTTGCCGAAATTCAAAGCCAGGACAGCTTGGCCGCACTGAAATTCCGGCATGTGCTCCAGATTGTTCTCGTAAACCTCCACGCCCTTACGCCCTTCCATTTTCGAACGATCATATTTGATGCGAGGTTGTCGCCCCATCAACATCTCGGCCGGTGTTTTTCCATTCGCCTGTGGGGTAGTACGATGCGAGAGCAAACACCTCTGCAACTTTGAGTGAAGTTGCCCTGGTTCCTCATCCATGACTTTCATTTTGCTCTTGAAAAACCCCACGTACCGTTCTGCCATTCCATTGGTGGCCGGATGGCCAGGAGCGGTACACGTGTGATGAATTCCATTCTTCCGCAAGAACGTTTGAAATTCGTCGCTTGTGAACTGTGACCCATTATCCGTGACGATATGGTTTGGCAGGCCGAAAATAGCAAACACGCGCTGCAAAGCCATTATTGTTGACGCTGACGTAGCATGGGACGACGGAATAACGTCAATATAGTTGGAGTACGCATCCACCAATACCAGGAACATTTTGCCGAGAAACGGTCCTGCAAAGTCGAGATGCAGTCTCTGCCACGGTCCTGCCGGCCATGTCCAAGTTGCAAACTCTTTCGGGGGATTCTTGGCATTGAGTTGACATAGGGCACACTACTTGACCGTCGACTCGATATCTTCGTCGATTATAGGCCACCAAACGTATCTCCGAGCCAACCGTTTCATTCTCACTACCCCAGAGTGTTCTGAGTGTAGGTCATTGAGTAGGATTACTCTCAGGGAGTC